GGGAAGTTGCGTCCAAGGCATGTGATAGCGTGGAAGGACACACGCCGGTGTCGGGAGGAAAGTCCAAGTCGAAAAGGAGGGCTATGTGGTGATCATGGCGAAAACATGGAAAATTGTGCGAGGGAATGAGGCTCTGCTGCAAGGATGAAAATGTCGCAAACTGGAGACCCACAACGCGTGGAGGTGTGCTGCTGTCAAACGCCGAGTTTCGCCCGTCGCCCTCGCAGAGCTTTAGGCATTCCGCCTTGTCGAATGATGCGGCTCTTGAAGTATCCCATGCTGCCAATGCTCTTGCCACAGTAGTCTATAGCTCCATGCCCTCAATATCCCGCATAACGACGGCCATCTGTGCCCTCTTTGCCGCTTCCGCTAGCAAGGCCGCCTGGTTCAGGTAGTTTGTTGTCTCAGCAGCTGTTCGGCCAGCTCCGTCTCTATTCGGCTGATAGTGGAACCCAGGATGCCGTTGGGGCTGCTGCTTCTGCTGTTGTGCCTGCTGCTCTTGCTGCCCATTCAGAGAAGCGAAGAAGCCCTGATGCTGTGGGTGTGCAGCTGACGGCGACGGCAGCGGTGCTGAGGACGCGGGCGATGGAGAGGCTAGGCTTGATTTGCTGCTGCTGTAGCTCTGGAAGACCGAGGAGCTCTGGGAGCTGGCCGCCGGGGGCTGGAGGGTAGGGAATGCTGGTCGGGCGAGCGGACGGGTGGGATGCGGTGCTGCGGACATGTTGTCTAGGTTTTCTTTTCTCTGTTCGTCTCTGTTGAGGGACTAGCCGTCGAACGAATGCGTGTTGAGCGGCGTCGCGATGATACGCTGTGGGGGCGCGGCGAGCGTGGGTTAATGTACACCGGGGGCGATGTACGCCGTCGGTCTCGATCTGCGCGGTGCGAGCTCGCGAAAGCGGTAGGGGGTGGCTCGTTAATCTTGAATTAACAACTGCAGCACAGAATAAAGGACAGATTGGCGCGTCCGCACTATGCGAAGTTTATCCTCGCTGGATCAGTCTAGCGGAGAGAGGGGAAGTGAAGAGGCAGAAGGTACGTGGGCGATAAGGCAAGCGCGCGCCTGAGCCTCGGCATGAAAACTGATCTTGCGGCGGAAGGAGCGACCTGTGATATTTCGTCACCACTGGCTGGATCCACTCTCCACCATCCCCGGAACGGCTCAACCGCGGGGCGCATTTTTCCGGAAGCCGTACTGATTAGCAGCCTCGTCTCGAGCCTCAGCCTAAGTTAATCAAAACATTATCGACACATCTACTCCCAGCGCCAGAAAATGCCCGTGAGCAAACCTTCTGCCTGAGCACTCTCTTTCCAGCATATTGACTGATAACGCACAGCTCGTCCTAATCTCGGGCTACCCCTCCGCAGGCAAGACGACGCGCGCCCTCCAACTGAAGGAATTCTTTGCATCCAAGATCGCCGGCTCCGCTGCCGATGCTCGAGCTGGCAAGCTGCGAGTACACCTCATCAACGATCAATCGCTGGGCTTATCGCGTCTCGTCTACCACACCGCGAAGGCTGAAAAGGATGCCCGGGCCGAGGAGTATTCTGCCGTGAAGAGGGTGCTGTCGCGGGACGATATCGTCATTGCTGACGGGCTGAATTATATCAAAGGCTTTCGCTATCAGCTGTACTGTGAGGCAAAGGCTGTCCAGACGCCCAGCTGCGTGGTCAGTACCGGCGAGGCTTCAAACTGGGAATGGTCCGCTGATAGTCTAAGAGGTGCACATAGGGACTCCAGCCGACAAATGTCGTGAGATCAACTCCAAGCTTCTAGCGGATAAAGACAAAGACGGCGGATACGAAGAGGAGGATTTTGAGAACCTGATCTTTAGGTATGAGGAGCCGAATGGCATGACGAGGTGGGATAGTCCTCTGTTCACCGTGCTTGAGGAAGACGAGACGCCGCCGTTCGACAAGATATGGGAGGCTTTGGTAGGCAGTGACGGGAAGGCGAAGGTCGTGCGACCAAACCAGGCGACGGTGCTGGTACGTACCTTAATTCCCCTGAATGCTCCTATCTGACATCCTCTAGAAACCGGCAACGGAGCAAAACTACCTCTACGAGCTCGACAAGACCACGTCCGATATCCTCACCCAGATAATGACCTACCAGAAGGACCATCCTGGCGAGGGCGGCGGCGAAGTGACGGACCCAGACGTTGAGAAATCTATCGACCTGCCAGCAGCCCCAATGACCCTTCCGCAGCTGCAGCGCATCCGCCGCCAGTTTATCACCCTCAACCGCCAACACAGCATCTCGAAATCGCGGATAAAGGAGATCTTCGTCGACTACCTGAATGATCAGTTCCTGCGATAGGGCTCTACGATACTTGCCACAAGATGAAGTTGGTGTTTTTGTGGGCTTTCCCTGCGCACACGTGGGACAGGGACTTCTGTCGCCACGCCTTCCTCGCCCTCGGTATCAGATCGGACCCACCCGCATTGTTCCACTTCTCCGAAAGCCGAACACGATGATCGCTGTCGATTAGACTACCAGCGCTGAGAAATGCAAGACGCAGCAAAACGCTCGCGTGTCGCACAGGCGACCCAACGGACTCCAGACGCCTTCTCCACACTAGCATACCTGGTCTTTTTTCATGATACCCTGTTCCGACTTTCTCCGATACCCCAGTAAATGCCTTCTACGTACTAGTGTACGCGGCTAGGGAGCGTTTTGCGTTGGCGTTTAGGTCGAGAAGTTACACGCTCGGACGACATGGCGTGACACAAAGACGATTTTTGCGAAATTCTTTGAACGCTCTCCACAGTCTGACAGCTGCAAACGTGCTTCGCTTCCGCAATGTTACAGCTGTCAATGCTTTGCGGAGACCCCGGATCCCACTTTTGGGTGTCGATGACCTGGCTGCTGGGCGGTGGGGTTCTACTCGTGGTGTTGAGGGGTGGATTCTTTGGGGTTGCCCGTCTATGCTCTGATTGGTGGGATGCAAAACAATAGGCCATCACACACTACCTAGCTGGGAAGCCATGTGCGACTTCACCGCTCGGCTGACGAAACATGGTTTTGTTTTACTTCAGTAGAAGGCCTCTAAGAAGCCCAGGCGCGCCCAAGAAGGGCTTTGCTCGTAATGTCGCGTGCGTCATGCAGCCCTCTCGTATGCCGCGATTCAGAGCCTCGCTCGATCTCCTGAACATTTTCTCGTATTATGCCGCAAATTTCTATGCAATTCGATGAGCCTTTTGTTCCAACACAGTAAACTGCCCGACCGTTCCTATCCCACGATATCCGTCCCTCACCCACAAGCCCTGGGAGTTGCTCACCTTCCATACACCCCACCAACATAGACAGTACGCCGTGTGCAGAAGGACGTTCCTATCACCCGATCCCTAGCCCATCCGTCCATCCATCCCTCACTAGCTCTCGCGTACACCACACACGTGCACAGCCATTCCTAGCGCCGTCGGATCTGGGCTTACGCTGACGAGGGAACGCCACGGACTCGGCGCGCCATCGGCGCTAATCGTAGTTTTTCCTTTGCTCCGTGCCGTACCGTACAGCTGCATGTTCAACAAAAGGGGGATTTGGGGCTTTGTTGGATGGATGCAGGTGGGTACGCAGCGCGACGGAAGCTTGCGGGATGTGGAGGGAGGATGCTGCGGGTAGGGATGATGCGAAACGAGGCAGAGGGCCGTAGGCATGCATGCAGCATTCGGAAGCTTAAGGGAGGATTCTATTTTCTCTGTAGGGATGCATCTGTATAGCGGTTAGAGGCACCGAGATATCGCCAACTGCCGGCGACGTTCTGGGGGAATCGACAGGGTTCAGCTTTCGTCATGTAGCAACAGCGCCGCAGCGTCACGTCAACCCTGTCCTGTCGATCGGCCCATACCCATCCCTCTCTCGCTACCCTCAGCTGAGGCGAAAATCATGGAATGAGCTTGCTCGATGGCGTATGCGTATGTCGCAAAACCCCAGTGACGCAGCCCTGGGGAGAGGGCAATCCGGGGGTGCGGGGAAGGGTCTATGCCGATGGAGCGGTCTAGAAAGAGTTATGTCTGTCCAATAGCGTCGGTCGCGAGGAGGAAAAGATTTTATTATCGAAGCATGCCGTCATGGGAAAAGGCCAATGGTGGGAGCTACGCACTGCCAATGGTAGCGGAGAGGGACCGCGGAGGTGGCTTTTGTAGATCGGAGCGGATCCGCCGACGTGTTGGTATTCATGCTGCCATCGAGGAACGCATCTTGAACGGATGGATGCATAGTACAATTGTATTGTCGGCTGTGAGAGCATCAACATGTCACCGTGATGAGTGGGAAATGCGCTATAGGTGCATGTGCCAATTACATTCGCTATTTTCAAGTCAACAGTATATTCCCCCTGCCATCGCTATATTCCTAGCTCAAAACAATCTCAGTAAACAATAGCCAACCAAGCCTAAAAGGAACGTTGCGGGAAGGAGTGTACAGCTCCAACGAGCCAAAACGGATAACAAACTCGGCCGTAAGCTATCGGCGCGCGCACACGCAAGATGCGAGGCAATGGTATCTCAAGAAGTGAAGGAGAAACAGAACACACCCAAAAGCGACGGATCAAACCAAAACAAGCAAGAGAAAAGCGAAAAGGAAAAAGTCCCCAAGCAATCTTAAACTCCTCAACCCCTTGACACCATATTTACCAGATCCAGACCAGCCATCACCGGTAATGCCCAACCGTCATGTCGGCGTGATCTTTTTATTCCGTACCCGTGTTGTTACAAGCCAAAATTTCCGTCCAATCCAGTCAGCCCGATGGCACTGTTTGGTGTACTCATGTCGGGAATCATGATGCCTTGGTAGATCTTCTCGCTACCAGGGGTCGATCCATACTCGCCGACCGACGTTGCGAATTCCTCTCCACTCGTTAGGCTCTCGTCGCTAAAGCTGAGAACGCTCTGTGGCGGGGGCGCCTGCTCGCTGTAGCTACTCCAATTCCACGCATTCGGTGACCAGGTCAGGTTGGTCTCGGCACCGGCGGAGAGAGGCGGGCAGTCGAGCAGCGCGTCTGCTGGCGGGCCGCCGTAGATGGTATCGTATATGTTAGTTTGACCATTATCGAGTGACGAGAGAAGACGTTCCCAGTCAGAAGGCGAGACTTCAGGCTTGCCGGGACCCATGTGATAGTGGGCGAGCGGGTCAGGGCCGAATGAGAGGAAGTCAATGTTGGGATTCTGTCGAAGAACATTGCTGGGTCGGCGTTTAGTATGTACAGAGAGCGAAGAGCGATGGGTCAAGGGGCTAAGCGTGGGTTCCGACCGGGCAACGGCTGGCTCGGAGCGGATGGACGACAGGCTGGTCGAAGACGGGTTGGTGTGCACACCCATGGACGGTGAGATGGCCGGAAGGGTAGCGCGACGCGGTTCCTTCGGGTCCTGGCGGCAAGCTTTCATAGCACTAGGCGAGAAGCGTGCCGCGAGTGCCTTGAGGGACTTTTGTGTAGCACGGAAGGTGTCTAGAGGCGCGCCCATCGTTCCTTCCGAGTTGTGCCGGGACAAGGCGGGAGGGGGAATCTGCTCAACACGCGGGATGGCGATAAAGCTGCAACCTACGCGCCTGAACTCATGGGCTCCAGCAGCGGTTCCAAGGTCGAGCATATCCATGACGGCGCATGTCAGCCGGTTGCAGTCCTTGATTAGCTTTCCGTCGCGATCCAGGTTGAGGGTCTGGAACAGAAGGCCGAAGCCAGCTTGGACGAGAACCTCATTTCGGTTCAGGCAGAACGAGAAGCTCAGCTTGCGCTCGTCGAGAAGCTGGATGATTTGGACAATATGCTTGCATGAGTCGCCGACGGCGACCATTGCCGAAGAGGCCTTATCGCCAAGGTTGGCGACAACGGCTGGTCGGTAGATGAGCGATCGGATGTGGTGGTACGCCAAGGACTGGGATTGCTGTTAGCTGCTTCTGCGCAATATAGGTTGGGCTCAAATTTTGCATACCAGAATAGGCGACCTGCTGCTCGTGACATTCGTGCTCGGCTTGTCTTGCTGGAATATCAGCTTGAGGTGAGGCGCGAGATTGTTAGACCACTCTTCCAAGTCGTCGGCAAGTGAGGCCATGGTGCGGAAGGAGATCTCATGTGATGCGGAAGCGGGGTAGAGCGCCACGAGAACTTTCGATAGGATCCGGGACACTCGGAATAGCGCCAGGGCGCTGGAGAGCTTGGTGAACTCCCCTGGAAGAGTCGGAAGGAAGCCTTTCTCGGTGACATATTCGTCATCGGCATCAACCGGGTACTCGCAGTGCACATCTTCCTCTCGGATGAGCTTGGGGAGACCGAGATGCGCTGCAGACAAGCTACGGCGATGTTAGCATTACGCCAGAGTACATACGACGCTTGATACATACCAGTCAACAGTGTAGAGCGACCAGAACACCTTCTTCCTTGTTTCGCTTGTCAGTGCGCCAAGGGCGAAGCGCTTCTGGGATTGATGTAGGCCGAGACGTTGCGACAGGCCAATGGCGAGGCCCTTGTACTTAAGGAGCCGAGAATAATCAGCCTTGAGAAGGCAGAAGATCTGCGCAAGCACGAGACACTGCAGAGTAGCGACGTCATTGTCCATCAGGAAGCTCTCGATGCCATTCTGCCACTGTGCTTCGTAGGACTCGACGTCTTGGCCGTCGCGCGGCTGGGGTGATTGTCAGTGACGTTCTGTCGTGCAACGGATTGTGGGTACGTACGTCGCTTGACAGCGCAGCGATCCCGAACACAAGGTTAAGTTTGGCGATTGACTTCTTGTCAACCATGGTCTCGGGACTGGAGACATACTGCTCGTACAGCGTGAGGAAGGTCGGGCGGTGCAGGACAGGGAACAACGGCGCCCATTCCTGGAAGAAAATATTTATCATCTGGTCAGAGACCAGACGAGGCGGCGCCTTGAATGCGACGATGCGCTTTGGTGAGTGCGGCGCCGATGGTTTGGAACCGGTGCCGAAGAACGCATTAGAGTTAACATCTGAGCACGACCTGCCGGTCTCCTGCGCTCGTTGCTTGAATGACTCTGCATGTCGTTAGATATACTCAAGATCAGCCGACAGAAGAGGAGATTATACCAATAAATGCCCTTCCGCTAGAGCTTCCGACAAAGTAGGTGTCGCGGTTCTCGTCGTCGAGCAGCAGCGGCGACTGCTGCACCTTGAACACGTCGTCCTTCTCCTGCGATTCCTCGCGAGCTTCTGTAGTAGGCGTCGGCGTAGCTGACGATCGCCTTGGAGAGGGATTGCTCGGCGTGGAGTGCGAGTGCGAGTGTATCCTCGAGAGCATGTCGATCTTCTCGTCCTTCTCGTCCAGGAGCTCCTTCAGCTCGCGCACCTCAGCCTCCAGCGCGCGCACTCGCTCCTCGAGCGACTCTGTGTATCCGCGCGGGAAGGCGCGGCGGCTGAGCTTGTCGCTCGTCTTGCACTCGAATCCGACGTTGAGGCATTGGGTGCAGCTCGGACGAATGCCGTCGCACCGTATTTTCTTCGAGCGACATCGGTCGCAGGCCTGGGCAATGCGGGTCTGGTTGTTGGTGCCGACCTTGATGACTTTCATAGGCAGGATGCCGGGCATGTTGGCGGTTGGGATTCAGATTGCGATGCGATGGGTTTTTTTTTTCGTTTCTGATCAGTGCCCCGAAGGGAGAGTGTGTCACGTCGACGACGCAGCGGGTACCATGGATCCGGGAGAGGCGGCAGTCAAGTGTTGAACAGCGTTTGGTGTGTAGTAGTGGTGGTGACAGTTGACAGAGTGACGGACGGCGGCAGGTGAGCAGACGTCAGGAGGGTGGGCCGCGCGGGTGCATAAAAGGGACCAAGAGAGCGAGCAGGCAATGATGCGGGCTGGGGCGCTGATGTATGGGAGGGATGGGGGAGGGCTGAGCGAGCCAGTCGTGTTCGCGCGGTGTCTGGGGCGGCCTTAGCGTCTTCTGGGGCCACACGACGGCGATGCGGGGGAAGCACCCTGGAGAGCTGGCACCGACGCAGGATCCCCCCGGCACGAGCAATTTGGCCCTCGCCCGCTGCCCTGCTCCGTTCCTTTTTCGTGACGCCTTCGCCACTATGCCTGTCCCGTGCGATCAACGGCGAGGATAGTCCAGCGCTGGTCTCAACATCGCCAGCGCTGCCTGCCAGCCGTCGAACACCTCAAGCGCCCGTCGAAAACACCTCTACCCATGGGATGATAGGATGCGGGGTGCCGGAGCTTTCGAATCCTGCGACAGCTTCTCCTTGCACGCAGGAAGTCGGCCCGGTTCCTCTGAGTACTGGCGCTGTGCCACCTCTCGCTACCTTCCACCGTAATCGGCCAGCGAGATTTGCTCTCCATCAAGGTCCTGATGCTGTGGGAAGACGAGGGTGCAGCAAGGCAGGCGGTGATCTGCCAAGCGATCGCTCTGTGGTCCTGTCTGCCCATATGACTGCTCCCTCGTACGTGCACTTTACGTGCCACAACAGCGCTTGTCTAAATTGCATTGTTGACGACCGCTAAAGCACAACATCGATGAGTCTGGGCCCGCCACCCTTCGAGAAGCTGGGGAAAACGAGCGTTGCTCATGGCCCGTGTCGATGATGGGGCATTCGTGGTGATCATGCGATGCTGACCATTCATTCGCCTTCTGGGATCAGGCTATGGCGCACAGTGCGAAGAAAAATGAGACGATGCTGGGCAACGCTTGTACCCCAGATCATCCTGGCCAGGCCCTAAAGCTTTGCGGGAAATTTTTCTGAGAGAGGTCGGCCCTAATAGAAAAGAAATACAATATCATTTTCGCTGATTGCGCGTAGACATGGCCTTGATGGTATAGCTGGATAAACGCCGAATAGCTTCCTTCGGGATTACGGCCAGATCCCGCCGTCTGACGTCCATATCATCTGCGCCCGTATGGGAAATCCTGCACAACCTCATTTCATCGACATCTCGATCTGAGCGCTCTCGAAACGCGCGATTCGCTGATCATGCCGGTGCGTTCCTGACCATTGCCGGCGCAAGCGCCCTCGTCGCGGAACTTTCGCAGACCCTGTGCACTTTAGCGGTGGAGACCCGATGCTTCTACAAAGCTTCCATGATAACCGCGATGCCTGTCAGATGTCCCCGACAGCTGCCTAATCCAGCGAGACAGCAATGTGGTTGGAAGGCGTAGATTAACGGTACCACACAATAAATGAGCCTGTCAGCTCCCACCACATAGTCCAGATGGGGCCTTTGGTACATCAATGTGGGGAGCCACATCTAAGTGAAGTCCATCTGTTCTTCTTCGCCTTCATTTTCGTCTCCGACAAGACCTAGATAGTGTCGTACCGTCTCTGACTCGAGTAGGCTTGATTTCTGCACACGGAGATCTCGTCAGTAATCCAAGGTCAACAATAGGCCCGCCGTGCCAGGCAGGTCAGCTGGAAAAGCACGAGGGCCGTGGGGCCGCAGAGTCTAACAAACCGAAATGTCATCCTCAATCCTAGGACAGCGAATCAGGGTATCCTTCCTTGAAGGGATTCGGGGCCCTCTTAGCTGTTGAGCGATAAGGATGTCACTCCAAGTTGTTCGACCCTGCAGCGCAAAGGCGACCAGTGCGGGACATGTCCTTACCTGTTCTTGCAGAGCGGATCCAGCCCTTTCGAGCATGTCCAACTCAAGCTTGCGGAGCCGCCGTGCGAGCTCCCAAGGTCCTTCCCTAATGCTAGCGCTGCGCTCAGGGTCACCCACCTCCCGCAGGACCTCGATTTGGGTTTCGATCCTGTACTGAAGTAGGACAATCGCACGGAGCTTGTACACGTCCCACTGCGGGTCTTGTTGAAGAAAAGTGCGGAGCTTGGAAGTGTCATCCAGCTCTCTGTCCTTGAAAAAAGTTTGAATCTCTTTCTGGCCATCGATCGTTTGTTTGACCTTGAAGTCCAGTCCATCTTCTTCGTTGGTAACGACAAGCCAAATAAAGTCACTTTCCCAATCTATGCTGTCGTCTTTCTCAAAGATTCGGACGCCTGGTGCCGCAGTGGTGACATATATCTTCGCAGGTCTGAGAGGATCATCGTCAGGAATGTCGACGTCAATAAACATAGCCCTGGCTGACTTCATCGCGTCTTCAAGGAAACCATAAGAGAAGATATTCTCGCAAGCTCCTTTTTCATCGCCGTACCTGACCTCTTTAGCCTCGGTCGCAAAACTAGTTCGACGTAGTAGTAGTTCACTTACGTGATTGTGATTTCGCCGCCCTTTTGGATCTCTTTACCATCACGTAAGAGTAAGATCCCGTTTCCGTTCCGGTCGGTCTCATATAACGCAGCGGTAGCGTCTCCAGAGGCGTGATTGGCCATATCGATACAGGGCACCATGGAGTCACCCACGCCGGGAAATTCGAGCGCCCTGGACCTATAGATAGCATCGACCCGCATCCAGTCGTCAAAGTTCAGCAGGCCGGTGTCTTCATCCCACCAATACTTTGCACACCAGCCGATGCCTTCCGTAGCAGTACGAATCCTTTCGAACTCTCGTAGTAGGCTGCTCATCTTGGCTCGGACAGCAGCTCGTAGCGTTGTTCCTGTCAAAAGTTCTTGTTCGTCGTCGGTCCAGAAGGTGGGGAGTAGTTCATCTGGAAGGAACTTGATGTAATCAGTGAGAGGGTTGTGAACGCCTATGTCCTTGACGTCCGGACAGCAAACCGTTGCTTGCATGAGCAGATAAATCAAAACAGCGCCGCGGGCCGTCCATCCAAAGTCGCCTAGTGCTTGAAGTACTTCGCGGAGGTGGCGGTCAGAGTTGGCGAACAGCTCGATATTCTGGCGAGACAGTATAAGTTCCTTTGGGACGGTCATCAGAGCATCTTCTTTCCCGCCGAGCAGATCGCGCTCTGCTATCACTGTTGAACCACGGTGTTCGAAATTGGGCAACGGGCCGATTTTGATACCATTGAAGGTCACGCCGTGGAAGCTCGCCCAGGTGGGGAAGGTGTCGATGGATTCTTTGAGCCAACCCTCGGCTCTCCCTCTCTTGATCATGTTGTTGGAGATGACGTCTGTAAAATGCCTTCAGGGTGTCCAGGCCCCGTACACTCTTTGAGCGCTCGCGGCTCGTGACGCTTAATCTGCCAAGCCCGGGAAATTTGGAGCATACGCCAACAGGTGAAATTCGCAGAATGAACTTCGGGAGAGAGGCGGGATCATAGAATTGGCTGCCGTCTAGCACTCCAATCTGCCCTTTTGACAGCGGTACGGGAGCGCACAGTTCCTGTCTCAGACACTTCGGCGTTGGTTCAGGGTGCCAGTGGCGTCATGCCTCGAGCCATCTGTGATACGTGAACTAGAGTCCTTCTGCAGAGAGAGCACGTATTAGCAGGCATAAACACACAAATAAACAAAGGTGGACTGCAATCAGCAGGGGAGACCTCACCGCAGGCTGCCCAGATTCGAAAGGGGCTGTTGTTATGGCGGTTCGTTGTTAGGCCTCGAAACCCTAGTGCCGCAGCCGGGCACCATTCCCAAACCGGCATAGTGTTGTTATTGCAGCTCAAGTCCAAAACAATTCTGGACCTCATTTCTACGCTCACTCTTCCACCATCCGCAACACCCGCATCATTACAATTATTCCTTAGCCAGACGGCGGCCCGTGAAGCAGCGCGCAGCGACCACGACAAGGCACGCAGTACCTCGATTCGCACCCCTCCTCGCGCTGCCCGAGCTCCTGCTGCGACCTTCCATCCCGCGCTGTGCAAGTCGCAAGTCGGTCTTTCTTCGAGCGTGGAGAGAGCTGAGCGGTCGCACCTTCCAGCGCCATGTCTGCGCACCAGAAAGTAGCCAGAATGCCTCGCAGCGCCCCGGCGACTAGCTATGGCCAGGTCATTGAGTATATCCAAGGTAGGTACCAAAACAAATACCAAAACATTGCGAATCAAGGCGTTCCGGTGCTAACGCAATGTCTTACAGACCGACTCTACCTTGCGTCGTACACCCACCCGCCGACCGCCGAGACGCCGTTTCCCTATCCGCGCCAGTCCCAATCGCCGTCAAAGAGGTCCTCCAAAGCGCAGCCGGGCCCTACGGCGACAGGCCCAAGAGCCCATCCGCCAGTATACTTCACCATTGACAAGACCCTCTTGTATAATGCCTTCCATGCCGACTTTGGGCCACTGCACATCGGCCACCTTTACCGGTTCGCCGTGCAGCTGCACGAAGTGTTGGGCGACCCCGCAAACGAGGAACGAGCGGTCGTGTTTTGGAGTAACGCAGACTCAAGGAGTATGTTCATGTTGCGCTCACCGAGCTTAGGGCGCAATTGTTGACAATGCCGCAGGCCGAGCGAACGCTGCTTGCATTTTGGCGTGCTACATGGTCCTGATCCAGTCATGGCCCCCGCACCTCGCGCTTGCGCCCATTGCGCAGATGGATCCGCCCTGTATGCCCTTTAGAGATGCGGGCTATAGCCAGGCCGATTACGTCTTGAACATCCAAGACGTGATATACGGCGTCTGGAAAGCGAAGGAAGAGGGCTTGTGTGGGCTGAAAGATTTTAGTCTAGAAGAGTAGGTTTCCGCTTCCCCCCACCTCAAGTGATCACGGCTCATGATTTTAGGTATGAGAAGTTTGAGCGGGTCGATATGGGCGACTTTAACTGGGTGACGCCAAATTTCCTGGCGTTCGCCTCCCCGCAACAACAGCCGACTCATGAGATACCCTCTACGTCTCCGATGTACTCCACCCTCCCATTGACCATCGCCGAAGTCCAGCGCTCCCCGCTACCCACGCCCTTCAAGAACGTGCTATCGCATTTTTGCGCTAGGAATATTGGTCTCGTTGTACGACTCAATTCGGAGCTCTATTCATCGTCATACTTCACAAGGCTCGGGATCCAGCACCTGAACATGATCTTTGACGACGGAACATGCCCCCCGCTCTCCCTGGTCCGGCAGTTCATCAACCTTGCACATGAGATGATCACTGTCAAGAAGAAGGGCATTGCCGTTCACTGCAAAGCTGGCCTCGGCCGCACCGGCTGCCTCATCGGAGCATATCTGATCTACAGGCATGCTTTCACCGCGAACGAGATCATTGCCTACATGCGTTTCATGCGACCTGGAATGGTAGTGGGTCCCCAGCAGCACTGGCTTCACCTCAACCAAGCCACGTTCCGAGAGTGGTGGCATGAAGACACAATGAAGGCCAAGCTTGCGGAGATGATGCCTTCTACGCCTACAAGGTCCCCGCATAAGCAGCGCCTGGCGAGCAACGGCCAGACTTTTACACCCCCTAACGGCTCTCAGAGGCGCGCTGCTCTTGGTGAGATTGAGTCCAACGACAGGAGTAATGTCGGCGGCTCAATAGGTGTCCAAGAGGATAACCTCCCAGCACCGACACCAGGCCAGCCGAGAAAGACTAGCAAAATTTACGGCGGTGGTACCAGCGTGCGCTCCCCTCTCCGCGCCAACGAAAACGAGCCGTTCACGAAGTCGACGGAATACGCCGCTGAGATTACCCGCTTCGAAGGCGAGACCGATGAAGAGTACCATATTCGTCAAATAGCACGAAAGACGACGTCGCGATCGCCGGGGCTGAAGGACAAAGACCGACGGGCTATCAGTATGACGACGACGAAGACCTCCATGACCTCCACAACATGGCGTTACAATGGAGAGAGTGATGCCGAGAACACTGCGCCAGGAGGCACCCGACCCAAGACTCCCGCACGCGAGAAGAGTAATGGAAGCGGCAACGGAAGCATCAGCGTTAGCAAGGTGCGCTCCAGCCCATCACGACGAAGCACGGAGAGCAAGAGCGGAGTGAGAAAGACTAGCGGCAGAGTCGGCAGCGTTGGCAGCTCCATGGTCCGACCAAGGCCATCATAGACGTTTCGAGCGAGTTTTGTTTCACAACATGCATCTGCATCGTCGGTGTTCTGGCATGAACGGCGTACTGGATCCGTCTTCTCCGTCACGAACCTTTCCTTCGATTCCTTCGCCCTCGGGCACTTTATATGTGTTGTTGTCGATGTCTTCGTTCGACCCGCTGATACATACGTGCGTCTGCTGGATGGGTGTTTGGGTCGTACACGTGTGAATATGGGTTGGCCTGCTTTTCATGGCGTGTTCGGTGCTAATGTCTCCTCTGCTGCCACTTCTCAGATTTCTCGTCTCTTTTCCACTCTCAGTCTCAATCTCCTGTCAATTCGCGCTGCTACTCTGCTTTCTGGGGTGTTTGGCTGCTGCGGATAGTCATGACGTGTATGAAATGAATGAGCGCGTATTAGTCTTAATCATTCGAAGTATGCCTCTGTCGAATTTCGCAGCGTGATGTGCATGTACTGGCATTCTCACACTTGCCGATGCTCCTGAAAGCCTTGCACAGAAACAAGACCAATCCAACATACTAAGATATCAGCACGTACGGCCTCTAAAGCCATTTACGGATTGATAAAAAAGAGGTGAGAAAAGATAGTTAGGTCGCGTCAGGAAAAGCCACTTTGAAATGTTGTAGAGGCAGGAACTAGAACGATAATTAAAGTCCGCGGCTATGCCAACTACCCTGAGGCACTACAGTCATGCCTATGCAAAAGCCAGGAATTTAGATGGCATACATGTCGCTCTGTCAAACGCCAAACCATCCCGCGCCGAAAGGGCTGTCTCGGGACTACTCCGTGCAATGCCGTTCCACGCAATGCAATGCAGTGCTAAGCTAACAGACCATCTTTCCATACCGTTGCACTACTCATCTTGCAAGACCTTGAGATCCCGCTCCTGCTTCTTCCTTGGTGGCTCGTCGCTTCCAGTCCCCTCATCCTCCTCCAATTGGCGGAGCTTTCGCTTCTCCGCAGGATGCGCCTCCATTTCCGTGCTCTTCAGCAGCGGAACCATCGACAGAGCAGGCGGCGCTGTTGGTGGCGGTAGGCCCGGCGGCACCGGAGGATACACACCATCGTCGCGTATCGTCCATCCCTCATCTTTCAATTTCCTCCACTTCTCTGCTATTTTGAACCGCACGAGCTCGCCCGTTGTTCTAGCATCTTCGAAGCTGTCATGTCCCGCTGCACCGGCTTGCTGGATATCCATACCAAGGTGCCATTTTGCGAGTGTTTTGAGGCCGTGGCGGTATGGCAGGCCTGAGCGGGTGGGGTAGAGGATGACGGTGTCGATGATGGTGGGGTGGATGAGACGGATGGAGTTTAGGTCGTTTTCGAGGGCGTGGCCCAGGAGGGGAGTGGTGGGTGAGATATGGGAGAGGAAGAGATCCCGCGCGACGTACGGCGAGTCGACGATGCGAAGGTCGGTGCGGATGGGTTTCGGATTCTCGGGGTCGTAAGGCTTTGCGTTGACGAATTGCTCTGCGGTGACACCGGAGAAGCGGGTGTTGACATCCAGAATGTGGCCGAGTGGGCGGACTAAGACGTCGACGAGAGGTCTATGCGTAGGCCAGGACACGACGGTCAGGCGTAGGAGTTCGAGACCATGCGTCGTGTAGCCCATCTCGCAGTCAAAGCAGACTGCCGTATGCGGCTGAGCTTCGTCGTTTTCGGGAGTCTCGACAAAAGGCATAACGAGCGAGAGTCGCTTTACCTCCGAGATCTTGTACACATGCGTATCATGTGTCGTACAGCCCGGTGATCCTACAGGCTCATTGCAGCAAGAGAACCGCGTCGGCTCGGGAGCTTGACCCTTTGCCTTCTTCGGAAAGATCCGCTTTCCCCAGTGATGCTTACACTGACCGCCAGTGGTCAGCGCGCCGTCCTCCTCTCTTCGGTCAGGGAAGACTTGAAAGCGTGTTCCACAACGATCGCAGACCTCCCAAAAATCGGCTAGCTCTTGCGCCGCATGCGTCTCATTCAGTTCAGCGTCTGTCGGTAGCTTGGTGACGTATCCGTGAGCGTCTAAGCCGGTCTGCGGCGAGATAAGTGTGGAGAGGAGTGTGACCTCTTCTTTCGGGTTCAGACCAGTGTCAACTCTCTTCGGTGGCGGTTTCTTTGGTGCCTCTCCCTTCCCTTTCGCGACGGCCTCCCTTCTGCTCTTTACCCACTCGTCTACGGTCATTTTCTTCAGCGCAACCAAACGCTGCTTCAGAACGTTGTCGTAAACAGACGTATGGTCCTTAGCCAGCTTCTCTTCTTCGTCGACCACTAGCTTGTTGAGCTGATTCGGGCTCAAGTGTAGGGCCTTGGTCTCCGGTCGGACTGCTTTTGCGACCTTGTCGTTCAACGGCACCATGTACTGGTGAAGTGCCTTGAGCATCGTCAATCTTCTCGTGAACACTGCTGGCTCCTTCTGAAGTTTGCGCGGCGTCAAACGCACTTCCGCTTCCGGCTTCAGGGGGGCATTTGCTTCTGACTTCTTTGGCGGCGGTGAGACCGGCTTTGTTACAGTTCGAGGGAGATATTCGCTAGTCCTGCTGTTGACTGATGTCTTTTCCGTCGAAATAGTAGGCTCGCTTGCATTCTTGGGCAGCGCTGAGCCTTCCTTCGAAGTAATTGAACCGACAAAGACCTGCGGTTTTGCTTGCTGGCTCGATGCCTGGGTAGCTTGCTGAGCAGGTTGCTTTGTTCCATTGTCAAGCTTCAAGCGTTTTGCTTCTGGTCCTTGGTCGAGGATTGCAGTATTAGAAGCAGTACCAGAATTGGCGTCCTGAAGCTTGGTGACATCGTGAGAAAAGATGCAGTACGGAAGCTCGCATGCAGCACCGGACGGGCAAGCTACATTCCCGAAACTCCTGAAAGCTGGTATTGAAGGCCACATGGTATTCCGTGGCCGTGGAATCTCTTTACCTGTGAGTGAGGGAATTTAGGTAGCTCCATATTCATTACATACCAGGTATTCGGAGCTTGTTGGACGAGTTGTCGCGTCATGGGCGGAGCGCTTGCACGTGAGGTTGATATGGAGCGTATAGAGTCCAGGTGGATAAGCGCACGCGCTCAGGTGAAGCAGGCTCAAAGATCTCTACGCATAGCGCAGCAACCTGGGGTGAAGATACAGTAAAGGAGTCGCTAGGAAGCAACAAGGCTTAGGCTGATTGTGTTTGCCAGCCGTGCTGCTGGGTTGCGCTTCTAGCGGCTAGTCAGTGAATAGCGTGACAGGTGTTAGTGAATCGAGCTCGTATGAGAGCCTGCCCAAGATAGAGTCGTCCTGAGCAGTCCCTTGTCCGGAGCTGGTGTTTGCTGACCACGAGGTGAGAGTTGTGGCTTGAGTCGGCGCGAAGGCCATGGTCCGTGCGTGCCAAGGCTGCAAGGGTCGCGGCTGCCGCCCGGCGGATTTGGGCCAACCGACAATCTCACGCGCACCGGATGACGTCTTCTGCGCTTTTGTTCGTCGTCGCAGGCCATATTCCAGCTCTAAATTCGCATTCAGGACGAAAGCTCGAGTAATCGGATGAAATTTATCTCCGGTTCCGCATTTGAGGTCTGACTCTTCGCGCCAAGGGCGGAGATTCGTTCCAGAGGCTGAGGGCCCGCACTGTCCGATAAGACCAACAGTCCGGACGTGATACGGACTTGTAGAGCTATATCACTGCTTGGTGTGTTCACCTTTCACACATTCTCCACACTGGTCTCCGCACTTCACTCTTTCTTTCACACGCCTCAAAAAACATTTCTACCTCTAATACAATGGCCACGAAGCCAGATCACCTCTGTGTACTTGTCCATGGGTAAGGCAACACGAGCACACGACACTCCCTCCAACCCCGCCTTGCGATAAGGATGCCTGGGAGCGCAATCCCACTTATCCTTGAAGGGAGCTTGAGTGCTAACTGTGCAATTGCAGTCTCTGGGGCAACCCAGAACACCTCAAGTTCCTCAGCACCTCCCTCCGCGAGAAACACGCCGAAGACAAGCTCCACATCCTCGTCGTTAAGCGCAATGCGGGCAGCTTTACCTACGACGGTGTCGAAACGGGAGGCGAGCGGGTCGCGAATGAGGTAGAAGAGACACTGGAAGAGCTTGCTCGAAGTGAGCATGACATTAGGAAGATCAGCGTCATAGGGTACTCGCTTGGTGGATTGATCGCACGCTATGCGATCGGTCTACTATATGCTCGGGGAGTGTTTGAGCAGATCGAGCCGGTGGTGCGTATGCCTCCAATTCGAGGTACATGTCGCTCTCTAACAAGAAGCAGAATTTCACCACCTTCGCCACGCCTCACCTCGGCGTCCGTACCCCGCTGCGTGGATACCACAACCACGCCTGGAATGTGCTGGGCGCCCGGACACTCTCTATGAGCGGAAGGCAGCTGTTCATGATTGACTCATTCAGGGACACCGGCCGTCCTCTCCTCTCCGTGCTCGCCGACTCGGACAGCATCTTCGTCAGAGCCCTCCGCCAGTTCAAGCACCGCAGCTTATACGCGAACGTTGTCAACGACCGCACCGTCACCTACTATACGGCGGGCATCTCGCAGACCGACCCCTTCGAACAGCCCGACGCGGTCAAGGTCAACTACATCAAGGGATACGAGAACGTTATTGTCGATGGCGACAACCCAGTTTCGGCTAAGGAGCCGGAAGCGCTACCAGCCTTCCACAAGCGCCTTACGACCGGCACGAGGACCGCATTCCAACGAGCGCCCATCATAGCCTTCTTCCTCGTCTTTATTCCGATTGGCTCGACGCTCTTCATCATCAACTCGCTTATTCAGTCCCTCCGTAGCCGTCAACGAATACGCTTGCATGAGGAAGGCAAGGCCGGTATCGACGTCGGAGGCTACCGCATCCCGGTCATGATCAACAGTGCGCGCAAAGAGGTCGAGGACATCTTCGAGGAGATGAACAACGCCCAGCAGCAAGAGTACCTCGAGGCTGGCAGCGAAGAGCTGGCCTCGCCCACTCAGCCTTCGTCTCCTCTCTTCTTCCGCAGGATGTCGTCTGCAAAGCATACCGAGACCGTAGACTCTGATGCTGAATCGATCAATGACGACAAGGCCGTGCTCAAGCTCGACTTCCCTACGCTGGCCTTGACCCAGCACCAATTTAAGATGATCGAGAATCTCGACAATGTCGGTTTCAAAAAGTACCCCGTCTTCATCCACAAGCATCGTCACTCGCACGCTGCGATCATCCGGCGGATGGACAAAGAGGGGTTCGAAGAGGGCCGAGTGGTTGTCAAGCACTGGCTCACCACTTTTGAGCTTTAAATTTACTAGTCTCCTTCGTGGGTCGTCACCTGGACCTGAGCAACAGTGCTTGGTGCAAGGCGTAGTCCGGGGGGTCTTGCCTTTTCTCAACCTTTCTGTTTAGGTTGGCGTTTCAATCTGCTTTGTCTTTGGTGGAGTACTGATATTGCAGATGTCTTTTCTGTTTTAGCGGTTTCTTATGCGAGCAGAGTCATGATGCTTTCATGTCCCCTCTCGGCGTCGAGCATTCGGCGGGAGGTGCAATGGATATACCCAGCATTAGATCAAGTCAAAGGAGGTTTGCTTGCTTGCTTTCAAGTCAGGTAATAATAGTTCAATTGAATGTCTTTAGATAAGCCCGGGTGGCACGCCTTCGTATCGATGACCAAATGAGCTTCAACCGGTGATCGCAAACCCAAAACTGCCGACCACTTCCGACCTCCGATGGCTGCATGTGGAGAGTAGGCAGCAATATTGCATCAAGTAATTGTGGCGTTCTAGATGTTGCGTCAATCGCGAGGAATACGAAGACGATACGCGTATATGAGGGGCACAGGTTTGCGTAGCGCGCAGGCTTGAAAGAAAAGCATCCAAGATGTAAGAGACAAATACATCTCGAGCGCAGACACCACGAATCTGCGTCTATGCCCAAGGAGCTCACGCATACCCTTTCGGTTCATTATAACGATTGCAGGACTTGCAGGAGAGCTTCTTAACGCCTTTTGCGACTTCGTCCACCAACTATGGCCTCACGGGAACAGGAGCAGCACTTCCTCGCAAATAAAACGATCACAGTATCGGGAGCGGGAATCTCAGGCCTTGCCTTCGCCATTTCGCTGCACAAACTGTGGTCTTCCATCTCGACCTCACCACCGCCGCCCATCACGCTCTACGAACGCGATCACAGCGCCGTGCCCAAGAATCGCGAGGGCTACTCGCTCTCCCTGCGCTCAGACCGGCCGTCGGCGGGTATCCAGACGCTGCAGAAAATGGGGCTGTTGGATAGGATGCTGGAGGTTAGCATTACGGGGTTGGAAGGGGATGCCACACTTGGAGAAAATGATACGCAAGAGAGGAAGGGGGAAGGCGGCTTTGTGGTCTGGGACAAGGAGTTCAGGAAGATAATGAAGGTGCAGAGTAAGACGCCGAAAGGGTGTCCGGTAGCTGGGATGAGGATTGCGAGGAAGGATTTGAGGAGGACGTTGGTGGAGAGTGTAGAGGGGTTGCCGGACGTGGAGATCAGGTGGGGTGAGGCTGTTACTGGTGTGTCTTCTGCACCGGACGGTGGAGTAGAGATCGAGACTTCGAAGGGCAGGGTCGAGACATGCGATATACTCCTCGCGTGTGATGGCTCGTCGTCCAAACTCCGCGGTATTCTCCGCCCGAACGATACACTCAAGTTCGCTGGTCCGACATGCGTATTCGGGACTACCTCAATCGCAGGTCACCATCCCTCAGGACGAGACGACGAATTCGGCAGCGCGATCTCTGGCGCCGGACCCGCGCTGTTCATTGCACCAGTTGATCATGAGTCGATGATATGGTGTCTTTCCTGGCAGGTCGACGAGCCGCTCGTGCCGAAGAAGCCGCCCATGTCGCCGGAAGACAGCCAGGCGCTTCTCGACGAGGCGAGGAAAATAGGTGGACCTGCGTACGGAGAGCAACTCCTTAAGATGATCGATGATACAGATCCAAAGACCCTCACGCGCTTCAACGCCATGGATAAGCAGCCCTTCACCCACTCAGGCGCTTACATCACCGCTCCGAACCTCTCGTCTCTTCAAGGCAAAGTAATCTTCCTCGGCGACGCGAATCATGCTGTGTCGCCCTTTGCGGGTAACGGAGCAAATCTTGCGCTGATGGATGGATGGGATTTCGCGGAGTCGCTGGTGCAGAGTGAGAGCTTGGAGGAGGCGGTGGGGAGGTATGATAAGTTGACGGTTGGAAGGGCGAAACGGGTCATCGCTATGAGCCATTTCTCGATCCGGGTGATGCATGCTACGGGGTGGTGGCTGTGGTTTTGGATGGGGGTGTTGCGAGTTATTCGGTTCTTGTTTTTCAAAAAGGGAGATTGAAGAAGACGGTGTGGGCGCCGTTGAGAGCGGCGTTGAGTGAGCGTGCGTCGCCTAGGTTTGCTTCGATTGTCTCGTACTTTCGCACTTCAGCACTTGAGCCTTTGGGTCTGACGCTGAGCGCGTAATGCCGCGGATTGTGTAGTGTTGGCTGAGTTCTTCGTTATTGAGAACGCAGTTCGTCACTAAGCTGCACTGGTTTCCAATTCTGCGAAGGCTAAATCCTAAAGCGAGAGTGCTTCCGTTTAATACCTCTCATGTTGTTATTCGTATCTTAAGGTGAGCCTGAAGGTGTAGCGGGTGAGGTGGTCTAAGAGGAAGCCGCGAACGACATTTCGCTTAGTCAGCTCTCATTCACCTCAGCCTCAATCTTAGCCTGGCTTTATCTGCCTAGATCCTACCTATATCTTCAGGAGTACCTCTCTGGTGCTCTCGAGATTCCTATCTATACTGTACACAACTCAAGTGGCTCTCGAGGTCGTGCCATCCTATCTCGTTACCCGCATACGTCACGATTCAAGAATCGAATAGGCGACAATTCATGAGCCTCCGAGGATGACATATGTCTCACGCGCAGAAATCTCTTCTGTTGACGGCGCATCGTCTATCTCTCACGGTATCCCATCAGCGAAGTCAGAGAATGCTCAGATCTACACGCCTCTCGGACACCAAAACGAGAGCCGCCTCGTCCATCTATACCCAGGAGGCCACAATGACCCCATCCCGTGTTCACTCCACCATTTCAACGTCCTGAGTCCACCGCCATATGAGGCTCTTTCCTATGCATGGGGCGACCCCAACGTAACCCTGCCGATAACAGTCGATGGCCGGACACTCCATGTGACAACCAATCTCGACATTGCGCTCAGGCATCTGCGGTGGCCTCGCCAGCCCCGTATTCTCTGGATAGATGCCATCGTGATCAACCAGGAAGATCTCAAGGAACGGGCACACCAGGTCTCCCTCATGGCCCATATTTACAGCAAAGCTGCCTCGGTCCGAGTATGGCTGGGACCCACAGATATGTACAGCAACTTTGTGATGCAGTATTATAAAAACCGGCGACTCTACGTCCGGAGCCTTAAAGCCACGACCCGCCGGATTCAAAGAGCATGCAAGTGCTGGGAGAGCCAAGGCCGTTCGCTGTCATTCTTAGAACAACGGACCCCGTTCCTCGAAAGGTGGGAACGGAAACAGCTGGGGAAAGCTGCGAACCTCTTATTAGTCATATTCGGTGGGTTATTGCTAGCTCAAAAGACCTGGTTCACAAGGTAAGCCGAACGCTCGAACACCGATGAGCCTTTTTCTTAGCTGATGTTCTTCAGACGCTGGTGCATCCAAGAGGTTGCGGTGGGCCGCATAGTGGTAGTGCAGTGTGGGAGCGCGGAGATCACTTGGGAGCAGCTAACCAGTTGCCTTGCGGACATGCAAACTTTCTGTCATTCTCTCCGTGAGACAGGGTTCAAAAGAGCCATAGAGCGATGGTCGGTACAACTGAGTAGAGTAGCTCCGCTTGTCCATGACGACCAGTTAGGCAAGAGCACACTGTCAGACAGCCTCATCCGATTTCGACACTGGCAGAATGGCGACCCCAGGGATACCGTTTATGGACTACTCGCGCTTACCGGGATTAAGAAGGGTCAGTTCGAAATTAAGCCTGATTATACAAGACCAGTGCTTGACGTTTTGGTCGACGCCGTCGAGTATGCGATCGAGGTCGAGGAGAGCCTGGCCTTAGTCGCTGTGCCCTGGGCACCGAGCATTCCTGGACTACCCACATGGATCGTGCCTCTCGAGAAGGAAGTTGGGTTACTTGAAGATCCTTGGGGCGGAAGCATTCCGCCAGACCTTGAGTCGACATTCTACCCCCTCCTTAGATCCAAAGTAATGAAAGCCCAGATTCTGCGCCCGAGCAAGGAGGACGTTTTCGGCACCAGACAATCCTCGGGCTACGTGCTGAAGGTTCTGGGACTCACGCTCAACGGGTTTCTGTGGCTACCAGATGTGTGGGATAACTCTAGCTTGATGGAGGGCCATTTCCACCCGTACCTTCCGGGAATCCAAGATTGGGAAGATCGGAGACCAAGCGATCGAATTGTCCTAATTCCTGGGTGTCAGCGAATCGTCCTTCTAAGACAGCTCGACGATGGCTTTGTCCTTGTGGGGTCCTTGACCGCGTTGGCGGGCGAGGCTATCCTAAGCTATATGCGGAAACAGGAGCTGGATCAACTGATGAGTTCACCAAAAGAGACATTCATCATATATTGAATCCCGAGACGCGGTTCTCCAAACCCGTGAGGCCCGGCACTCTTCCGTATGGTCACCGAGTAGCCTTGCCGGCAACCTATGGTCTGCCCTTACGTTTACCTGCGCTCTTACATCTCTTCCATAACTCCACCAGCCTCTCACCACCGCCCTCTATCCACGCACTCCCTTTGGTGGCTTCGCCATCTGCTGCCCCTTTCGGTCTGCCAGCTGTCGGCCTCGTCATCGCCTTCCCCACATAGCGCCGCGCTACGCATATCGATAGCACAAACAAGCCGACTCCATTCGACGTCCCTGCATCTGTTCTCCAGCTCTTTCTCCACAGAAAATGTGCGCCGGGAGTCGTGTTTTGTTTCGACAGCCGGACGTCGCCGAAAAGCTTGACCTTCAAGACCAGGTCACAGGCAGTCCAATGACCCGTGGTCGGAGCAAGAAGGGCTTAGAGAGATGAGGCGCGGTGCATTACGCAGCACCACCAGCTCCACCTCCAGTAGTCGAGCTGCGCAGTCCGCGAAAATTAACAACTGGCTCCACCGTTTCCTGAATCCCGTCCGCGCATCCCAATCCCACGCATCAAACCCGCGGCCTCTCATCTCCGGCGAAACACAGCACGAAGAAGGATCGCCGCAAAAAATGGCGAAATGAACGGATGGTTTCTGGAAGATCGCAGACAGCGCTGCCCTGCCCCAAGTGGCTTTGGCGAGCTTACGTTTCAGATTTCGCAAGCGTGGAAGGGGCGCGGCGTGGATCGCGTGGAAAGCGCGTGCGTACTGTACGTCAGCCCAGCCTCTTCTCCGTTCCGAAATGGGTGCGGCTTCCGAAGGAGAGGTCGGAAGGGCAGAGGAGAGTCGATGTTTTGTTGGTTCTACCTCCGAGGTATAGGTCAGCTGGTAAACCAAACAAGTGCGAAGCTCTCTTGTTGGTTTTCAGGGTACATACCAAGCGGAATAGAGAGTGCAGCAGACCGTAGAGCGCCAAGCAAGTAGAAATATCGTGAATTCTGATCCTGCCGTAGGTATCGTTGCTATATATGAATCCAACAATAAAACTCCGCGATTGCTCCTTCCCTGCAGACTCGCTGCATCCTGCCTTGGTATCAAACAAAACCCCATAACCCAATGAGAATCCAAGCCCTTAACCCTCGAAACAACTGTATAGACGCCGTAGATATGCTAGAATAGGAGGTTTATATATACCGGATCAGGGAGGAAAATATACAACAGAAAGGACCCCAACTCCACGCTCTTGCTCGCGTGGATCTGTGTACGGAGCGTCAAAGAGTATCTCTGCCGTCTTTAAGGCATCTCCCCTTTCGTCCCACCTCTTCCTGCAGGAACTTCAATCGCTTTGTGTCGCCGTCTTCAAACGCGAACGCGCCGCTCCAGAAGCCGCAGCCGATGTTGGTTGTCTCGTTGCGGTAGACGACTTGCGTTTGGCCAGCCAGGTCGACTGGCGGAATACCGTGGTTTTCGCCCATGGCTTGTCCTATTTGGGCAATCTGGCTGTCGCCGGGCATGTGGTGGAAAAGCTCTGAGTTTAGAGTCCAGCACCGCAGTCCGCGACTTGCGTACTTGTGCCTGAGATTTGGATCTGGATGTGGGTTTGGATTCCTCCAGGGGGTGGGTGATGGAGTCTTTGAGCCCGCGCCGCAGGCGTGAAGGAGAGCGACATCAAATGCTCGGGGCCCTTTTGCTTTCAGCTTCGGCGGTGCAAGATCGGTTAGGAGACGTTCTGCTGCTGTGCGTGAAACGGCATATCCGAATGAGCATAGTGGGAACTTGGAGCGGTGCAAAGCTCGTGAATGCGCCGGCATCTGAAGCGCGCCGAAGAGGGCCTGTGTAAAAGGGTGCAGGTCTGCTCGAACCGGCAGAGTAGGGTCCTTGTACACTACGTGTGCGAGGTCGCTCAGGTTGAACGGCTTATCCGTAGGCACCAGCCCATCGTATGTGACCTCGTTGAAGTAGTCTCCGCAATGCCCGAGATACAGGAGGTCCCATTGTTCATGGTTGCCCCAATATTGCATGTGGTTTCCATCCAATTTCGTGAATGGGTTGTATGATCGCTTGGGCGGCACAACGGTGCGCGCAGCGCTCGCGGCGAGTGGGACCTGTACGCTGCGCAGGCGAACGTCCCAGTCTACGTCGTCTTCGAGGATAAGTGCAGTCTCGAGGCCGGAATCTAGGAACCTACACACGGCGAATCAGCGATAAGCAATACGAGAAGCGCACCCGTATCGGGGAAGCCAAGGCGACGCCTTACCATTGCAGCGCATTCAGGTGTCCCAGCCAGGCCAGAAGCGAGCCTCTCTGGAACTTCTCTTGACCATTTGCAAACCTTTGCACGTCGCCCTCTGTCCACACGGGCTGCTTAGGGATCGTGAGGTCGATGTCGGTGACATTGGCGGCCTGCACAAGCGAGTGGCGCCGCTCAGAGCCATCCTTGGATACGACGACCACGGCACCGAAGCCCAGCGTCCGGTTGGCGGGCAGCTTTACGTGCTGCGCTTCGAGCGACGTCGCCCATTGCTGGTATATGCGGTCGGCGTCTCGATGGTAGAAGAAGACCAGGACCACGAAGGTGAGGGCGACCAGCAGCGGCAGCGGGCGTTTCCTGCTGGGAGCAAGCATGGCGGAGGTTGCGGAAGACGTGGGGAAAACAGAGCGAGGGCAGAGGACTCAGGACATGGCCATGGGGAGGGTGACGTGGAGAGGAGAACCACAATAATGAATAAGGGTCAGGAAACAGCTGTCGAGGATGGGTTGTTTGCGCCCCGGGAAGGTGGAGCAGCAGGTTCCTGGGCCCTGTCGCATTTATCGATCCCGCGCGAGTGCGCTTTATGGGGTCACTTTCGGGTCGCAGGCTCACAGAGCAGCAATAGTGGCGGTTACAGGCGTAGGCAGGGGTCCCATCCGTGCGTGCTGCACGCAGATCGCCCGCTGTAAATGACCGCCAATACGATGGGGACGTTTGGAGCTCCTGCCGCAGCGTCAAACCATGGGATCGCCAGAAGGAAGCTCCAGCCTTGCTTTATCCCTCTTCCTGAGGCAGACCCGTTTTCGTGCGAGCTCCAGGTGTCAACTGTCAGAGTTGCTGGGGCGTAGCAGCGGCATGGTGCTGCGCAAGTTAATATGGGTAGTGGAGCACTCTAGGGCCAACTGGATAAACTGTCCACGCAACCTGATCTCATCGATTGCCCTGGGTGTCACCCGAATGCTTAGGTGCTCCCAAGATCCCAAGCATTCTGTCTGTCTTCCGCTGTGGGACATCTCTGACACCCTCGACGAATGTATATTTAGCAGTCCGTGGTGGAGACGGCGAACCCTCCAGGGCTCTGCGACAGTCACGTGCCTTCCCTACTCCATGCAAGTTCGCCGAGCCGCAGGGCTGAGCTAGGGAGCATGCGCCTCAAATCGACGACGGCAACGCCAGGAACTCCGCAACTTCGCGGATCGACCGCGCAGCAGTACGACGCGCGCTCTCTCTCTCTCTCTCTCTTCGTTTTCCTCATCCTTCCTGACTGTGCCAGCTTCCTTGCGGACAGCTGCACCCTTGTGCCAATCCTGTGCGGCGCTCCCTGAAACCGTTCCTGCAACATCCCCCGATTGCCTCCACCGACCCTGCGCTGCCTCCACGCGACCTGCTCCCATGGATCGGCGTCACGCTGCCTTGGAATCGTAGATAACGCCCCTTTGCTTCACCACATGCCCTGTCTCCCCGCGCCCTGCCAACCATGGCCACGTTAGGGTCGCCGTCCCCCCCGTCCTCGCCCTCGCGAACGATGCGCCGCCGCCGCAGCTGGGCCCGCAAGGTCGAACGATACTGCTGCAACATGATCACATACTTCCCACTGCTGTTCGTGTACGGCTTGACATCATGGTCCGTTTGGGTGGAAGCGGGCATTGGCTTCATGCCCGCCAAAAATGCTTGGACAGGTAGGACACATGTCTCTGGTTGTCAACGCGCAGCCACGCGCGCGAAGAGGAAGATAAGAGCGCCTCAAGCGGAAGAGGTATCAGGCTTATCAAAGCAAGATTATCAAGGATGCGGCGTAGGCTCAGACGCTTCAGAGAACGATGCTGACTCGAGGTGACCAGGGAAATTCTCGTCCGCGCTCGGCATCTTCTTCTATCTCATGCTCAACTGGAGCTATACGACCGCCGTCTTCACTGACCCCGGCTCGCCGCTGAACCTCAACAATGGCTACAGTCATCTGCCGACGCAGGAAGGAGGGGAAATGCACTACACGTCGTTCACGGTAAAGGCCTCGACGGGCGACATCAGATTCTGCAAGAAGTGCCAGACGAAGAAGCCCGATCGCGCGCACCATTGCTCGACCTGCAAACGCTGCGTCCTGAAGATGGACCACCACTGCCCGTGGCTGGCGACCTGCGTTGGCCTCCGGAACTACAAAGCCTTCGTCCTGTTCCTCGTCTACCTGGTGCTCTTCTGCTGGGTTTGCTTTGCGACATCTGCGAGCTGGGTGTGGAGCGAAATACTTAGCGATGGGCAGTTCTCCGAGTCGTTCATGCCGGTAAACTTTGTCTTACTTGCCGTGCTCTCTGGCATCATTGGGCTTGTCATGACCGGATTTACCGGATGGCACCTGTGGCTGACCATACGAGGCCAAACGACTATTGAAAGTCTAGAAAAGACGCGGTACCTGTCGCCGCTAAGGAACTCGATGAAGGCCCACCTTAATGACCGTAATTACCTTGAGGCTCAAGCAAATGGCCGGTTAAGCATCGGCGACCAGCTGCGCGAGATCCACGCCAATGCTCTTCCCAGTATTACCAGACCAGAGGAAGGGGAGTCCACACCCTCGCGTTCGGTGTCCCGCTCCCCGGCAGCTAATGGTGCGCCCATGAGCAATGGTTTTTCCCATCCCGCCTATGGTTCGTACGAGCAACGTGAGCGCCAGCAAAATTACGACCGCTACGAATCATATCTTGAGGAGAGAGATAATGAGCAGCTACCGAACGCGTTCGATCTGGGCTGGAAGCGTAATCTTGGCCATGTATTCGGACCATCCCCCCTGCTGTGGTTTGTTCCGATATGCAATACAACCGGCGATGGGTGGTCCTGGGAAGCAAGTCCGAAATGGGTTGCAGCACACGAGCGGATCCGACAGGACAGGGAGGCGGAGGATCAACTGCAAAAGCAGCGTGAGCGCGCCGCTGGTTGGGGCGTTGATTCACCTACTGAAGCAGAGTTTAGGCGCACCGGCCGAGTCCCAGAGGGCTGGCAGATGAACCAGCACTCTCCCCCAACACCTCGCTTACCACGAAGACCCGAATGGCAGTCGCCACGTCGTCACGGCGAAGAAGCGCGTTACCTAACCACAACCAACGGTATACTATCAACGCCACTGGAAGGCCGTCGCAGTCCCAGCAAAGCCGACCAAATTCTTGGAAGGGAAATTGGCATGTATGCAGACGGCGATATGCAAATGCAGCCGATTGACCGCCGGAAATTTGACCAGTATAATTACATCTCGGACGATGATGAGGCGGATGAGTACGAAGTCTCCAGCGATGAAGCAGCAGCCGAGCAGAGGAGGACTCAACGAAAGAAAAATACCCCACCCCCGCTAAAAATGACGAAGAATTGGAATGATGTGCCTGATGACTTCTTGAACGCGGCGCCGAGGGGAAAGCCGAGAAGAAGCCCCGAGACCAGCAGAGAGAGGAAACAACAGAAGGCGCAGGAGTGGGATGATTGGGGGCAGGATAGCTAGGCGCGTGGTATAATGTAGTCGGCGTGTGACGTAATGTGCACGATTGATGGCATGTGTGAATGTATTATCTGCATAGAAAAAGGGACATCTTGGGCATCTAGTGGCGTTTTTCTTCTTTTCTTCAGTGGGAAATACTTTCATGATCTCTTATGTGCATCAAGATTACGTCTACACGGTCTACACCATAATTTTTTGTAAAGAGACACCATTTCGATGCAAATCTATCCTTATCCTTCTGCAAGTGCTCTGGTGAGCTAACCAGTTCTCGATTATCAAATGGATAATTTTGAATTTTGACGAGTTCCTTCCTCCCTCCTACTCAAGCTGTCTTCGTTGCATCGGGGAAGGCTGAAGCGCGTTGACGTGCCCTGAAGGACTTCTAGGCTAGTGCTCCTGGAGGAAGGTTTGTCTAGCTACCCAAGACTGAGCGCGGCGGGTAGCGTGATGGCGAGAGGTGACGATTGTCTGCCTGGGTTCTGCCCCAACAGACAGTCGGAGCATGAGAGCTATAAATGGCTGCAGTAGTGCGGTTTTCCTTGCCTTTTTTCCTTCACAGTTCGGAAGACAGTTCGGACGTAGTAAACCCCCCGACCCCTTTTCTTTTTCTCCCCTATTCAGGACCCATCCTGGGGTGCTTCAGGTATCTTCGATCTTCTTGCCGAGCTCTGGCCGCACGGAACAATGATCCTGTACTGGCACTGTCGAAACGCGCACAAGGAGCTCGCGCCGCTTTCCTCCCGGCTGACTTCGTGAACGCGCCCGGAACGGCGCTCATGTTCTGGGTATACATGGGCGTGGGAGTACTGGAAGCTGAAGGGAGAAGTGGGAAAAGATGAAGTTCAGCCGAGTACGAAGACCATTTCTGTGTGCGGCTCATGGTTTGCATAAGCGATAATAGACCGATAATCAAAGCACATGCGATTTCAGAACCATACAATCGACCTACATGATGTGTACGCACTTGATCGGTGAACTCGCCTCGTCGTACCGTATGTATCTTACATCCCCGAATTGCCCAGCGCACTAAACTGCAGATCGCTGTACAAGCTGCCATCTTGGGGTATCCATCCGCCGAAGTTGTCGTTGATATCGTTCCAAAGGTACAAATCGCCGTTCTGGAACGCCGCCGAGAAATCTCCCATCGCAAATGGGGTTTGAGTAGGCATACTCTGACTCGCATCAGGGGGCGCCGGGAACGGTCCTGCACCCCCAGCCCAAGGTGGATACGGACTATGTAAATTGAAAGTCGGTGGAATAAACGATGCTGTGGGCTGCTCCGTTGAAGACGCCGGTGGCGCTAGTTGTTGTGTAGGTGGTGCCGTTCCCTCTGGGGGATACAGATGTCCGGGTTGATCGCCCTCTGCAGGATCGGGCTTCGCAGTTGCTTGTTGTTCTCTCTGAGCCTGAGTTTTTTTGCGCTTGATAGGGCCTCCTGATTTGCGCCATTGCTGGTGCTCGTCGTGCCAGGCTTTGAGCTTGTTTTTCAGGACCCATAGCCAGTGTGAAGGAACGCGGCATTTTTGGGGGCCGATGGCTTCGCCACTCATGCGGATAATGCTGTCGAGGTAGTAGTCGACTTTTAGGCTTTTGGAGTCGAGGACTTCACCAATACCTAGGAATATACTTAGCAAATGTTCGCAAGGGCGGGGTGAAATACAAGAGCGAAAGAGGAGAAATCGACGAAAGAGGCCCAGCTAGTTCTAGGACGTGCCTAGCATGCATTGACGTGAATCCTCTGCTCCCTCTTAACGTCGTCAAACGAGCCACCCTAAATGACTCCAAGGGGAAGGGTGCAGGGCCGATGCAGTGAGACTCTCACATGACGTACCTTCAGCGTCCGTTCCAACGGCGTAATCCGCTCTTAGAAGTGCAACAAGCGCGTATATTGCACGGACGTAGTATGTGTTATTGGCCATCTGGAGTCGCTCGATTGGCACCTGCAAGAACAGGTCCAGCAGCGAGTGTGCTTCGCTAATGCACATGACGGTGGCGTTGATTTGAAGCGCAGAGCGCGATAGCAGGGTTTCGGGCTGTACGCAATCGTCGTCCAAGGCAGGAAGAGTAAGATATCGATTCCTGTAGTCGGGAGCATCATATCCTAGCATGCCTTAGCGACATTTCAAGCGCCGACGTGGGTGTTGCTGCTGCTCCAAGCCAGAAGCCGACTACTTATAATAAGGTTGGCCGGCTTTCGCTCCGCCTGTTGCCGCTGCCATGATGGCTAATGCTATATTGAGCGAATCTATGAAAACTGTACTTACGGCCTCCGTCCATGGCGAACTCCCACATAAAGATCATGTTTACGCGATAATCCATCATAAGTGGAACTGTAAGCCTCGTTAGATCCCTCGCATGAAATTGCAGCAGCACCTACCAGTCAAGACTTCGGTAGGGATGGACTTCTTCCAGTCCTGCATCTTTCTGTCGAAGATTTTCAGAATCGCTTGCAGTCGAAGCTCTGATAGACTGAAGCTAGTGCTCGCGTCGTCGAAGCCGAAGGCCGTGTTGGCCTCGTCGGAAATGCGTTGGAGCTTAAGCCATGCGATGATTCTTCGGTCCTCGAGTATGGGAGACTTTTCTAGTAAAGCCACGCATTCTTCCATCCATGCGTTGAACGTCAAGATCGAAGGCCTGCGGAGCCTCATAGCAAAACTAGGCAAAGTCAACTTCATTCCTACCGCAAATTGTATATCCTGGACGATGTATAGTGTAGGAAAATATGAGAACCAACTAAGCCCGGATCGTCTTATCATAGGTGTGAAGTCGCCGGATGCTTCGCTGTGGAGAGAAAGTAATGGAAAAAATGGACTCACCCAGCAGTTAGCGAATACAGCGCCAGGACAGTCCGGCAGTTTTCTAGTAGTTCCTCAGCGGAGGATATCCGTTGGAGGGACCTGATCGCTCTTTTAGGCAACTGTTCGTGGGTCCTCGGCTTGGATGCCAGGCCCAGCTCGAGTGCCATGCTGGCTGCCATATTGCCATATTGATAAATTTGCAGATGAGCGGGCGTGTTTGGAGGAGTATACCAGGCTACGGTTACGAACAGCGCTTGAATGTGTTGTAACGATTTCTCGCACTTGACGAAAAGCGATCTTGCATAAAGGTAGGTGATTTCTTCATGTAACTTGTTGGAGAGCGCTGCACCCTTCAAGTGCGATGCTGCAGCCATAACGGCGTGGAAAAGCACCGGCTTCTTCGATCGCAATTGTTCAGCCGTCCAGTCTCTCGAAATCACGACTCCGGGGCAGTCAGTGACAAGCTTATCTCGGTAGAGGTCCAGGAACTCCTGAGCCATCTCTTTACTGATGATGCCGCGGTCGACGATATCTCTTTCCGGATCTGCTAGAGGGTCCCTCGGTGGGCGATCTTCCTGGACGCTCGCGCTCGGCGGCGGCCACTGGTCATGAAGGCTTGCGATGCCTGGCGTAGTATTACTCTCAAGACTCTGTGCGTACGTGGTTGACTCCTTCTCCACATTACTCTCTTGCTCATCTGGCTCCTCCATTGACTCGTCGTCGCTGGCCTCAGGCGGAGAGACCCTAGCAGTAGGTTTCAGCAAGGAGTGTAGCTGCTTGACCTCCTTTTCGAGCTCTGCTACTCGCACATCTGTCCGCTTCCGCTGCCGTCTCTTCGCCGGTGGCGCGAAAACGCAGGTTCTACCTGCCTTGGCGCATCTTTGACATTGGGATGTTGAGGAGCCTGGATTCACCAAGCAACGAACTTTCGACAGTCGGCATGCCTCACAAGCTCTGTTCAGTTGTTGCTCTGGGTTCTTTCTGGGAACGAGCTCAGGATTGCCGGCAGAGCCGCCATGCGACATGGCTCGACAGCAGTTTGGACGAAGACTCGATTAAGATGCTACTTGTAGGCAGAAATCCAGAAACCGCAACGGTGATGCCCCAGGAGCCGAGATCTGGTATAGGCGAACGAAAACGATTGGCTTTGGCCGTCCAATCACGAAGGACTTTACAGCCGATTTCCCACGCAACGGGGACGGCGCCCAATTGTGATACAGATGTTCGAACTGCGGTCAAAAATGGCGTGGAGGTCGCTTTTGCGATTTCTCAGCGGAAGCCGATGAGGGGCAATCGATATGGCGCTCGGGTTGAGTTAAGCGAACAGAAACTCGTGGCGATACGTCCGATGGAGTGCGTTTGAGTCTTGGGGCGCGGTGTGATACGAAGCGCATTTCCGGCGGCTGGCGTGTGTGATGACGAGAATGTTGATGCCTTGGAGGAGCGGGATGCATGTCCTTCTGTAAGGCGAAACAGGGATTGGTGGCGCTACGCCAGCCACGGCCAAGTGCTGTTCCTTTGGCTTCACATGGCCACACCAGTTTCTTGCAGCCTCTCGCGGCTCGCACACTGTATAAATATAAAGTAAGCGGACCCTGCACTGGCTTGAACAAGAAATATTTGGCTTAACGAGCGAAACGCCGCTCGCCTATCCTCAGGAGTCCCGGCGATGTGTGTTCCTGCTCAAGGTGACGGACGACGGCTCGACGGAGGCACTTTCGTCCGCACCCAGAGCGGACAGAATCCTGGTTGGGCATGGCTGCTCTGCAGAGGGACGGCATTCCATGACGCGAATCGAATTAAGTATTCACCGTCGGAAGTAGGGCATTACGCGCTGGGCATCCAGCGTTGCACGCATGCCGTTGTTGGAGCACATGGCGGTTGCTGTGTACTGTGCAGTAGAAGAGAAGGTGCGGGCTTGCGCCTTCTACATTTCCATCCCATGCCCCTCGAGTTGATCCCATCCAAGTCACGCTCATCACAAACCTTGGGCTTCACAAAGTGACTACGTTTCTTTTCCCCACATGATAGCTCGACCAGTCTGCGCCCCGTTCCCGCGCGGTTTTCCGACGGCGAACACGCGCTGACGCGAAGGCACGTGCCAAGGGCCCGCGAGCGGCTTTCATTATCCTCTCAAACTGGCGAATCAGCAGCCTCCGTCTACCAGCTACTGCTTCCATCGAAAACGAATCGGCGTTGACATGTTCCTCATAGGGCGCGCCCACCCGTTGCTACGACTAATCTTGCATCAGACGCTTGTTCGGCCACGCGATGCCGAGCTCTGAGCCAGCTTTTATGACTCCCCGGCTCCCACTCTGCTCCGCAAAGAGTCAACTTTCGAACCAGTGCATCCACCATCCACCCTGCCCGAGTGGCGCCAAACAGTTCTAGCAGCTCCTTCAACCGACGGGCCCGAGCCAGAGAAACAAAAGTCGCACACAATCGCATCTGCTGGGTTGGGTGGTATCTTGATCATGGCGGATCCCTATGGGCTGGTACATGGCTGGTGAGTATGAGTGGCCGAAATAGTCTATCCAATGCTAAGGCTTCCAGCAAGGCGGCGACTGCACGGCACACACGAGACAACAAACGACGAAGCGGAACCTAAATTTTTTTTTTATCATGGAAATTAACAATACCAGAGAATCATAGCACCCGCGGATACATATTCCTGGCGTAGTCAACCAGCGACGACAAAATTTCAGAAGAAATCAAAATGCCAGCGCTCTAGCACAGCCAGAACCAGAACTTCTCCCAAGCATTCCTTGGAATCTGCTCCGGCCAGTGCTCAGCGTCCAGTGCCGCCTTGCCGGACCAAATGTCGGCATTGGCAGGGTTTACAACTTTGGAGCGCTTCAAGATCTTCCAGAAGACGAAAAGACCGAAGAAGATGGGAACGCCGATGTAGGCTGTGAAGAAGCTGGTCAGCTGGTCAGACCCCCACGGGGTGTCGGCGAAGACCGCAAAGCCATTGAAGATGATGATACTGCAAAGCTGGTTAGCCGTGTTCCGACCATGTCTCAGTGGAGACAACTTACAGGACGAAGTATGTGAAGGCTGCCCACGCCGTGTATGGCTGGAATGGCGACCTGAACACCAAGGTGCTGCGATCAATGCCTTGAGCATCCAGAGCCTTCTTGAAGCGTGTGTAGGTGATGCAGATGCAGCACCAGGTAAAGAGCTGGGCAATGGTGGTGAGATTCTGGAACCACAGGAAGACGTTGTTGGCGCCAGTGGATACGCTCATGTACGTGAGCAGCGAGACAGCAGCCGTAACTCCGACGCAGTAGTACGGAACACCGTTCTTGGAGCATTTCAGGAGGAACCTAGGAGCCTGACCGTTTTGAGCAACACCGAAGAGGTAACGCGAGCCCGTGTACAGGAATGCGTTTCCGGACGACGAGGCCGAGGTCAAGATAACGGCGTTGATAATGTGCGGGAGGACCGGAATCGAAGCGTTCTGCATGGCAATGACCCAGGGAGAAGCTCGCGCGCCCGACTCATTGGTGAGGGCATCGTCATTAGAGCTGATGCACACTCCGATGAAGAAGGAACCGAAAATGTAGAAGAACAGGATACGCCAGAAGACGCGACGGACAGCCTTGGGAATGTTCTTGCGGGGGTTTGCGGCCTCACCAGCAGCAACAGCAACCATCTCGACACCTCCGTACGAGAAAGCAGCGTTGACGAGCGTAGACCAGAGACCCGCAAAGCGACCGGAATCGCCTTTGCCGACGTATTCCTTCATAGCGCCCTCCTTCCAGTAGCGGAAACCACGACGATCATGGTCCGGGGCACCGCCGAGCCAGATGACGCAAGAGCAAATGAGCAGGCCAAGGATGGTGATAATCTTGATCGAAGCGAAGATGAACTCGGCTTCTCCGTAGATGGAAACAGCGAAGATGTTGAGCACGAGTATAAGAACGATGATGAGCGAGATCCAGACGGCGGGATTGATCTTCTGCTCTGTGTCCCAGAAACCGACGAGAACGGCAGCGGCGGAGATCTCGGCACAGAGAGTGATAGCGCATTGATACCCTGAGTGCGTTAGCGGACGCTCTCCACGGATCCTGGAGGGTTTCGCTTACAGTTGTTCCATCCGACAGCAAAACCAAGCGCGGGATCGCTATAACGGGCGCAGTACTGAGGGATAGCACCAGGCAACGGGAGCCAAGTGGACATTTCCCCGAGAGATTGCATCATGCCATAGACAGCGACACCTGTGAATGTGTAACCGAGGAGAACGGAGACAGGGCCAGCATTCGCGAAAGCAGTGCCGATACCAAGGAAGAGACCGGTACCAATCGTGCCTCCGAGGGCAATGAATTGGATGTGTCGAGACTTCAGGCCACGCTCGACGTAGCCATATTCTTCTGCCGTTTGAAGGTCCTGGTGACAGTCAGTCAGCGCCTTAAGCAGTCATCGGGAGAGAGGATTTACGTACCCCGTACACTTCGGCGGCCTCACCAATATTGCCACCCCTTCGGGCGACAACATCTTTCACATCATGGGCCTGGCTGGGCGGCGAGTCACTGCCGACAGTGTACTGCCCTTTCTCATAGTCGGTTTCCGCCATCTTGACCTATTCTTCCACTGAGGGTATGAGCGGTCTCACTCCGGACACGAGGAAAGCGGAAGATATATATGGAGGAGGGGAAGTCGTGTAACCAAGGACACGAGCTAGGACACGAAAGGGCAGGGGTGGGCGCGACGCCGCAATTAAATTAATGAGGACAATACCTCTGCAAGCTCTGGCTTGGGATGGGAGCACAAGGGAGGTCTTTATAACTCGGGACGCCCAGCAGCATCACGGCTCGTTGCAACCCTGGACTGGGTGCCGCAGCGCAGCAGGAAGCTTGGGCCCATCTGGAGCTAAAACAGCAAAACGCCCCTGGGATCAGCGGCGGTGATGGCGGACTTGGGAATCGGGGAGCACCGCGGGCTTGTCGTTCTGCGGTCTGGGTGGCGGCCGGAATCTGCATTCGCGGCAAATCAAGCAGAACGCGACAGGCTTGCCCTTCAGCTCGACCCCCCGATTGCCTGCCATTGGTAGGGATGATAAGGGCGACCAATCTACTGCAGGGAGCGCGGAGTAGGCGATTGGTGAACCATCGGCGCGCCGAACAGATGACAGGCATCTCACAGACAAGCAACGCACATTGGCGTGGGGTACGTGAGCACTCCGCAAATGCTTGCTCACCCTGAAACGCCTCTTGTACCCGGACAGTGGCAACGCTCGGTGTCCATTCTTATATTCGCTTTGCAAACGGACTCTGGCTCCTTTCGCTGGTTACCACGATGCAAGTGATAGCGGTGTATGCGGCGCGAGTATCGTTCGTCGTTCGACGTTCGACAAGAGTGCGATTTGGCATCATGGTCAAGCCTCGATTCAAGACACCTCGGCGATCCTAGGCGGGAAGATCCCTGAAGCTTGAGTTGGGTGGCAGGAAGCGCACAACGTCGTTGGTCGAGTCCTCGGTCAACCTCTCTAAAGAGGAATCCTTCTGGAACGCTCGCCAGCGGCGCTCTAAAATGCGCGGCAACGTACTCACGGTTTGGCCGCGTTCCCAACCGCACTCGGATCCGGACATTTGGAGGGATCAAAACGGACTTTTTGCATCGTTCCGAGGAGCTAAGACGACGCAAGTTACAAATACCGGCATCCGTATCGCGCGAATGTCGAAGAACGCCAGCAACTGTTCGTGTACTCTGTGGGAAACGGCACAGCGAGCGATGGCACTTCCTCCACTTGGGTTGGTTAGACCAGGCGTCCCCGGCGCTAGCCTCATGCTGACCGGTCCTCCTCGTGTCTGCTTCACCTGCCTTCTTGGGTCGCACACAATAAAATGCTAGAATAAAGATGCTCATCTTACACGACTCTCTCCGTCACGCCATTTCTGACGGGCGATGCAGCTTACAGAACGCTGTCTATCATCCTTCTAAGACCCGACTGCTGTTTGAACGTTAGGTCTCCACTCGCGTGGGGTCAAGACCATGAGGCGGATGGTAGCCTTGGTCACCGGATGGCGCTGTGGCATGCGTGAAATAGCGCAAGCACTACCCGATGCGATGCGGCAGGGCTCCCGAAGCTTACGGACAGAGCCTCACGCGACAGAGCGCACGTTATAAGGCTTCTAGGCTTCGAGGCTTCAAGGCTACTAGACGCAGCTGAGCTTTAAAACGTCTAACACCGTCAGGCGGAAGCGGAACCAAGCGGTCAGTCTCTTCTGGGTAACTCCCGAGGCCGTGATCCTGAGAGGCGTTCTTACCGATACACAAAAAGACATATTGCCAATCATGACGCTTCGAAACTTTTGAGGTCTTACTGACCTCTTTATTGCTTATTCCTTCGATTCCAGAAGCTCAGCGATCGCCGCCGGGACATGGGCTCCAGGTTCTCGCTTTTCAGACACCATTCAGCGTTGCCATGCCGGGCACTTTCCCCTCGCTTGAAGCTTGGGTCACCTCTGGCGGCTTGGCAACTTTCGTCCTCGTGGAGAGTGACATCGTCGCTCTCTATCAGGAAGGTCTTCGCAGTGGTCAAAACGCCGCAGTGACTTAGGGCTGATCAAGTGGCGCAAACGACTAGGATGCGAGTCCCCGTCACTATTGCTGTATACTTACACATAGAAAGTGGTGATGTTATCAGGCGGCGGATAGCTGTAGTGGATCGGGTAGCGACATACTCAGATGACTTGCGCATGGGGTTTCGCCACAGACGCAGGGTCGTGGTGTTGCGACAATTCCAGGAATTCGGGTTGATGGATTGTGCGATACACAAATGGCCAGGGAAGGGTTGCGCGATATTAGACGGCACACGCCGAGCGCGATACTGCTGACTGCAACTGTCACCCGTCAACTACGAATGCCTCTCAAATGGCACAGCACCTTCGATAGACGCCCGAGGGATATTTTGTCGACTTGAGCATTGGTTTGGCCAGCCATGGTTGCGGTCGGCTACACGTTTGGCTCCCGTCGGCTTAGCATTCACAGTCGGTACTGAATATGGCTTAGCGGCTCGACGCTCAATGGCCATCTCCTTCTCAACACTATCATTTCTAAGGCTACTCGTTCAATTTTTTTCATGGGGCGTCAAAGATAACTGGCGCATTTTTCCTCCGTCAAGACAGAGCCACGCCTTGCCCATACGATATATTAAGCACAGCCCAATCAATCCTGCAGGTCTACACAGTACAGGAAGAATTCTATAGAAGCGTGTTAAGGGGGCTTGCAGCTCCGGGTGCGAAATACGAAGCTTTCGGGCTACGGTGTCACAAAGACACCCAAAATATCTCCCAATTCTCCGGCACCGACTTCTTGGAAGCGTCTACGGACATTCCAAGCCCTCCTGCTCGTACCGAAATCTCCGCTAGGGCGATCCGACCCACGCGACGCTAATTCTGTAAACTTCCATGACACTGCCATGGGACTAAGGTTATCTCTTCGTATCTGTGATGTTTGAAGAGGGCATTAGACTATTCGAAGGTCGAGAAAAGTTTTCACGCAACTTGGTCTCACGATCTCGGTTGCAACCGGTCGATCCGAAAGACGCGATGCGAGGACTCGTCATCATAGACACGAGTCCCGCTATCGTACAGACTAGCAGGCGAACATGCTTCGAGGTCCCTTCTAGCTGCAGGTTTCGGCCCTTTCCCGGCGCCCCTTCGGTTTTGTGGGGCAGAAGTTTACGAGCTTCTCAGACGTGAGATGCACGACTCTGTGGTCATGGTCACACAACGTCAACAGGCTAATGGCCCCAGTCTTCTCTGGAGTAATACTCGGGCAGCGGCAGTAGTGCGGTCTGTCGTCGCTGGTATGCACCTCGGAACCCGCTTGGTTTCTGTGGGGTAATAGCGGGAAGACCGATGGTGCCTTGTGGGAAGCCCCGGATTTCAGGTACGTAATTGCTCAGACGGGAGCTAATACTGCGGGGAAAGGCACTCGAACACGCACTGAAGGCATTAGAAAGGTTGTGTCCATGATCGGTTCCTTGAAGAACTTCCCTCTAGGTTATCGCGAGCTTCTGCGGTTAAGCCTCATCGAATCAACGTCCCTGACCTCCTAGCGGCTTCAGAGGCGTCGGCTCCTCGAAGCCGTACGTTTACGGAATAGTTTACTTGTCGCAATGAAACTATCTACTCGGAAATCGAGCCTCTTCCGCGTTCACAGCATTGGTACAAGGACGACCGGTTTCGTTATTGCACGATCTCATCGAAGTACAAGGACTTTGACCTGCTGCTTCACTGATGAAGCTGTATCATTTTGAGAATTCAGTCTCTGCGTGGAAAGGAACATGTCCTACTCGTTCGTTTCACGTCTCGGCGAATGTTAGGAGCCGAAAAGGTAAGAAGGACTCATAGCGGTGTGCAATCGCATATTGGCAATTGGTAACGTATACTCCGGTAAGAACGCTTCTTTCACTTTCCGTGCACACCCTCTGATTCATCTCGTCTACTATACTACTCTCCACTGACGGGGAAGAAGATCAACTTCACGAAGATCAGGTTTGCCTCAGGATCTTTCCTCATACCTGATACCATTCGTTTCTCTTCTTCCTAGGTGGACTGCACTTCTCGCAGAATTGGTAATATCCCCGCAACGAACGGGCCATGATTCTTGGTCGATGTCTCCACATAAGCGCCGTCTCCTATATATTCGATACCCAACACTTTGCAGCCCACCTTCTATCTCTCTACGCCTCACGCCCATCCTCGAACTGTGATTGCTCACCTAAGAACACCTTCTAAATTAAGGACGTGGGGACTCCCAAGCCAGGGCTCTTTACCTCACAATGCCAAAATACAGTGTGGGCCAGCACGTTCGTTACAAATGCGTTGGAGGTACTACCCCTTCTCATCCTATCCTCAAACCGTCTAACCACTCCCATCACAGGACCTCACTCCAAAACACCCCCCACATCCGGCACCGTTAAGCAGGTCTTCACAGCCCCCACTACGCTCGATGGCAAACATATCCGGGCTTCGGCGGACGAGCCGCGGTATGTGATCGAGAATGTGAGGACGAGGAAGAGCTCCGCGGTTTTCGAGAGGAATATCTTGAGCATAGATGAAGAGAGTAGTAAGCAGGAAGAGCATGGCGGGAATACGGGCTTGGTCGGGGAAGCCGACTTGACGGGGCTAGTCATGGGTGCCATTATGGGTGTCCGGGTTGAGGGGCCGATGGGGAAGAAGAGGATATGGAGGGCGATGGATGAGGCGGAAGAAAGGGAGGGAGAGGACGTGTGAGGGTATGAGTTGTATTCTTGAGGAGGCTGGGGTCCTATGTGGAGGGGTATAACGTGCTTCGAGGAGGAGCTTCAGTTGGAATGAAGAAAGAACGCCCCTTTTTTGAACGCCTTCACATGCAATGAATTGCCCATTGCGCGCCTGAACACCGCCACTGTTGCCGTGATCTCCCTCCATAAAATGATATTCCCCGTCTTCTGCCCTCTCCCATGCTATCTTTACGCTGCAGCTGCTCCCGACAGCATACAGTCCCTCCCATCCACCTTAGCCCGGCCCAATCTTCGGCATATCATGATGCTCGCTCAACCCACTCAGATACTTATTCAACTCCTCCACCTTCTCCTTGTGCGTCTTGACGCCCTCGCGCTTCAGCTTTTCCTCCAGCCGTTTCCTCCGCATTTCCTCGTGCCGCCTTTCTGCCTCAGTCTTCTGGCGCCCGCCAGCTTGTTTTATTGCGCGTTCGGCGGATTCGGGGGATAGAGAGCGTCCTGGTGTGTGTGACGGCGATTTGGGGGTTTCCATGGAGGAGGAGGGACGTTCTGTGACGTCGGCGCGGGTTTCGGAGGACGGGGATGGGTCGCTGGGTTTGGGCTTCTTTTTCTTCTTCTTTTTGTCGATGCCGCCAACACCTTTTAGTTTGAGGGCGCCGCCCGCAGCGGATGTGTAGTCTGAGGAGGGCATTGTAGCGTGCGTGGTGTGGGGAGGAACTGCTTCGGAGCTCGAGCGTTGATTGACGTGGGGAGCGTGCACGTGACGCGGAGGTGCCTTGAAGGCTGGCGCCGTTGAGTGTTCGAACGACACCACCGACTAAGCCAGATCACTCGGCTCTGGAAATTGAACTGGTGTATGTGTAGCTGGAGGCTGTTAACTCCTGCTGCATGAGTTACTGACTTTCACAGGTCCTACCTCCGCCCATCGAGGGGCCATCATCTGTCAACGGATGCGTCGTTACCCTCAGCCGCTACCATCACTCCCCCCTGAGCCGTACCACCCGTCACGATGGCCACAAGCGCGCTTCTGACTCTGCCGACCGAGCTCCGCCTCCATCTGTACGACTTCGTCGTCCCAGAGGTTCCTCTCAGCGTCCCCGCCTCGCAATACACAGGGCTTCTATACTCGTGTACACGCATCCGCGACGAGCTGCAACCCGAGATACTGAAGCACATGACGGCCTTCCTGCTCGAAATGCAATCCCACCTGCGCACCATCCTCGCGAACGATTTCGAATTCACCCTACCACAGTCCTACAGCGAGCTACAGACCCTCACCGTGACCCGCCCCTACAGGTTCAAGCCGTTCCGCGATACAGACCCCTTCCTGCGGCTGACCTACCTCCACTTTAAGTCCATCACGTTACGATATAGAGCTCCACCTAAGTCCAGCAACCCGGACTATGCAGGCGGCCCTTCTCCGCACCGTGGCAATATGCGCCGACTCCTCTTTTACATCGCCAAGTACGCTCATTGGCCGGGATCTTCGCCGTGCGCGAAGAGGATAGTGTATGATTGGAGTAGGGATCAGGAGCACGATAATACGAACTTTCCGTGGACTGATTTGGGGTGGTTGGCGGAGACGGCGGGGTGGAGTATGGAGCCTTGGAGGGATGAGGAGGGGAAGATAATAGGGGCAGTGTTAGTGAGAGTGGATGGCCCCGGGGAGGCATAGGGGCTTGGGGCGCGATTGAGCGCTTGGGGATGCATGTTGGCCGCGGTGCACCGCGCTGGTCCGCGACGGCTGTTATAGCCTGCAGGCTGTGGAAAGCTGCTCCTAAAGGCCTTCAGCAAGTAAGACATAGGATATGCTGGATGTCGATTGGTTCTTTCGATCCGACTCATTCCTAATGTGTGCCACCACGTTCGTGGCTGAACGAAGAAAGCAATTCCTCGCCTCTTTTTTAGAACCTCCTAAACCCCAGGTCCCATGGCGCTGGTTCTATCCCTAGTGAGCCGTATCCACCATCAAATCGGTGCTCCCCTTCTCTGCTGAAGCATCAGAAGTCACAAGACTGCGCCAGCAACTCCGCCAACTCTTCCAGCGCAGCCTGATCATCCAACGTAAACCCATTCACCTCTGCACAATCGACATCAATAATAGCCACCACCTATCAACCCATTAGCTCAAACCCCTTCACAACCATATCCTCTGACTCACCTTCCCCTCCTTCAAAATCGGCACAACAATCTCACTCCGACTCGCCCCATCACACGCAATATGCCCCGGGAACTTCTCCACATCCTCGACCAACTGCGTGATCTTAGTCTGCGCAGCGGTTCCACATACCCCTTTGCCAAATGCAATCGTCTGGCACGCGACCTGGCCTTGGAAGGGCCCCAGGATGAGTTGAGAGGGGTTCGAAGGGTCGACGAAGTAGAAGCCAGCCCAGTTCACGGAGGAGGAGGGTGAGGGTAGTGAGTGGTAGGCGTGCCAGAGCAAAGAGGCCGTGTTGGAGAAATTGCTTGCTTGCGCGTAAGTAGGGAAACGTGACTTCGGCATTGTGGTGGACGATTGCTTCGTGTGGCGTGGAGGGGGGCTTACCAGACCTGTATGGATGTTAGCATTCTTGGTACTTAAAAGATAGGCGTGAACAAGCCAGGCTAGGAGATACTTGCCCAGTTACGCTGGCCTTCGAATAGAGCTTTCGCTTGCTCAAGCACCTGCGCGTACACTTCCTTCTTGCTCATCCCCTTGGCGAAGGTAGAAGCTTCCGCGTGCACCTTATTTGCCATTCAAGCATTAGCCCGTACGCTACTTCAGCCATGTTCTCTCACTGACCATGTTCACACGTTTCTTTTGTTCCTCGTTGATGCTCAAGTTCGAAAAACGATGTGGAAGCTTTCAAGCTAGAAATGGCGCGATCTAAGCCTTGATTGGTTGGACGATGATCACGGAAATACATCATTCAGACAGACAACTACATGAACGATCCGATGCTAGGGAGCAGAAAATTTTGAAGAGGGTGATTGGGCTAGTGTTGAAGGGTGTTGAATAGCGTTCGCTGTTGCATCTGAAGCTTTTCTCGAATCATTTACCGTGTCCGGACTATTCTATCGCTTCCATAGGCGAAGACTGCGTCTGCACTACGTATCCACCAAATCTGGGCAGCATTATGCTTTTGCTCCGTATGATGGCGTCTGATCACCGTCTCTCCACTTGTATCTCACTACTCCAACCAGTACTTCCTGAGAAGTTGCGCACCACCCGGTCGTCTCCTAACCTTCCACCTTCGTGCTCTCCGCGTAATTGTGCTCACAGCACTCCGCCTGCCCTCATCCATCCAGATGCAGAGGCCGGGTTACCCTAAAGCTTTGTCTTAAATCCTCAGCAATCCTTAGCGGGCTTTCAGCCCTTGACCGCCTCCAGTCCCTGGACACCCTCCAAGCCCTCTGTTACCGGCTCATATATCACATCCACATCCAGATCCTTCATCGCCCCAATGACCACGCCTACGCTCTCGAAGAACCCGTTGACTGCAACGCGTAACATGCGGTTTGTGGTTGCGGCGTAGTTCACTCGTAGGACTGTTTGCTCGGAGGAGTCTGCAGGTGCGACGAGGGAGAAGGAGCGTTGAACGAGGTGCGACAGTTCGGCATCTACTGAAAGAGTACGGAGTGCAGTAGATGCGAGGTGGGCTGTTGGGAAAGGAATGTCGAGGGTGCTAGAAGTAACTGTTAGCTGAAGGAGTAGATGAGAGGATTGGTTGATCATACAGCGTGCAAGGAAAGTCTAGCTGCTTCTTCCCGTTCTGCTCTGCCATCACTGCGATTATTCTGTCGTCCGCAGGTTCCTTTCTTGAGACTCTCGATCGATGTTCATAAACCTGGGCTTGTACCTGTCGATTCTGAAGAAGAAATTAAGCTTGCATGAAGAGCGTTAGCCGCATCCCATTGCGGCTTAGCGCGGTTAGGTAAAAACCGTTCCTCACATTCGTCGGCCTCAGGAGAGCGTCATTGAGCATCATCATCGATTCATACCCTGGTATGCCAAGCTTGGTAGCAATGGAGTACAAAACTGCCATGGAACCTCGGGCTTCTCTATCCTTTGAAGTTTCAAGCCTTTTACCACCATAACGTACGCGTCTCTCGCCAATTGACGCAGCACTGCCTACGATACAGCGAATATCATGGCTTCAACATCCTTCTACCGACGCGCCGCCGTCCCCTCGTCACGAGCACTCCAATTCTCCGTCCGTAGCCCGTCAATCCTAATCCGGCCGGCACAAGCGACCTATACGCGCCAATTCTCGCTCTCGTCGCGATGCACGAAGGAGTACCCAGAGAAGCTGAGCACAAACGAGAGTACGAAGACGGATCAGTATCCGGATGACGAGCACTCGACGAAGAAAGCGCATAAGGGAGATGACTTCGATGTTCAGACATCAAATGTGAAAGGCGGTATGGAGTAAGTCAGCCACTCTTCTGCATTGGCTTAGTCTACGAGCAAGTCGATATTTATTACATCGGATCGAGAGACGTCGGATGTTCCTTTGTTGCATATTTCACTGCAGGTTTCTAACCGTTAACGTGTATAGCAGTGCGAAGAAGTCCAGTACAGGCGGCCACGCAACCGAGGGGCGGGATTCTGCGGGAGGAGTAGAGAAGGCGAAGAAGGAGCATCCTGAGGCACCGGACCCAGCCATCGGAATGCAGGACGAGCGAGGTGGACGAGGCGGATGATTGCGGCGGACACAACTTTGAGATTGATACAAGAAGACACTGTGGGCCATGTTGCGCCCGGAGACTGACATTGCATGTTAGCGCATTCTTCGAGAGCATAAGGCCTATGCTAGGTACTACCGAATCAGATCAGTTCAAGAGTTACATCCGGTTCCTCATGCGGATAGACGGCTGTCATGCGATCCACTCTTTTGTTTGCTTGTACGGCTGGTATTGACGCTGGTAGGTTGGCCCCGCCGGTGGACTTACGAGCCAGTCGCCCTGAAGTCCCACTCATCTAGTATTACTTGGTCCTCCGTCTTGGTGAAGACATACGCCCCTCCCCCCAAAAGCTCCAACTTTTGAAGATGGCGAAGCCTTGTTCGTAGGATCAAGCGCGAAGCCTACTGAACGCGTCGGCTATACGAACGGTACGCTTTCTTGTGCGCTTCGCGCCTGGCTTTTCGTAGAGACTTGGCTTATGCTTACTTGCAAGCGCCGAGCCTAAATCTCTCGTTTCCGTCCCATCACACTTTATTCGAACCGAACGTTCATTTCCTCCCGAGGTCATGTTTCACAACACCATTCCCAACTTCTTGGCGATCTAGGATAACATCACCTCGAGTGTTTCAAAACGTACCCCATTGGAGAAATTCGCCCTTGAATGGTCTAGCGCGTCAAGACGCGATTGTGGTCAGCTCAGCATATCCTGGGTATCATTCCGCGGAGCAGCCACACCACGCTTCGTCCATCTTTACAGTGCGGCTTTTTGGCATTCACACTGCCACGTTTCTCAGCACGAAGCACTCCTGCTGATTTGGAAAAGGCCCGAGTATGCCTGATGTAAATTGATCCTGTAGGCAGCGAAGAATTCCCAGGTCCATCGGCGATGTCTGTCAGATGGACGGTAAATGAGAGAATGCAGGTTGATTTAAAACGGGGTGTCCACCTTTGGGTCTAGCATCACCATCAGTAAGTCGGTGTTCAATTTACATTCGCTTCGTTTTTCGACACTTCTCTTCTATCGTTCGTTTCCAAATTCCGTCTCTAGACGAGATTGCTCCTTTCTCTACACATCTTTTCAGACCACCAATTGCATCAACTTCACCTCATCAAGTCCAGTCGAACGACAGCCACCATGAAGTTCACCACTCTCCTCTCGCTTTCTGCAGCCTCTTTGACAGACGCTCACTACACCTTCTCCGACCTTGTAGTCAACGACCAACAAGTCGGTACCGCCTGGCAATACATTCGCGAACACACGCGGGGCTACATGCCAACCAAAGGTACTGACATCCTCACCAACGACTTCCGCTGCAACCAAGGCGCCTCCTCAGGCGCAAACACGGACGTCTATGCCGTCAAACCCGGTGACAAAGTCGCGCTGAAGCAAGCCTTTGGTGGAACTGGCATGAAGCACCCAGGCCCCACCCAGGTCTATGTCAGCAAAGCCCCTAACGGTGATGTAAAGAGCTACGATGGTAGCGGCGACTGGGTCAAAGTCTTTGAGGGCTTGCTTTGCAAGTCTGGTGACGCAAAGGCACTCCAGACGGACGCTTGGTGCATGTGGGGCGAGGACCGCATCGAGTTCACCATGCCGGACACGTTGCCCGCGGGCGAGTACCTCGTTCGCGCTGAACATATCGCTATCCATGGCGCGCATGACGGACAGGCAGAGTTCTACTACGCATGTGCGCAGGTCGAGCTCGACGGAACCACTGCTGCTTCTGTCCCCGAACCTACCGTTCAGATCCCCGGTGTGTATCAAGTCGATGACGCGCCGATTAACTTCTCGGTTTGGGGAACTTCGACGACGTACCCCGAGATTCCGGGGCCGGATGTTGTGGCTGGGGGTCAGGTGAGGGGAAGTACAGATGGGACGGATACAACTATCAAAACGGTTACTGTGGAGAACGTGAGTGGGAATGAGACGCAGGTGGATATGGTCGCCGACGCGGATGAGTGCCCGTATCACGGGTCTGGGGCTGTCAGAGCGAGGGCCGCTCTCGCTGGTTAAGAGGGCGACTGCGGCTCGGCTTCATGCGAGCGCATTCGGTGAATCTTGATTGTTCGTTTCGCGGAGAGCTTCCGTTCTCTTGTACATTTTTATTTTTTACACTCGCTCCTGTCGAGGCTTGCCTCGGCCCTATATGGAATCGACTTACTCTATACTAGTGTCACGAACAACAAGCCCTCCCAACACGGTCAAGAGATAAAGGAAAGCGAAGTATATCTGCCGGAATGCATCATGCTACCATCCCAAACCAGTTTCTCTCGCCTCAGAAAATCCTTTTCCCCGGGTACAAGTAGGCCACCGGCGTGCGAGGTCGCGATCATCTGCATTGCTTGTGGCGCGCCAACGCACCATGCGGTGGGATGCCGTTCCGACCGGTGCTTTCCCGTCCATTGCACCACCGGAAGTGTTTCAACTCAGCAAACAATCTTCGTGCCACAGGCCCCTTTGTACCACCTAGAGTCAGTGTAGCCACGTATCCCAGTTCGATGTGGCCCATATATACCTCGCTGCCTTCACTCGTTCCAATCCTCACTACGGCGCCTCGTTTCTTTTTCTCTCTCTATATATATTTCGCATAGCCAGCGCTTCTGGGCGGGCATTCTCATGGCGAAAACCGGGGACTCCAAGCTGGACGCGTATATCGTTACCCCTTGTCCTCTTCCACCCAGAGGAGGTGCTGAGGCTTGAACATACGGAGATATGGACGCAAAAGCGGGCAGCAGTACCTCCTTGTCAAGCCCTCTTCATGAACCGCTGGGCGTATATTCTCCAGACGGAGCAAAGATGACAGAAGGAAGCTCATCGTGGCTCTATATATATAACAACCCGCACTGAACCACTTTGGTTGGTGACGCCATGGTAAGCGGAGCTCCAGATTCCCCAGCTTGTCAATGTTGCTGACTCTGCCTGGTGTAGCTGGTGATGGCACGCATCTGCCTATCTAGCTTGTTTCCCGCAGCCAAGAAGACGCCGCCACGATTCCTCTACCTAGTAGCCGTCGCACCCATGGAGGTGTGTGTTACCCACATTCTCGAGGGCCTGAAAATCCGATCGATGCCGCGGAGGAGGTTTCAGGCCTGCGATGTGGTGAGGAGGGTTGATCTCTGGGAAGAATGTAAGTTGTTGTGCACCTATCTCTGGAGGTATAACCTGACACGACTAGCCCACTAGAATGCCGACAAGTGGCGTATGACGAGGACGCGAGCGGCAGTGGCAGCGCTGCAGAGGCCATCTGCGCCTTATATCAGAACAAGACGTTCAGGCCCAAGCCTCGTCGGCTGCGTAGCCTCTACCAGGATGACTGGGATATGGTCCTCCCCAAAGCCTAGGGTCAACAAGATGATCCGGCTGCACTTCATGCAGCATATGATATTTTGTGGTCTCAAGCAGTGCATATCTCACTCACTATCCGAACGTATATACACCACGCTCGAATGGTACCCGGCGAGAAGGCCCTTTGGGGCGCGATTTCAGCTTCGTCATTGACTAGGACTGCAAGAGGTATATATATATCACCGGACGAATTCTCCCAGGAATTGGACTTCCGCTCTCGCCACTTCCGTCAGACCTGTTGCACTCGGCATTGCGCATCGTCTTTGAATCTGCTTTGGCTTCTTCGATGCATGTCTCTGCGGCTCTGTCGGCGGACGACCAGGATCCCAACCAAGGTCCCAGACTCTTTATCAGTTCGGACAAAGACTCGCCCGAACACCTTGACTGGAATACGGCATATGAGGAATTCCAAAAGCTGCTTGACGAAGATAAGCGCTCCGCAAGAAGATTTCAACAGAGGCTTAAACGGCATTTTGAGCCGTACTACTTCGACAAGATCAACCTACTCAACGAAGCCGATGTAGTCTACCAGGCGGACTGTATCCACACGTCCGGAACATAGACAACAACAACAAGGCCGGCTACGCGCTCGCTCATAGCTTAGCAGACGACGTTCGCCTGTATCTGGCTGTATTCGGATCTGACTTGTGATCTATGCATTATCAGCGCGCGGCCCTCCTTGTTAGACGCTACGAGAAGTACAAGCACTGCGGCAGAGACCGGTCCGGTATGTTCCCCAGCCACGGAAGCCCCAAACGTTTGAACAAGTTGACTGACTCGATACGAGGATGCAGAGCTGCTATGTCCTGTGGCCCGGACTCCTACGGCAACGCATCGGACAGCCCATCCCCAATTCTCATGTCGCCCGCGTTCTTCCTGGGACTACGATATATGTACTCTCCCAGGCTTGGCCCGCCAAACTCTATATATGCCGGTTTTGATGCAGAAAGGAACATGGGTCCACATCACGTTCCCGCAGGTTTTCAGCCGCCACATATATCAAACACGAACAGCTTGTCTAGATGCCATTGTGAGACAGCTGCCATCAACTCAGGCAAGCTCCGCCCAACTGCTAAGCAGTGGAACGACGAATGGCGCGGGCGAGCGACATGCGTGCCTCCGACTAGAGATGGGAAGTCCTTGGACCGCCTAGTCGGACACTTGTGGCGCACTAGCAGGCGATGCAGGATTGCGGTGCTACCTCGAGACGTCCGATATTCCGTACCGGTGCTACATATGGTGTTTCTAGACCGATTGGATGTTTGACGACTTCCGAAAACAAACCAGCATGTCTCTGCACCAGTGCAACGCTCTTCACACCCTCTGGACCTGGCTTCATCTTCCGTCTCGCCAAATCCAAGCCCGCCTCCCCTTCGGGGGACTCGGCGTGTCATCCAGCGTGCGTGGGAGCCATTGTCATTGTTAGCTGCAACCTGCAAGAGGAAGTCTCGTGGCACGTGGCCGCCGCCGCAAGGGCATTCTGGTCGATGCTAATTAGGCATCTCGTGGCCGCCCTGGGGCATGAAATCAGGCACGCTTATTACGCGTTTCGGTCGCACCCTTCTATACGTAGGCTATGGACATCGCTCTGCTTGCATCATCCTTGACAACGCTAGAGCGGTGGGGGTTCTGACTCCAGAAATCCACTCATGCAGCTTCCTACACCGGATACACCGGACCCATTCTCGCCAGAAGCTCATCCTGTTACGCACGTCTTGGACCAAGAGGACACGTACAGGCACGTTAAACGCAACGCATGTTCAAGGAAGAGTCGACGCGCGTAGAGCTGCCCCAGGCTCCCACAATCAACAATTATATAATCCCTAGGACTACCACACTAAAGGACGTCTACTATATACTCTGGAATCGTATCCTTGACAGCCGACCTCAGGACCGCGCACCCATTCTAGTGGCAGAAGAGAGCCCTGCACCAGCCAGAAGTGAATGAACGCCTGGATGGATACCTAGGCGACCTCGACATTCTCGATACGAACCACGGAGGTGTTACTACACAGGCCGACTACCCGTCTTCAGTCCTTTATATATATACTCGCGCACTGCGCACCGTGCCAGGTAGATCCTGCCCATTGCCCACCAATAGCTCTGAGGCCGGCGTGAACCTCCACGCATACGCTGTCTAGCAACGTTATCGCTGTCGGTGGCAACAAAGGCTAGGCAGGGGAGGTCTGCCCATTCGCGAGAGCCTTTGCGGCGGCGTTTGTGCTTCAGCTGACCTGTCTTCAAGCGTCCTTCTCATGCGTCACCGAGAGTCGCAACAACCGTGTGCCGTTCGCCTTTAGCGTCGCGCTCGCCAAAGGCGGGGGGTGAGAACGTACACCGTCGTCGGGCAGGCTGTCAAGCACGAGGACAGCAATGACAACGATGCGCACACCGCTGAGCATGGGGTGGAGGTTGAGGGCCGAAATATCGAATGAAGTGGCGCAGGACATGTATCGTTGTTACCGTTTGTGTGGTAGCTACGGAAGAACGAGCTGATAACGGGAGCATCTACAAAGAGACGCGGTCATGGAATGGCGAAGAGGATGTTGAATCTCAAGTTTAAGGCGGCCTAAAGACCTTCAAGGTAGTTTGTGTAGTGATCGGTGCGTTCGAAATGCGACATTTGCCTTTTGAGCCATGGCTCCCTTCTCGTTTTGGATCCGAAGAATCGGGCTCAGCGGTGTTGGACGATAGAAGTGAAAGGAGGAGCGCAACCTTCCTAAAAAGGAAGGTTTGGATTTTCTGTCGAATGCTGCTACACAATAGGCCGGGCTACTTTCACCCTCACCCTCACCTTCACCTTCACCTTCACCTCTCACCGATTCACCATACGCTAACTGTCTTTCACTCAACACTTTATACTTAATCGGCCATCACACTTTGAATAAGACGCGAAGCGCTCAATGTGCATCGAGAAAACGTGCTCGAGATAGAGTTAGGTGAGCCTGAAGGACTTCGACACACTTCGCGTGCCATGCCACCTGCGCTTGTATACCCTATCATTCTTATACCAGTCTTACTAGCTCTTTCGTTTGATTCCTAAATGCTTCTCCTTGTTGGCTGCTTGCGGTAGTCGGAACTGGAGGCCTCTTGCGGCTTTCGGAGCGCCCTGAAACAACGTTGGCTTCGCCGGAGTGAGAGCATTCGAAACGAGAACAGTAAAGCCTAGGCCAATCATATCAAGCACAGTATCAAGATATGCCGACGTGGGACATTCCCACATCTCAGAACGAGACGTCGGACAGTGCAAAAAGCCATCGGCGTTCGCGACGAGCTCCTAAAACGCCACCGTTCCTAATCCCTGCCCAACAGAGATGCCTCGGCTCAACTCCACTTCACCATTCCCCAAGTCCCCAGACCCCGCATCCGGGCGCACCCTCCACGCTTTCTATACGCTCGTTAAACCAACATGGCCGGCGGAGCGACTGCATTTAGCCATTCCGCGGTGGCTGACGAGTAGTGGGGGAGGACTGCTGCTTGATCTGTGCAGCGGGAAGGTAAACGAACCGCGGCTGAGAGAGCTATATTCTTTAGCTCCGCTGAATCTCGTTCATTGAATCTATCATTGACCGGAGCTGTACATTCTGATGATTGATGTCGTTGAAGTGAGAATGCGTACGAGAAGGATTCAGGCTGGCGTAAGAGCTAACCAGTTTCGCAGATAAGAGGAACGGGCGTACTCTTTAGAGCTTATTATTTCAGCAATACCTCACTTTGGTAGCTCTCCCGGGCCGCTTACCTCATTCTACAATTCAAAGTCCGGTTAGAGATATCGCTGCTGGTTCGCCCTTTTACGTCCGTAGCGAGATTGGAGCAGTCAAGAACACATCTTCCTTCCAACAGCTTCGCGGACTCGCAAGAAACAGGCTCACAATGGTCCTGGAATCTCGCTGGTCATTTCCTATACCGCAGGTGTCGTTACCGACATTTATCTTCGAATCGCCCACCGCCGACCTCCCAAAGACGCCGGCTTTCATCTCAGCGCGTGAGCCAGAGAAGCACTATCTGTCAACCAGCGACTACCGTCTCTATGCGCAACGACTCGCTTCCGGGCTCCTGCGGTCTGGCCTCCACCCGGGAGACCGCGTGCTTCTCTACTCCGGCAACACGCTGTTCTTCCCTTCGGTGGTTATGGGCGTGATCATGGCAGACGCCGTGTTCACTGGCGCGAACCCGACATACGTGACCAGAGAGCTAGCATATCAACTACGAGATTCTGGAGCCCGGTATCTGATCTGTGCGGAAGGGAGCCTGGAGACGGGTCTAGCAGCCGCGAAAGAAGTCAACATGCGCCCCGACCGTATCTTCGTTTTCGATGATGGAGTCGCTACCTTTGAGGGTAAGACAGTGGAGAAAGATACGCCCGAAGGGAAAGTGCGACACTGGACAACGCTTCTCGACTCAGAAGAAAAAGGCCGAGCGTACCACTGGCCAGACCTACGAACCGACGATGAACTCGACCGAATCATCGCGCTGAACTACAGTTCCGGCACCACGGGCGTAGCAAAAGGCGTCATGATAACACACAAGAACTACGTCGCCAACTGCACTCAACAACTCCACATGTCAAAGCAATCCCCGGAGTTCGAGGCCCGGCTTCAGCGCCAGCGCGGCCTCTGCTTCCTGCCCATGTACCATGCCATGGCGCAGGCTATCTTCTGCGTTAACGCCGCGGTGCTGCGGATCCCGGTTTACATGATGCCCAAGTTCGACTTCCTGGAGATGCTGGAATGCATCCAGAAATACCGCATCACAGACCTCGCTCTAGTCCCACCGGTCGTAGTAGCAATGGCGAAACATCCCGCGGTCCGGAAATTCGACCTGAGCTCTGTGGAGCGCGTCGGCTCTGGCGCTGCGCCTCTGGGCCGAGAAGTGTGCGAGGAATTCGAGAAGCTGTGGCCGGATGGCCGCATCAACGTAAAGCAGGGCTGGGGAATGACCGAGCTGACGTGCGCCGCTACAACGTTCCATCCGGAAAAGGTCTCGCTCAGTTTCTCGATTGGCGAGCTGTTACCGAATTGTCAGGCCAAGGTTGTGCTGGACGACGAGGGCAAGGTCGAAGCGAAGCAGGGCGAGCGCGGGGAGATATGGATCAAGGGACCAAATGTGATGAAAGGATACTGGGGCAAGCCGGAGGCCACTAGAGAGACCATTACGCCGGATGGATGGCTCAAGACAGGAGATGTGGCGTACTTCGACGAGGAGAACCATTTCTACATAGTCGATCGGAAGAAGGTGAGTAGTGGGCGCTAATCTGAGTGGAAACAGGTGACTGACCATATATAGGAGTTGATCAAGGTCAAGGGTCTCCAGGTCGCTCCGGCCGAGCTTGAGGCTCTACTGCTGGATCATCCGGAGGTCCAGGACGCTGCAGTCATCGGCGTGACAATGTAAGCCTCCCAGCTCTCGCGGCAAAGTGTAATGTACTGACCGTTCGCAGCACCGGCGAAGAGCTTCCACGAGCGTACATTGTACCACAGGCGGAGGAGAAAGCTACTCCTGAAATCGCACACAATATCAAAGAGTGGCTTGCTGGGCGGGTGTCCAAGGCTAAGCGACTGGAAGGCGGTGTTCATTTCATCGATGCGATCCCTAAGAACCCGGTAAGTGGCAGGAGTTCTGGACCCAGATGGCGAGTGTAGCTAACGAAGATGACAGTCAGGGAAGATCATGCGAAGGCAATTGAGGGAGCTGGCTGCCAAAGAGAAGCCGAAAGCGAAGTTGTAATGGGGATGGCGGGGATGTGCGGGGTCTGCATAAGAGCTTGGCCGGAAACGCATAGAGAGGTGGCATGTTGTGGGTAGTGGCCAGCGATAGCAGCCGGAGTGGCGGTCTTCTCGAGAGTCGGGCTCTGTAACGGTAGACGTAGAGATTGTAACACAGAAACAAATGAGGGTATAGCGGAGGCAAATTCCCATAGGTGCGGAAATCTTGACACTGAAATTTTGCTGCGCATATATATATGCAGCATGTATCCTGCCTCTGTGTTCGTCCCCGAGTGCCCGTCTTTGCGTGTTCTCAGTTGCTCCGCTGCCCGCCCTTGGCTGCCCTCAATTCCTCCATCTTTCGCACCCGCTCCTTGAATTCCTCGTACTGGCATTTTTCGTACGAGTGTCGCTCGTTCTGCAGTCGCGCATTAGCACCCAGCCTCCTCCTGGTTCTGGAACCCAGCGTACCTCGCACTTCCACGGCAGGTAGAACTCTTCGTACCGACACCGGTTGAGGGGAATCAGCAGATGTGCGCAGGAATCTCGGTACGGCAGCGGCAGGCGTGCGGCGCTCATCTCCTCGCGGGTAGCCTCTGTCTCATGCCATCAGTGTCTGTGTCTGGGATTCGCCGGAGCGGACGGCCAATTGGGAGGGAAAGCGTGGCAGACTGACTCTTCGGCTCGCCGCCGGCAAGACCAACGGCCTCCTTTATCTTCTCTGTGACGGTCATGGTGGCGGCGCGCGGTATGACTCTTCAATTGCGGGTGTGGGAGCCGAAGGGAGCGGTGGTGACGTGCTGCGGCGATGGAGTGAGGTGCAGGCCGAAGCTCTGGCGCCCCGAGGCCTTGGCGGGCCAGGCACGAGCGAGCCCACCACGGGCGAGGCTCGCGACGCGTCGACGTCCTCGCGAAATCACACCTCCGCTCTGCCACACCTATCTTATCTCGCCGCTGACACTGCCGTCCCTACGCCGAGCATGGTCAAGATGCCCCCGGCGCCCGATGGCAAGATATACTCGGCGACGTACAGCAATGTAGGTTGCGCGCCCTCCTCGCCCTCTTCCCTTCCGGCGCCCACACCCCTCCGCTTGCCGTGCGCTGACCGTCTGTCTCCCAGGTGCCCGTCTACGAATTCAATGTCGCCGGCAACCACGTCATGCGCCGCCGCGCCGACGACTGGATCAACGCGACGCACATCCTCAAGGTGGCCGACTACGACAAGCCCGCCCGCACCCGCATCCTCGAGCGCGAGGTGCAGAAGGGCGTCCACGAGAAGGTGCAGGGCGGCTACGGCAAGTACCAGGGCACATGGATTCCGCTGCCCGAGGGCCGCATGCTCGCCGAGCGCAACGGCGTCCTCGAGAAGATGCGGCCCATCTTCGACTACGTCCCCGGCGACAGGAGCCCGCCGCCCGCCCCGAAGCATGCCACTGCTGCGTCGAACCGCCCCAAGGCCCCGCGCCAGAGCGCCGCCGGCGTGGGTAGAAACGGTAATAATATCTATTCGCTAGAGTCGATTCAGTGTAGGAGGCTGCTCTCCTTCGTACGACCTGCATGAGAGCGCGGGCTGACTTGTGCGCAGCGTTCGTAACGAATTCCCAGTCGCAAGTCAGCGAAGACCGCTACGAGGACCAGGTGCAGCATTCGCGCTCGCAGTACCGCGAGGAGACACCCGATAACGACACTGTCGTATCAGAGTCCATGCTCGGCGACCAGGACATGATAACGGGGTCGCAGTACTCGATAGGCAGTCGCAAACGAAAGAGGGGCGCGGACCAGATGTCTATACAGGATGCGCAACACCAGATGTGGGCCGATGCGCTGCTTGACTACTTCATGCTCCTGGACTCCGAAGAAGGCTTCGTTGCGCCGCCCGAACCCCCGCCGACTGTTAACCTGGATCGGCCCATTGATGACAAGGGCCATTCGGCTATGCATTGGGCGGCTGCTATGGGCGATGTCGAAGTCGTCAAGGAGCTAATACGGCGTGGCGCGCGCATAGACTGTTTGTCGAACAACCTGGAGACACCCCTGATGCGCGCAGTCATGTTCACGAACAACTTCGACAAGAACATGATGCCCAACATGATCAAGATCTTCCAGCAGACGGTGCATCGGACAGACTGGTTTGGGAGCACTGTGTTCCACCACATCGCGGCAACCACGAGCAGCACGAACAAGTTTGTTTGCGCGCGATACTATCTGGACTGCATCATCAATAAGCTGGCGGAAACATGGATCCCGGATGAGGTTACTCGGTTGCTGAATGCGCGAGATAAGAATGGGGATACCGCCATCATGATTGCTGCGCGCAATGGGGCAAGGAAGTGTGTACGAAGTCTCTTGGGGCGCAACGTTATTGTAGATATACCGAACAACAAGGGGGAGACCGCTGACGATTTAATTCGGGAGTTGAATCAGCGCCGGCGAATGAATGGCCGGCCGCGACAAGCATCGTCGTCACCGTTCGCACCGCCCCTGGATCAGAGGATGAATGGAAACGGACTCCATATGGACGGAGTGGTTTCAGCACCGCTGGTACCATTACCGTTCTCCGCTGTCTCGACCCGCGACCCGCAACAGTACCGCTCACAGACGGCGTCGCATTTGATGACCAAGGTAGCTCCTACGTTAATGGAGAAATGCAAGGAACTGGCGGCGGCGTACGAGGCGGAACTGCAAGAGAAGGAAACAGAATCAGTAGACGCAGAGCGCGTAGTCAAGAGACGTCAAGCGGAGCTCGAGGCCATACGGAAACAGGTTGTGGAGCTCTCTGGCATGACAAACGGCCTCCATATCGATCTAGGCGACGAGGAAGCAGACCGCCATCAGGAGGAGGAGCTGCTGAATCTGGTCGAAGAAGCCGAGTCCCTACTGGAGATAGAGCAGAAGACCGAGCTGAGGCGATTATGCGCGTCCATGCCGCAGAATACTTCGAACTCGCCGATCGATCTGAATGAGAAGATGAGGTTAGCACTGTTACTGCATCGCGCTCAGCTGGAGCGGCAACAACTTGTTAGAGAGGTGGTCGGCAATCTGTCCGTGGCCGGCATGGGTGAGAAGCAGGGCGTGTACAAGAGCCTGATTGCGAAGGCGCTGGGTGAGAGAGAGGAGGATGTGGAGTCGATGTTGCCCGAGATTCTGAAAGAGCTGGAAGAGGCGGAAACGCAGGAGCGCGCTGAGGGGCTGGAACAAAGCCCTCTGTGATCGCATTACTATGACGACCTTTTCGTTTACGCTCCGATAGCAGCGGCGTCCGTTGTCGGGCGTGTTTATCCTCGCGAGTTGTGTTGAGCTCGAGCTTCTTCGATGTATGATTTGTCTATTGATTCCCCTGGGTGGCTACGATTGGTATGAGTAAATGCTGCGCATTTATGAATAGCTATTTGTTAATGTATACTTGATGCCACGAACATTCGTCCATGTCCCCTTTGACATAAGATCGGTCCTTATCTAGTCGTGGTCATCTGCTTGGTTTGATGTTTGACATGTGCCAGACCAGGGCGACGGTCATCTGTTAGAAGCAGTCACGAACAGCAGCTCGTGAATCCGCAGCGAAACATTCACTACAGAACAGACAGCGAGGAATTGACCCAAATCCAAATGCTTCCCGCGTCTAGCTCGGCAGCAACGGCAGCCGCGAATGCACGATGAGGCATCTCGCAGCCCAGGGCCCCCGTCCACGCACCCGATTGGCCCGCCCTGGACCCTGCTGCTCCTCCGCCGCGCATCGTGCAGGGGCCTGGCTTTGGCGTGCTCAGCATCTAACCCCCAGCGAGGCCACCTTGATATCAGCAGCCACACTAACTCTGCAGCCTCCCACACCTGCCAGAGCGCCCGTGTCTCCACTGCAACCCGCTTATATGCCCGAATCCATTCCACTGAGGAAGACACACCGGCCCGGCACCCACCAGCACCCTTCGCCCGACTCCCACGACGCGGATAGCGAACCGCTGCACGTTTCGGCCCTGAGCTCCAGGCAGCTGAGTAGGGACTCGAGCCCGTTCTCTGAGATTCCGCATCCGCGCCACACGAAGCGGAATAGCGTTGCGTTCAAGGAGCCCGAGAGTGCGTCCGACGACGACATCGAGTTCTCCGACTGGGATGAGCACGATAGTAACGGCCGCCTCGACTCCGCCACCAACATGCCGTCAGACCTGAGGCCTGACTTTGACCGCGAGCGAGACGGGCGCTCGTTGTCCCCGCTGCTGGGGCACAAGACTGCGGACGAGGGCACAGAGACTAGGCCCGGGATTAGCAGGAGGAGCACGCATACCTTCCATGAGCGGGACCCGGAGAGCCAGGCGCGGTACGAGACAAGGAGGAAGTACACGTATGCGGCTATCTTTTTGGCGTTGAGCTTGGTGAGCTTTACGGTGCAGACGGAGACGGCCGTGTATATTCAGCATGAGCTGAAGTGGGAGAAGCCGTATTGTATGCTGTGGGTCTTCCCATTTCCTCTCCTACTAACCCAAGACCTGTAAGAGTGGGAGAAGGTGGATGCTGATGAAGGCAGATACATGACCCACGGCTCCTGGGTCCTTCTCTGGCCCACCCAACTCGTCCTCCTCCGCCTCCAGAAATGGAACCAGCCCTGGTCCACCTTCTGGCGCCGACACGTCCAGCTGCTCCGCCAAACGGCTCTCATGGTCCAGCACCAGACGCTCCACCCCTCCGTCCGCCAATCCCAGGTCTCGCCTGTCCGGTACATGCTCAAGATGACGGCATTCATAACGTGCGCTCTCACCGTAGCTGGAGGAAGTTGGTACGTCGCGGTCAATTTGACGACGGCCAGCGACTTGACCGCAATCTACAACTGCTCCGCCTTCTTCGCATACGCATTCAGCATCCCGCTCCTCCACGAAAGAGTCCGCATCAGCAAAGTAGTCGCCGTCGCTATCGCCATCATGGGCGTCTTCGTCGTCGCCTACGGCGACAAAGCGCCCGCAAAGCACGGCTCGAAATCCGGGGGCGGAGCAGGCGGCGAGAAAGCGCCGCCATCCCACGAAGCAGAGAACCGAGCGCTGGGTAACCTCGTCATTGGCGTCGGGAGCGTGCTGTACGGCTTCTACGAGGTGCTGTACAAGAAACTGGCTTGTCCGCCCGAGGGCTGTGCGCCGGGCCGCGGCATGATCTTTGCGAATACGTTTGGGAGTTTGATTGGGGGTTTTACGATCTGTGTGCTGTGGATCCCGCTGCCGATTATGCATTATATGGGGTGGGAGCTTTTTGAGCTGCCAAAGGGAGAGCAGGCGTGGATGATGGCGATTTCCGTCCTCGCCAATGCGAGTACGTCTTCCCCTTTCCCTCCCATCCCCCGCCCTGTCATGCTAACTGAGAGTTTCTAGCCTTCTCCGGCTCCTTCCTCGTCCTCATCTCACTCACCTCGCCCGTCCTGTCCTCTGTCGCCGCGCTCCTTACCATCTTCATCGTCGCCATTGTCGACCAGCTCCTTCCTCCTCCGCTGAACTCGCCGCTCACACCCGCTGCTATCGTCGGCGGCCTGCTCATCATCGGTGCCTTCGGCCTGTTAAGTTGGGCGACGTACTGGGAAATGGATGAAGAGCGGCGGAAGAAACTCGAGGAGAGCGGCAGCGATATCGACGACTAACTCTCTGTCTTCCATGCAGTTTCCTTTTCAAGTCCGGATACACATATACAAGGAGCTTAGAGGCTCTAACTGGGCTGGATGGGATGTACAAGATGTGCCTTTAGACGGGTGGGTGGATGTGCTGCCTAAGCCTGCGCCATGTTGGCTGGGGCTTTCTACTGCCCGGCAGCGCTGGGTGTCCCCTTTCACTTTTGTTTACACCAGCATCGCTAACTAGGTATACGGGTGGGTATATGTGCAGCCATAGTCGCGCACAATTGGGCGGTTGTTTCAACATGCGTATGTATGCATTCATAGACGGTGTTTTGGGCTTGGATACTCGAAGCTTTGGCTTTGATTCGGAGTACGATATTTAACTCGGCTGTTGCGGGTTCGCTTCTACAGACCTTGACGACAATGGGGAACCGGTGATGGGCAATGTTTTTTTGATGAATGAATCATGATAGTATCCCGCGCGACAGTGCGATTTATCTTCCCCAAAGCGACGCTCGAGACACATGGTCATGGAGGTTGTTTTGTGTCTACTGATGCTTTCCCACGTACAATCCTAAGCGCCAACCGTGCTCCGTTGAAACTCCGCCCAATGCTTGCAAAAGGAAACGCTGGGATAGAGGTACTGCTCAATCAAACGGCACCCTCCTCAGCCGGTGCCCCATGCCCATCTTCCTTTCCTCTCCTTCTGCCCCGACCGCAGCCGGCACTCTAATCCCACAGCAATCGCCCCATCCGGCCTGCGAATGCACATGCCTCGTCCCCTCCTCATCCGTAAACACCTTGACCTCCCCGCCTTCCTCATCCTCGCTTTCATCCCCCAGTCCAAAATCGTCCTCCTTACTCATCCCCTCAACAGCCGGTATCAAGCTCCCAAACAGGAAGTGCTGCATGACGGGCAACTTCTCCAGTATCTCCTTGACGAACATCTTGCGCATGCCAGCCTCGATCTTGACCCACGACTTCGCCGCGGATATGTCGTCCAGCATGGGCGAGTGCCAGCGCAGCCCCTCGACGTTCTTCACGCTGTTCACGAAGGCAACCTGGTCGATGTACAAGTACTCGGGCCCCTCTTCCTCCAGCACGAGCTGGTTGTGTATCGCCTTCGGCGTGATGTACGCGTGGTGCAGCAGCTGGCTCGCGCCGAACAGGAACGGCAGGAACTGGTAGTCATCCAGGCCCCAGACGCCGTGGCTACCCGCGGGCTCGAGATAGTACGCTTCCTGTATCTTCCGCATGAGGCGCAGGTATGCGGGCAGCACGACGAGCGCGAGCGCGGGGAACGTCGGCGGCGGGAGCAGCGACAGCCGGTTCAGGCACAGCAGCCAGAGGAAGAAGTTCAGCTCGTGGCCGGAGCCGTAGTCGATGCGGCGCTTGTTGCCGAAGCTGTTGTGCAGGTAGGATGATATCTCGTTTACTTGCGCAGCGTCGGTGAGGTGCAGCTGCGCGTGCCATGCTGGGAGGGCGGCGGCGACTTCGTCGAGGAAGGTGCGGAAGACGGGGTTGCCGAAGCGCGAGCCGGTGTCTTCGGGCGGGCAGCGGTCGAGTATGGCTTCTGCTTCCTTGAGGAGGTGCAGAATCGTCTTGACGACGGGGGAGACTTCGTCTTTCTTCACGCTCGAGATGGGCTTGTCGCGCACGCTGTCTGCGAGCCCGAAGATGAAGGCTTCCACGAGCTTGCAGGCCGGACTCTGGAGAAACAGCTCATGGTCCTCCGGGCTCAGGATCCTCCGCGACGGGTGCACGTACGTATGCTCTGTGAGATCTGGCGGCGGAGGTAACGGCGGCGTCGGCGGGGGAGGGGCAGCCGGCGCTTCACGCTTGACGGGGGCGCGCTTGCGGGGGACGAGCTTCGGGATCTTGTTGCTGAGATCGGGGGGCGGGGAGGGATCATTCCCGCCGGAGTTCGGCGGCGCAGTCATGGTTGCGCGGTGTATAGTAGATTGTGAGTGTATTGGAGAAGACGAAAGTTGAAGCTCGAAGCTTGAGACACGGTCCATCGGGCCGACTCCCCGGCAGCTCAGCACTCACTCCACCACCAGCGCACCTTCCCTCTCCAGCCCTCGAGATTGGAAAACCAAGCAAGCATATGCACAGTTGACGTATGGTCTGTATCGACCCTGGCAGCATCCAGAGATTCGGTCCAGGCACATATACGCCGTCCTATTCTCCGGCTTCAAGGATCGATCTATGCCTTTCAGGCAGAATGGCAATCGCCAGCCCTACAGTTATGGGGCATGCAGTGGAACATTCTTCATCTATCGAACGCTTCTCTCGCTTGTTCAGTAACTCGGAGCGATTGCTCCGACCGATTGAGCGCCGGAGCTGCTTCCGGATCGTCGTGGATATGCAAGACATTGCTCGGCTGGAAGGCACCGGCTGTTCCTGGAGAAAGAATGCTGAGATGCATGGTCTGGGGTGGGAAGTCTGGATGGAGGATGCGACGTCAGCAATGAGGAAGGTGCTCATATCAAGCCGAGGGTTGGCGGAGCGAGTTCTGGTTGAGGTCATATCAATTATCCACCAGTGTGACCAGAGTTTCTAGAGGCGCATGTAGCTGGTACTTGTCGACGATGTACCTTTTCGATGCTGAGGAGCCATGCATGCATCACTGAGTTTGACAGAGAGAGCTAGAGTCCGATGTTATCGTCTATTGCCTATCCGTAGACCTGCCGTGGTATCATTCTCATCCCACCGTCACCCATTCCATGTGGGGGCGTCTATTTCGCAGCCAACTCCTTCTCAATATCGGCCTTCAAGCCCTCCGGCTTCGACGTGCTCGCCCAACGTGCCTTGACCTTGCCATCGCGTCCGATAAGGAACTTCTCGAAGTTCCACTTGACGCGCTTGAGGCCCATGAGCCCCGGCTTCTCGGTCTTCATCCACTCGAATAGCGGGTCCGCGTTATCGCCGTTGACCTGTTGATCTCCCGTCAGCCTCTGTGTGTCCTCTCCCCCATCATCCAATGTATTAGGGCATACGCACATCGACCTTCCCCAGCACGGGAAACGTAACGCCATAGTTCACCTGGCAGAAGTTCTGGATCTCATCGTTGGTCCCGGGGTCCTGATTCCCAAACTGGTTGCACGGGAAGCCCAGGATGTAGAAGTCGTTCGGGTACTTGGTCTTCAGGTCTTGATAGAGCTTCTCGAGGCCGGCGAACTGGGGCGTGAAGCCGCACTTGGAGGCAGTGTTGACCACGAGGACGACCTTGCCTTTGAGGTCCGCGAGCGAGTACTGGTCGCCCTTCTCTGTGGCGGAGCGGGTGTGTTAGCTCCGATTCCTTCTATGCAGCGAGGCTACTTTGCAATGAGGCAGTGGGGGAGGTGGGGTGGGGCGCAGGAAGACATACTGTCCTTGGGCTTGAAGTCGTAGAATGTAGTCGCAGAAGCCATGGTTGCGAATCCTTCTCGTGCCTGGGGCGATGTCTGTCTTCGTATCTGTAATCTGGGTATCGAGCTCGCACTCGCAATCGCTCTCTTCTGGAATCTCGAAGCACTTCTCAACGCTTTAATATGCTGGCCTCGGTGGTGCGATATTTGTCTGAAGCTTGCGACAGCACCGATACGGAAGGGCGGCGGTGGCGGGGCAGTGCAGACCCTGCGGATCATGTCATGTGAAACGGAGCTTGGCTAGACTGTTACAGGATTACAAAGATGCCCTTCCAGCTTCCCTGTTTTGGCTTTGCCTGGCGGGCGAGCGAGTTGTGCGACTCGGAGTCGAACCTCGGCGGGCGAGCAGGTGCTGTGGCGGGGCTCGGAGCGATGACGTACCGGCCATTCCGACGCGCATCGTATTCGGACATCGTGTGCATCCGGCCTTAGTCAGCAGACATCTGGCGAGAATTGTCATCGCGCATCACAAAGCGGGGGCGGTCCAGCTTCATTGTTGGTCAGACCGAATCCATGACGAGTCGAAGGTATGGTAAACATATTAATTGATACAAATGCTACAACTGAGTAATGACGTGCGATGCCCGGCGAGGTTGAACGGCGCGGGGATTGTGCGTAGGCACATACAAGAGAGGCCTCTCTGTCCCGATCTTTCGTCTCCCCGAACAATCCAAAACAAATACGACAAACAAACATCAACAATAGTCTATATCCAAACAAACAATCTGGTGCAGACGGCCGTGATATGCTCATGCCAATCCCTCTTGCAATGAGCAGGACCATAGTCCCTTTAGTCCCTTCATGGGAGTGTCGCACGAGGCGATTGATCCGTTGGGCATTCCAGTCCAAGGCTTTGGACACGTCCTTTGGCTCTTGAATCCATGGGAGTGATCCGGTAACATCCATCCGGCACGGGATTTATGATTCTTGGCTCCTTGGGCAGGGCTCCATGTCGGCGCTGAAAGAAAGCAAACCATGCGACGAAGCGATGCGGGTCCATGGCGCGAAGAAATACATCCAGGAGATCGGATCCGGCATGTGAACAAACCTTGCAGTTGGCGTCACGGCAGACGGAGTCCACGTGTGATCCGGGCCTTCAGCCACCAACCTCCTTGAACTTGGTCGAGATGTCACGAAGGTGGAAGAAGTCACTGGTGAGCGTGTCGACGTCTTTCAGGTCATTAGGCCCGTTGAGGTTGGTCAAGAAGTTGATGAGGCTCTGCTTCGTGCTCAAGAACTCATGCTCCAACTGCGTTCGGCGCCGTTGAAGCTGTTGTTGTTGAGCTGACGGTTTGCTGACCCTTTGACGCTTCTCGCCACTTTCGTCCGCGGTCGACTTTCGCTTCCGCGAAGAGGGCTTGCGGTTGCCCGATGCCTGACCCTGTGTCGTGGTGGGGGACGAGTCGGTCGTAGGCCCGGTGAAATCGTGCACCCGCTTCATGTGGTCATAGAGGTTGTAGCGGCGAGGAAAGCCATTGCCCACCGAAGCCCGGTCGCAATCCGGGAAGTGGCAGAGATGGGGACGGGATCCATGACCGTGCATGCCGTGGGCCTCTCTTTCGTGGCGAAGGAGGCAGGCGGTGGAAGAGAACTGGATACCTTCGCATACATTCCTACTGCAGCGGAAGGGCTTCAGATGTGAATCCACGTATTTGCTACGCGCTTGTTAGTCCAGGTTCCAAACCGCTCTAATTGCAGGTCCACTTACTCATAGTTGCACTTGAGCGGTGTCGGCTTATGGTTGCATCCCGGCTCCTTCTCGTAGGGGCAGTGGTATTTTCCTTCTTTATCCGGTGAAGTTTGGTACAGAGGGTGGTTTCGGGCTACCTTGCTCTGCTCTTCTTCCATTTGCTTGGCATGGGCAGCATCCGCGGGCGAGAGGATATCATCTTCGTCCTGGACCGACTGGGTGGCTAGGGAGGTGGAGGCGGTTTCCTCTTTCTCATTCCTGCGAGGTGTATTAGCACAGTTTCCACGAAAGCGATTGTGGTGGGCCAAATGTCTCACCGTGGCTCGACTAGGTGTTGCTGACCCAACTCCGAGGTCTGCGCAATGTGAACATCGACTGCGCTGGTTGGCGACATGACCATGGCGCCATAGCTGGCATCATTCATTGAAGCCCGTCGCGAATCATGCGAGGCCGCAAAGGACGGGGGATTGCGGGTTGCGGCTGGGCGGCCGGACGTGTCGATGCGAGGCCTGTTCGGCGGTCTTTGCGGTTGTGCCGGCGCGGTATACATCAATTCGGTCGTGTCTTGGCTCGAGTACAACGTAGGATCCATGCCCTGCGTGGAATTGGGATACGATGGGTACCCGTACGCCCCGCTGAAAAGCTGGGTATCTGCAGGGCTCCAGGCATAACCCAGATTGATCGCGTTCCCAGACGCGACACGAGAAACGTTGTTGGTCGAATGGTGGGAGTAGTCCTGGCCCGTAGAGAGATTAGCATAAGCAAACGCCCGTTCTCCGGCTTCCATGTCTCCGGCAGCGGCTGGTAGATGCATCTGGTTCATGTCCTGTGGATCCGCAAAACCGGTGATGTTGTCGGAGCTCATTGACGGGGAGTATATGCTGCTGCTCCCCATGAACTGATTAGCCATTAGGGTCCGGCTATCCTGGGCAGGCATTGGCTGAAATCCTTGTGCCGCTGGGGCTCCGCGCCGGCTGGCGCCCGATGACTGGCTCTGGTATGCACTGTCCATGCTGTGAACAGAAGCGGTATCCTTTAGCTCGAAAGCATCGGATCCGTGCATGTCCTGGAACTCTGAAGAAAAAAACAAATCCTCTCCGGATATGGCAGGCACTGGGATGTCCTCTGTCCACTTGGCAATGTACGAATAAGAAAAACAGTCCGATGAGGGGTCGGAAAAGTCGCTGAACGGAGGGGTCAGTGTCAAAACAAACATAGTGCGCGTGTGAAAAAAACAAAAGGAATTTTGGCAAGACTGTTAACAAAAGGAAAGCGCCATGTTAGTATGTGGCCCACCGGTGCCATGAGGGAACCTATCGAGGAAAGAGCATTAGCGTAAATCTCGGCGACGTGGATCTACAGAACGCACCTGAGGTGAATCGCAAAAAACCAGCCGGATCCGACAGACTGCGGAAGGCGGAGTGCGTCTCGATAAAGTTGCAATTTGGAAGGGCTGCTGGTTATGATGTCCTTGGTAGGCACAGAATCCGTGGAAGTCCATGTGGCAGATATCCATTCCAGGGTGGGGAGTAAGATTCATGGGGCCAGACAAACAGAAACAGGGGAAACAAAATTCGCAAACGGCAACCTTGACCTTGTACTCTCCTTTAACAAGCACGCTACAAGTCAGTAATCAAATCAATGGAGCTGGGTGGACGATAGGCAAACACTAGCCTTCGAGTACGTACATTGTGCGAACCCATCCAAACTCCAAACATCAACGATATCCGAGGCTTCGGGACTCCCATGAATAGTGGCTCTGGGTGATTTTCCTGGCTCTGATCCATTGGAGGCGCATCCATTGTGGCTCAACCATGGTAGACTCCGGCACGTGTAGCGCATCAGGAAACAAGACGGCTCCGTTATGGCATTGTCGTTATAGGCCACTGTGCTCCGTCGAACAAGAACATGATTGAACGACGTCGCCGTGACACGGCGGCATAGTATCCTCGGCCTTTCTGAACAGCGTACCGTTGGTAACGGGTGGGCCGCAACCGGAGGCGATCCGGGTCTAGTGACCTGTTGAGGAGTCGCTCCACGCGCTCACCGAGATGTCGAAAGCTCTGACAGCAGCTCCGAACCTGGTGTCCGGAATTACGATCATGGTTTGTCGAACTACGGCCGTTGCAACGACACGGCAGGACCCTTGGGAAATCCGGCTGTAATTTCTGAACAAAATCCAGGCATCCGCGGGAAGGTTAGAGAAGAAAAGGAAGTGGCCATGGTACGTCCCCTTGTACGGTAAAAACTCCGGCTATGATGAGTCCAGCGGCTTGCTTCTGGCGGCGCATGGTGGTCTGGCTGCTGTATGGCGGCGAAAACAAAAACAAAACAATGCAAACAGAATGGAGAGTACAAGACGTGTAGAGTACATGGTGTTCAAGCAAAGAAAAGGCAGAAAATGCAAACTTCAAGCAGAATCGACTTGGGGATAAGACCATTGGGCAGTAAGTACCTCGTTAGGGCTCCGACTGGGCTCCGAATTGACATCCTGAGCAAGGGCTCTTGTCGTGTCTACAAATTTTGGAACAAAACAGGCGGTTTTCGCACAGATGTGTCGTCAGAAAGGGCGATGCGTGCGAGTGTCGAGTGTCGTAGTCGAGGTGTGAGGAGGGAGGAAAAGAGGAGCGACGAGGTGGGCGGGGGCGCTGAAAACCAAAACACGAGGGGGCCGCCGGTCAGCGGTGTGCTCGGACCAAAAAGGGGATAGCGCCTGGGTTGCCAACTCATCCAAAGGGTGGGGCCATGTTGTCGCTGCGGTCCTTCTCTCGTCCAAGGCAGATTGGCCAGCGCGGCCTGGGACGGGGACCGCCACGTTCTTATCCTCTGCTGACGGTGGGCGTGAGAGGTGCGCGGCACCACTAGCCCTGGACGGTGGGAAGCGCCGTCATCATGGTTGGACGCCATCCCTCGGCGATATGCAGAGCGGCCGCCGGAAGCACAGGTCCAGGATTGTGAAATTCGAAGTGAATTGCGCATCCGTGCTGTGTTGCACAGCGGCGTTTCCAGAAGGGATCCTCGCTGCGCTCTGCCAAGCGCGAGAAGGGGATCACGGCTCGATAACGCCGCCAACGTCGCGACGCTGCTGCGGTCCGCTCAGGCCAGCGCCGTGCGCGACAATTGCGTATTGCTTTTTCGTTCCGCGCCAGGGTCCGCGAGAAAAAAGCCTGTTACAGACCGCCTCCAGATTGTCCGAGAAAAGCGCGCAGCACGAGGAATTAACTGCTGCGTCTCGCACGGTAGGCCAGCAAGTGAGGGATTGATTGAGACGGCCTTGGTCAAGTGGAAGGCGGCTCTCGTTTCCCTTCAGCCGTCTCAACTGCGCTGGCGGCATGGAAGCTTCCCCCAGGCCGTGTAGAAATTACCGCCCGCGGTCGACGCGATTGATTGTGCGTCGCCAGCCGCTGCGAAGGCTGCATATTGACAAGTCGCATGATAGAATAAGGCGCATATTCACAGTAACACAGAGAAGATGTAGCAATCACATCCAGGGCAGCTGTCGCACAATATGACATCGGCGGCTCGACGTGCGACCTGTTGTCAAGCAGCATAGCATTCCCGGCTCTCTCGGGTGTGGAAGGATCGGACAGCAGCCACGAGCCCTCCATGATACCTCTAGACCTGTCAGGGTCCTGGGGCGCGCCGTCCTAGCTTGCTTTCAGTCAGAAATTGTCAAACAACACATCATTCGTACGGGGACAAGAGGCGAGATCAGATAGGAGCGAAAGACAATGCTGTTTTCTCCGCAGAGGTCCACAGACCATCGGTTGAACTATGCTTATTTTGTGGATTCATCATGGAAATGGCAACGATGTCGAAAATAAGGTTGACGTACCTGGGCTTGAGGGTGTCGATTGCTTGATAATGGAGCTGTTGCATTCTGTTGGGCCGGTCGATTCTCATGGACCACTTTTCGATGAGAAGGCTGTGAGCGGTAAGAGAGACGAGAGCTCATCTGCCACAGGCTGGTGGCGCCCTGGCTGACGGGCCGATTCTCGAGTCTCAGGTCTCCGGTGATCACTGAGATACTCGGGATGATGAAGTTGGAAAGGTGAACCACCAAGAAGGCCTGGAATTCGTCCGGTAAGAGCATGGCAGCATCGCTTGGGGGAAGTAACCGGGGCAAAGCGGAACGTCCCTGTCAATCTGACGCCTGAAAGAGGGATTGCTGCCCAACCTCGCTGAGCCTCAAAAAGTGCGCACCCACCCTTCCGCTCTGCTTCAACCTGCTCGTGAAGGTCGGAAGCCGAGACTCCCGTGATCGAACTGCGACGGTGCAAAGTTTATTCAGGATCGACAATTTCCGGCCTCAGGACGCGACGCGAGACCATCGCGAAGACGGTAGGTTGGTGTAGGTGGCTCTGACCGCGGGCTTTGTGGTCGAGTTTGCATCGCTTAGCGGGAACACCTCGGCATGTGGAAGCAAACAGACCAAACACGAATGCTTGGCATTGATGATATCATCCCCTTGAACCTCAAACCCCAGGCATGACGATTGCTAAAGATCGACAGGGCTTTCGTATCACTCTAAATGAAGAAACAGGCCAGGCACCGTCGAGCATGACATCAAGGGATTCATAAACTCTCACTACCCTCCATGACACGGCGGCCAGTCTCCACTGCTTCATCCCGAACCTAAGCGTATACCCTAGAAAGATGCGTCATGCCCCTCGGTCTAGTGAATAATGTCTGGTCGGCTTGGATCTCCCTCACTGATACACCGAAGACGCCAGTCTTTCAAGGCGTTCAGCCTCCGCGGTGGTCTTGCCCGAACTTTGCATTCCTCTGGCGTCCGAGAGATCTGCCTCTGTGGCCCCCTCCAATCGCACTACCCAGTTGCTCGGTGACGACTGCCTCGCTGGTTCCGAACAATGCGCAAGATTGCTAAGCTGAGCACGTGAGCACGACGTCGAAGGACTCAGATTGGACTCAAAGTTCGGCTCTTGTTCCGAGCATTGCTCGTAAGACGCGAAATCTATACGGTTTTGCTGCCGCGATGGGAGATCTTATTTGTCGATCATACTATACAATGGTGATGTCCTTTATCTCAGGTCATTGTTACCGTACTGCAGGGTCAAAGCTTAGCAAGCGGATTGCGGGGAAGCTGGTCCCTGGTAGCTCATTGGCACGATCGTGCTTCACCTGCGTAATGCTCATACGACTTGGGGCATCTCTATTGAGGGGCAACCGTTCAGCTGAGTCCTTATCTCTGCCACACCTCTCGTCTGCTTCAACCACCCTCATCGTCTTTCTCATCACAAATCTCCATCAAATCTCTCCAAGCTCCCCATAGGAACATCAGAATGCCTTCTCCCTTCCACCAGAAGTACTCCTCCCAGACTCACAAAGTCTTTGGAGACAATACCACGCCAGCTATGCCCGAGGGCCCCAAGCAGGATGCTGACCGAAGGGCATCCGACTCCTCAATCGGCTCTGGACCATCGTCACCGACAGAGCGACGAAGGGTACAACGTCATGCGCTTTGTCTGCTTCCGCTGATTCCGCTAGTCTTCCGTAACGAACCGATTCGCAAATCTCGAAGCCCTCAAGAGGCCCACCGATGAGCAGAGCGTGAATAGAAGGGCCAGCTTGCAAGACTCATACGGAAAGGTCGGCATATTTGGAAGGGCGTGGAACAAGTGAGTCGCCTCAAACTCCACTAGCAATGACTGCACTGACTGGTTTCCAGCTTCACGCGTGGGCCGGCTAGTCCACAGTCACCGCCGGCACAGAAACAGGCCCGGGACACGACGACCTTGAGCCAGTGAAGGATCGATATTGCGAGGGACGTTACCAAATTGATACTTTGCGAGATTGGTTCTTCAAAGGCAGGAGAGCTTTCCGATCCGCTTCACAGTTTATCGATGACGTCTACGATGTATTATATGAGATTGTACTTGAAGTCTCAAGGCTAGGGCTGGATATCTCAGGCTACGGACAATGAATGAAATGAATGACACAATTCAATAATGCTGCGATCCATCATCGGGTCTGTCATGTTGGTTCCCAGAAACGTGAAGTGAATAGAGCTTGGGCCACGCGGGGAAGGACCCACATGGTTGCGATTGGCCAGATTCCCCAATTACGCATGGACGCGTTCATGAGCTCCCAAACAGCGAATCTCCAACATTGACACCTGTCCCGTTATCGCACACGACCCTCAACCCTATACCTCTCCCCCGAACCCCTCCATTTCCCTTCACGGCGACGACGTATCGCATTACCCAGTCTGGGACTCCTCGCGACCCAAAGCACTTGCCCAGCGCTAGATCCGTATAGGAGGGCAAGAGGATCAGGAATAACAGCTGGATCGAGGTCCGAGCTGCAGACCTTGGAAGCTTTAGTGCCGCAACGGCGCTGAGGTAGGCAACATGGGCACAAGGACGCGGTCGCCCTCTGGGTATCCCGACCCGACGCCGATAAACCTGAATCGCATATTATCGAGGCTTGAGCATATAGTACTAGTGGAGCCGTCTCCCCAGCTTAGGAAATCTAGATATGAGCGTACGAAAGTCGGCGCTGTGAGTATTATGCCTTGAAGCACTCCAGCCAGGCTAATGCCTAGCCAAGAACATTGAGTACGCGCGAATCCTCCTACTAAACCTCGAACACTCCGCATCGACCCTCCCTTCCAAATCCAAGAAATCCGCGCTGCAGACCGACCTCCAGCAGAAACGCGAGCTCATCAAACAACTCAACCAGCGCATATACGAGCTAAACCAGCTAGACGACTCAGATTCGGACGATGGCTCGGTGGACTCAGAGGAGGAAGGCCAGGACAACTTTCCCTCATATGCGCCAGCAGTGAAAGCCGAGGCCGGTCTCGAAGTCTCTGGTACTAGCGGAGAAGGCAGTGAAGCCCTCCAGGATGCAGCAAGGAGTCTCACATCTGAACTGCGGCGACGAGGGGGAGGCGAGAAGGACGAAGCGGCAACAACGACAGGCAGCTCATTGTTCCCCACAAAACCTACCACCACGACGGGTGATCCCTCAGCTGCGCACACGGAAGCCATACTGTCACATCATCGTGGGGAACAGGAGACCTTGACGACGAGCCTGCTGGAGATGGCGAAGCAGCTGAAACAGCAATCGCTGCACTTCCGCTCAACGCTAGAAGGAGACAAGAGCGTACTGGATCGAGCGGTTCAGGGACTGGATAAGAACACACAGGGAATGGAAGCTGCAGGCCAGAGGATGGGCAGACTACGGCGAATGACTGAGGGTAGGGGCTGGTGGGCTCGACTGAAGCTATATGCGATGATATTCGGACTCTGGGTAGTGGCATTTCTGATTGTGTTCGTTGGGCCAAAGATTAGGTTCTGATCTGCATTATACATCTGCGTGGACGCCAGAGGATTAGCAGAGTCAAAAGGATAGATAATTGCAGTAGACACTGCAAGAGAAATCAGAAGCTCTAATATTGAATTCCAGAGCCGTCTGCATTTCATGAAATCCCACCAGCGCCACGTTTCGTACGGTCTCATTTGCTTTTCTTCCCAGCTCTGACTCCTTAGAAAGCTGCACACTATCTAAATAAATCTGGCCCCTGCGCGATCTGGCAGCCAGGATCTCTTGGCAGCGTCGATCATCCGCCTCCTCTCCGCATTCGAGGAGCGACAACGGCAGGATACGTTCACAGTTGAATACCGCTGTAGTCACTCTCTACATCCATCCTCGTCACCATGGCTATGAAAATGATGCAATTAGGCGCTCGCTGTATGTCTACACCCCTCACTGCTCCCTTCCCCCTACCCAGCTCCTCCACCCCAAGCTTTACGCGCCATTGCTAAGCCCTCGTAGCCCTCAACCACTCCTCCTCCGACACAGAAGCCGAATATGACCGCCTACGCGACCTCGCCCGCCAAGAAGCCGCCAAGCGCTCCTCCTGCCTCGACCGCGCACACCAAGCCTACGAGTCCGGCGACGGCGCGCGCGCCCACGAGCTCAGCGAAGAAGGCAAGCGACATGCCGCCAAAATGGATCAGTACAACCGGCAGGCGCGTGACTACATCTTCCGCGCGAATAATTCGGCTGATCGCGTGCCTGGCGACACGATCGATCTTCACGGGCTGTTCGTAGAAGAAGCGGAAGACGTGCTAGAGGAGCGCATACGGGCGGCGAGAAACAGGGGCGAGACGCATTTGCATGTCATTGTGGGGAAGGGCAATCATAGTCGCGGGCATGTGCAGAAGATTAAGCCGAGGGTGGAGCAGGTGTGCCGGGAGTTGGGCCTGCAGTACGCGACGGAGGAGAATGAGGGGAGGATGTACGTGAATTTGCAGGGCGGCCCTGTCCATGGTATGCCGCCGCCGCCGTCTGCGCCGAGCTATGGGGCTGGTGGGTATCCGGGGCAGCATCATGGTGGGCAACCGCATCACGCGGGCCAGGCGCATCATGGACAAGCTCAACATGGCCATCAGCAGCAGCAGCAGGGTGATGAGGTGGAGCAGATGGTTAAGAAAGGGTTGCCCAAATTGTTTAGGGCGCTTAAGGGCTGTTGTGTGGTGATGTGAGGATCGATGATGTGTTGTTGATAAGAAGGGGATGGTTTGCGGAATGATACCCCAAGTGACAAGCGGCTTAGACGCTAGTGAATGGAAGCTCAAAGTGTTCAGAGGGTGGAGCCAATATATTTAACCTTGATTGCTCTTGTGGAGAATGAGTGATTGAGGTATCCACACGCAAAGAAGATTCTGTTGAGCTGACACACTATTGTCTAATCGCTCCCATGGAACTCTTGTAAGCACGGCTTCGCAGTGGATAAATATGCACATGACATACGAATCCTGAAGTTACTCTACCCGCCTCCTGAGCATCATAGAGCTTCCAATACGGTCTTGATATATACGGGATTCTTGACTTCTTATCTTGTTGCACTTGGGTGAAGGCATTCGTTCAGTTTAGAAGCATTTAAGAATCAACAGCAGCTTGCTTCTCAAATCTAAATGGAGCGCAGTCTTGTTTCCAGTTCTCCGTCGTTCAATTCAGATATCCCCGCTCGTGATTTTTGACTCCCCGCACAGTGTCCCGGTCCGGTAAGGGGCAGTGCAAGTTCGATGGGAACCATACATTTGAGCAATTGGCGTACCTTTGGGTGAGGAAGCACCCCCTCTCACAACCCCCTGCTAGTTAAGACTTGGAAGCCCCTTTTGGGCCTTCCTGAGATTTGAGGTACTGTGACCCTCGCCAGGTGGTGTCTATATAATGTGCTGATTCTACCCGGTGTCCCCTTCTGCTTCTCAAACATGCACCGACTGCTCTCTGTGTTGTGACGCCCTTCAAGCACACATCGCCAGGTTCATTGCCCTGTCACTTGCGTTCTACATATATTCAACATGGCCAGTAACAAGAAGTGGTACAACTCATGGAGTCGCCATCGGGGGAGGCAGGCGGCTGTACAGCTCGCTCAGGAGGTGGACGACACGCCCGACGCCTCTGAGCCACGCCGCTCCTCGGAGGAAGAATCGGTTCGTGACATCCTCGTGCCTGCACGGGATACCGCTGACAGTAGAGCAGACTGCCTTAGCCCTATCCAGCTCGTCCCTCTTTGGAACCGACACGCGTTCAAACCCAGCTCGTCCTCCTCGTACACAAGATGCAAGCGCTTCACTGCATCCGTCTAGGGTCACGTCAGCGTCCAGTCCCTCAGTGTCCGGTCCCTCAGTGTCCGGTCTTTCAGCATCCACCCCTTCAGCATCCACTCCCTCAGCCTCCGCTTCCTCAGTGTCCATTCCCTCAGCCTCCGCTTCCTCGGTGTCCACTCCCTCAACATCCACTTCCTTAGCACCCTCAACCCCCACTCCGCAGCCCGTGGACGACACCAACGCGAGCCCCCGAGACAGAGTCGGCAACGCCATTGCCCAAAGGCCTCCCGTCCCTCTTGCCGTTCCCGCGAGGAAAGTAGGTCGCGTCTCCTCCTCCATTCCATTGCGCTCCAAGTCCAAACGAAAGAGAGTCCACATCGGCAGCATCTTCAAGAAGAGGGAAGACACACCACCGGAGCCAGAAGATGAAGAGCTCGAAAAACAACTGGAGACGTTCAAATTAATCGACGTCACCCGCTCCGAGCTCAACGTGAGTAAGCTCGCTTCCAGCCCCTTCCTTTCTCCTGAAGTTAGGAACTTTTGGGAACCGGGTGGTAATGGAGAGGCGACGCAGATCGCGGAGTGGGAGAGTACGGTGCCGCCTCTTGCGAAGAGCCGGGAGGGAATGAACATCGCGCCTTGGCGAACGGTTAAGCCTGCAAATCAAGATTCAAGACCTCCGGATACGTGCTTGGACGCGAAGACGACCGAGCTGCACATTCAGTATATGGCAGTGGGCGACACAGATCTCCTGCCCGAGCCCGAGCCCGAGCTTGAGCCTACGCCCCCTCCACCGCCAGTGCCCACCCCAAGAAACGCATCTTATACCACCTCTAGCTCTTACGATCCCATGCGAACAGGCTCCGTTCAATCTCCCTACGTTACTACACATGGTGGAGACGGCGAGCAAGAGCCCGCGCGAACAGGCTCCTTGCGATCTCCCTACCTTGCTTCACATAGTGAACATGGCGAGCAAGATGCCACGCGAACAAACTCCCTTCAATCTCCCTACCTCGCTTCAAACAGTGGATACGACGAGCAAGATCCCACACCAACAGTCTCCTATCAATCTCCCGATCTTGCTTCACGTGGTGGACACCGCCAGCAAGTGCGTCGGCCGGACGCATCGGCATCGCATGATCGAGCAACGAGGCCTTCCTCTTCCCCACCACCGCCTGCGAGGCGGTCTCTGAAGTCTTCACAAACGCCATTTCCAAAGTTGGATCCAGTTCCAAGCCTAAGCGCGCCCTCCTCGCGAGGAGGAAGTCGTATCACTTCCGCTAAGCTAGCTCCTGGGCCCGGAGGTCCCTCCATGAGAGATGCAGTCAGCAGTCGGACTTCTCTCGCGATCGACAGGAGTCCCGCACCTAGCGCCGAGCAGGCCCGTCCGCAAAGGAGCCGAGTAGACATAAGAGCCCAAAACCGTCCTCAGCCAGCTCCTCGACCCGGAGGTTCCTCCACGAGAGGTGCAGTCAGCAGCCAGACCTCTCCCGCGACCGGCAGGAGTTCCGCACCCAGCGCCAGCCAGGCTCATCCGCATAGGAGCCGCGTAGACACAAAGGCCTGGGAACGTCCCCGGCCGGGTGATACCCCAGGGAGAGCACGTGAGGTGCGAAAACCGCCCATCAATACAACAACCCAGAGAGCCCACGGCAAAACCCCGCTCAACGGTCCCCGAAACTCGCCATCAACGCTGCAACCAGCGAAATCTGACCTGGACCAGATTAGGGAGCTTCTAGGCGAGGGAAAGCCTGAGTCACGGCGGGATTCAGTTGAACCAGCTGGCAAGGGTAACGCCCAAGCATCGAACCAAAAGGCAGAGGCAACAACCGAGCAAAGTGATGAGAGAGATCCGTAGTCTGCGAGCAGCGTAATAGATAATGATACCCCGCCGAGCAACGAAAGCAATTTGAGCGTTTTTGACGAACGCAGAGGATTCGGTACTCGGTGCAGCGAAATCGTCTGCGGTGCCTGACGCGCCGATTTCGTATACGTAGCAGCGCAGGATTCTGCTATTAGTCGGAAACCTTCATCGATATAGTAATAGCATCCTAGGAAATGGGATATGATATACATTACTTGCAAACGTCCAATTCAAGCTCGAACAGTTGTACACCGGCGTAAAAGTACACTGGTTCGTGTTCAGCGTTCGACACGTGGTGGTCGAGTGATGTGGCCTCCTGTGCTGCAGCGAACATGCTCTTAACGGAAATCAACTCCAAAAACGGCTTTGCCGAGTCTCCATCAGGCATCGCTGGAGTGATAACAAGCGATTAGAAGGATGCGCTCTCCACGGATTTTGTTCTGATAGTTGTGCTGCAAGCAAGATAAGGAGACCGAAAAGAAACGTTTGCGTGTAAAGCCGTGAGGTCACATGACACAAGTGACCCGATATTCATCGACAATTCGTACAAGGCACCCGAACATCAGTAAGATTTCTGTATAGGTCATAAGCAGCTGGGGGATTGATAGAACGTGAAGCAGGAAATCAATGACTCAATTAGTAACCGGACGTCGATCCGTGTATGGATGGAAAGTCTTGCGGATGCTGCGCATTCGCATGAGTGGCTGGGCCGGAACAGTGACGAAGACTACAGGCAAGTACCCGAAGAGAAACGTGTAAAGAGGAGGTGCAAATGGTGACAGCGTAGACTGCAGTGCGACTTACGCAAGAGGAAGCTGTGATACTGCCGTGAACAAGTGACGTGTGGAAGGGCAGGGAGGGCATCTGGGCAGATGCAGCAAACCACTCGACCTCTCCACCTGACCTCTTTTGCTTTGGGACCTTGACGTAGTAGAACTTTTCAACTGTGCACGTTACCTAGGTACCCATGGAAGTCGTGGTGATGAATAGCCGGCGCGCAGATCGTCGCTGCACCTTAGACTTTCGCCGGCAACCCCAGTTTTCAGCGCGTGCGCATAGATACCCGCTCTTCCATGGCTAAGGAATAAAGGAATCTCCTATCCGGCATCCATGTGCTTTCCCCTTTGAGTCTGGCTTCAGGAGCCTTTCCTGGTGCTGTTTCCTGGATCTGGGCGTTCTATTTCGCGTTCGAGGTCTCCCCTGGCTATTGGCGACCACGTCGGCTGTGCGGCTATGAAAGAGGGTCAGTCCGGGATGACGCGAAAAAGCACGCGGCGTGCGGAGTGCAGGTGCAAACTTTGGGCGACTATTGGCAGATCTCCTGAGAATGGAGATGAGGTTGTTGGATGACGGGTGGCTTGTGACCGACGGGTAGGGGTGTTTGCGGCTCATCCTACGCTAGCCTTTTTTGGATGAAAGGGAGGTCGAGCAGAATTCTTTACGGCGTGAACGCATGACTAAGAGAGGATTCTCAGATGCACTGTTAGGGCTTTCAGGCACAGAACGCGCTCTTTAAGCTTATTAGAATCTCGCTAAACTTTGCTCACGCCTGAGGACCCCTTTAAGCGCGAGAAACTGGTGCTTGGCAGGCACAGTCGGTGGGCTCTGCCTCTCTTCATCTCCAGGCAGCCGATCCTGCTATTTAGAACGCGTGAGAAATCGCCCTATCGGCCGAAAAGCCAAATCCTAGCCATGCAAGGTGGATCATTTCTTGACAACAACCCGCCAAGGCAAACTACGGCCCGGAAAAACCGCCTCCGACCACTCCTCCATCATCTACTCGTCCGCAAATCCATCTCTCAAACAGACCTAATTCGGCAGGTCCCACTGCGACCCGGTACCTGCTGTGCCCAGCGGGGCACTTTGGCATAAAATCCAACACAATGGACGCGCTCGTGACGACCTGTAAGAGACCGCTCCACACCTAATCTCGGCTTTGCTGCGGAAACCAGGCCGACCACCTGGGAGCGCACGCACCGGAGCACCATGGCTATGGCTACTCGGCACTGTGATGATGGACAAGGGCTAATGCTAAGCGTCCCTTGTAGTCGACTATATAGGGCAGTCATGGCTCGATCTTACCAACAATGGCTCGTCAACCTTCGCCCACGTCATGCCTATTTCTTTCACATTTCTCCAGTCCTGCCTCTTCTTGTGGTCCAGCTTTGTTCACTGGACTAACTCCGTACCACTCAGGAGGGCGGATGACTGCCCAGGGTACAAAGCCAGCAATGTCCAACAGTCAGATAGCGAGATAACGGCGGATCTTACCTTGGCTGGTTCGGGATGCAACATCTACGGGAACGATCTCCAGGAGCTGAAGTTCGTAGCGGAGTACCAGACAGGTGTGTTTGTTCTCATGTGTTTGACATGGTCAGGGAGTTTGCGACGAGGGGGAAGTATAAGCGGTGTTTCAGCTTCCCCTTTGGCTAATGCACGATTGGATGTGAACTCATCCACACACATCTCATCGTCATCAAATCATGATGTATTTGAAGCGTGTCAAAAAGAGAGGATAGAACTCAAGACCAAGCCGGAGAACTGGACATCTGACGGCGATGCTAACCGAGCCTAGATTCTCGCCTACATGTATCAATATACGATAAGGATGAGCAAGTCTATCAGGTCCCCGACCTTGTCGTCCCCCGACCGACGGGCTCAGTCGGATCCGACGCATCTCAACTGGACGTTTCAATAGAAGAGGAGCCATTCTCGTTTACGGTAACGCGAAAGAGTAATAATGAGACTATATTCAGCACAAAGGGCTCCGTTCCCGTTTTCGAGGACCAATACGTGCGGCTTCGCACTTCTTTACCTGACAATCCATCGCTCTATGGACTCGGCGAACATACGGACTCTTTGAGACTACCAACTTCGAACTATATCCGAACACTATGGGCTCGGGATGCAGGCGCTGTCCCGCAAAACTCGAATTTGTACGGGACGCATCCGGTGTACTACGAGCACAGGGCGGACTCCGGGAATACGCATGGCGTTCTTCTTCTCAACAGCAACGGAATGGACATTAAGATAAACAAAGACAATGGTCAGTACCTGGAATACAACACTATAGGCGGGATCATCGACTTGTATTTCCTGGCCGGCCCCGCGCCTTTCGATGTTTCACGAGAGTATAGTGAGATCACGAGCAAAGCCGCGATGATGCCGTACTGGGGCTTTGGATTCCATAACTGCAGATTTGGATACTCGAGTGCCGACGAAGTGGCTGCCGTGGTTGCAAACTACAGCGCCGCTAGCATTCCTTTGGAGACCATGTGGACTGGTATGTATTTAGCAAATTACCTAGCCTGTCGTGCGCTAAATGAAGTAGATATCGACTACATGGACCAGTATAAGGTTTTCACTCTGGGAGCCACATTTCCTCTCGACAAGATGCGAAGCCTAGTGGATAATCTGCACAGCAATGACCAACATTACATTGTAATGGTTGACCCGGGTATGTATAGCACGCAACTTTATCATCAGGCATAGCTGACGGGTCCAGCCGTGGCTTATCAGGACTACGATGCCTTCAACAACGGCGTAGAAGCCGACATCTTCTTAAAGATGAACAATGGAAGCATCTACAAGGGTAGAGTCTGGCCCGGCGTGACCGCATTTCCCGATTGGTTCCACGAAAACGCCCAAGGGTATTGGAATAGCGAGTTTGAGAGCTTCTTCAATCCGGACTCTGGCGTTGATATCGATGCGTTGTGAGTGAAGTTCCCGGTATACTGGCACGGATTACTGACTACCGTCTGAAGATGGATTGACATGAATGAGCCGTCAAACTTCTGTGTGTGGCCTTGCACAGACCCGGAATCAGATGCGTCCGAAGACACAGACGTGGCGACCAACGTACAAGCTCGCAGGCTTTCTCCTCGCCAGGCTAGTGGTTCAAGGATCGGACTTGGTGGACGAAACCTGACTTTCCCGAAATACGCTATCCACAATACCTTCGACGTGTTGAGCAACAAGACGGCAAGGACCGATCTAATTCACCAAGGAGGCTATGCAGAGTATGATACACATAACTTGTAAGTTAGCCTGCTCGACGATGTGGGTAGACACTGAACGTTCTCTAGGTATGGCACGATGATGAGCAAAACGAGTCAGCAGGCTATGCTCAGCAGGCGTCCAGGCAAGCGACCGATGGTCATCACTCGCAGCACTTTCGTCGGCGCTGGAAGCTACGTTGGTCACTGGCTAGGAGATAACGTCTCGGCGTGGGACCAATATATCACATCCATTCGGCATCTTCTGCAATTCGTCTCATTTTTCCAGGTTCCAATGGTAAGATATCTTTCGCTTTGGTGATGCACGGCTAACGGAGCTAGGTCGGAGCTGACGTCTGCGGTTTCCTCGGAGATACCACCGAGAATCTCTGCGCCCGCTGGATGGTCCTCGGAGCTTTCTACCCATTCTATAGGAACCACAATGTCGCAGGCGCCATTTCTCAGGAGGCATATAGATGGGAATCCGTGGCTGCCGCTGCCCGTAAAGCGATCGATCTGCGATACAGGCTCTTAGACTACATTTACACAGCCATGCATCAGCAGACCGTAGACGGGACTCCCATGCTGGCTCCCCTGTGGTAAGCTTCAAGCAGTCGCTTTCCCCGTTCCAGTATCCCTAACCGTAGCTTCAGGATGCATTACCCCGACGACTCGGCAACCGCCGCCATCGAGGCGCAATTCTTCTACGGTCCCTCTCTCCTCGTCAGTCCTGTCACGCAGCAAGACTCGACCTCTGTATCCTTCTACCTCCCCCAAGACACCTTCTACGACTTCTTCACACTCAAGAAAGTCTCCGGCTCCGGCTCCTCAATCACATACTCCAACGTTAGCACCAGCGACATCCCTGTCCACATCAAAGGCGGCTCCATCATCGCTGCGCGAGTTAACGGCGCGAACACGACAACCGCGCTACGCGACGTAGACTTCGAGCTGCTCGTCGCGCCAGATGGTGATGGCAATGCGAGCGGAAGCTTGTACTTGGACGATGGAGAGAGCGTGGAGCAGAGTGGGACCAGCGAGATTGAGTTCAGCTTTGATGGGACGACGATCAAGATGCATGGCTCGTTTGGGTTTTCAACCATGGTGGGTGTGACGAGCTTGACGGTTCTGGGTGATGGTGATGCGGTGAAGTACGAGTTGGACGAAGGGCTGGATGGGCCGTGGAGCCATGATGTTGGGTCCTTGGAGCAGGTGGATCTGTGAAGAGCAGGTTTCCCTTTGCTTTGGCACACCTAGCACCTTTCATGCGTGCGAGGTCTTGTGGTATCCGCAGTCTTGAATACATCTCGTGTTCTTCCTCTTTGGATCGAGTCCTGGACCAAATACATCTTGCAAACGGAGTGCGCACACTCTCTTTTCAAACTCTCGTCGAATGATCTCGTCATATGATCTCTTCGCATTTATCGCTTTCTGATCTAGGTCTTCCATGTTTGTTGTTGCCAGTACGAGGCGGTAATTGCGGTTGCACATGGGACCTCGTGTTTCGAAACGCGGCTCATGCAGGTTATTTGATCGATTCCCGGATTTCCAACGCCACAGACGCAAATATGACTGCACCTATTATGGGCTGTCAGCGGCTCTACGCTGTAGGAATTTCTGCAGTCGAGCGAATCGGCCAACGACGGGTCTGAGGCCCAAGATCGTCTTCATCCGTAAAAGCGCTGGGGTTATTGGCTAGAACTTGATATGAGTATGTCAACTACTTTAGGAAGCGTGTGCGAATAAGCCGATCGGATCTGCATTACGAGCCGCGCCTCCTCCCGGCCCGCGCAGCTGCAAGGGGCGACGAGCTGAAGATCTTTCGACCTCTCGTGTTTCCCCGCTCGTACAACGTGGATGCTATTTCAAGACGCACACAATTTGCTCGTGTTTGGAGGCGGTCGCCGACGTCAATGGCTGGGCGGAGGAGTGGCGCAGGTACTTAAGGGCTGTGGTGGCTTCACGGTTTGAATGTCATGCACCCTGAGTGTGAAAGTACAGCCCGAGGACCGAGAGAAGATTATCGCACCATGAAGGCCTTTGGGGTTGCGTTTACTGCATTCGCGGCAATGGCGGCTGCTGCGAATCATAAACTGCCGAGAGAGATCGGTGATTATTGCGATGCGCCAGAGGTACCTCTTAACTTTGCGAAACCTCTCTACCCTCAATTGACACTTTGTAGGGGACCGGAACATGCCAAAAGACCTCGAACTGCGCTGGCATTGCCTACCCCGACGGCTACTGCCCAAATGGTACCTCCTCCCGCCTCCTTTTCCATTCCATCCTCCATCCTCTAACCACGTCCGCAGATCCCGTAGACGTCCAATGCTGCGTCCCGAAGAAATGTTCCGCACCATACGCCACCTCCCTCTGTCGACACACGCACCAAGGCTGTAGCGCTGGCTCCTTCGTTCCCGGCCACTGCCCCGGGGACTCCACCATCCAATGCTGCGTCAAGTCCGCTGGCGCCGACCCACCCTCGTGCTCGAACCCCGCCGAGAACACATGCACGTTCTACCCCAACTGCCTTGAGAAGACCATGCAATGCGGACCAGACGGCTATCCGATTGGTTATGGGTTGAAGTACTGCACCAAGTTCACCGACGCGGCGCCGAAGTTCAGCGCGATTGGGCAGGCGTGGATTACGAAGACGATGCTGTGTCTGCAGCGGAATCTTGTGCCGTATGCCACGGGCGAGAAGTCGACGACGTGCTCTGCTCTTAAGGAGTTCGCGTTCGGAACGCATCCAGGGTGCTATGTCAGTTCGGGGGTTTGCGCGCTGCCGCCGAGTGACTGGCAGGTCATTATCGAGACGGTGAGCTTGAAGGAGCTGTTTGGCAGCGTCGATGCGTTGAAGGCGACATTGGAGACTGCAGGCGATTGTGTGGAGTTTTATAAGTGGTTGATCAAGAAGGGGATCATTAAGTTGGTTGATGAGGTGAAGGACGCGGCGAAGAAGATCTGGGACAAGGTTACCGATTGGTTTTAGAGTTGACAGGAGGAGTAGCTGGGGTATTGCCTAAGGACGACCCCAGAGTTATGACTTAATCTGAGGTCGCCGATATCCATGCAATGGAAGCTTATAGTTAGTCTTCTGAACGATCACCTGGCGGACTAGAAACGATCGTACGGGCGAGGAAGTTCCCCCCTTCGTAGCAGGTGATAGAGTAAGGCTTATAAGTCTCATAATGGAAATACGTCTTTCCGATAATGCTCGATGTTTCAGTCAGCCCGGGTGTAAAAAGAGAAAGCGCCTCCATGTAGTATATCTGTTTAGTGTACAAGACATTCCTTTCTCAAAGTGCGCCGTGATCTAGTAGTCAGCCTATGGACAACATGTTAATTGGCCTTCGAACTATAGGTGAGCCTCTAATCGTCTCAACTTCTCAACAGATTCTTACAGAAACGGGGACTCTCTTCACCAAAAAGCTCTGTCTGGAGACATATCCATGGATATCCCCCCCGCAAGTTCGATGCAAGGGGGCAAGTGGTTCTCGTTCACGGCGCAGATACATCGACCGGCCGGGCGGTGGCGCAGTAGCTCGTTCAGGCCGGCGTCGGCGTGCTGGTTCTTGTAGGCGATGATGAAACCACATTCGCTGGACTATGAGTCTCTGCACCACACTCAGACTGACAATGATCACCGTTCCAGTTCTTCTCGAAAACGGAAAGTACACCCTACCTCCGAGCAAGAAATTGGACGTCGTTATCGTGCTCGATTATGGCCTTGAAGCGCTTCAAGTGCTGCTGGAGGCCAAGGACGAGATCTTCAAAGCCACGGCATCTCCAGGAGTGGGCAAGAAGATCGTCATGGTTACTGGTACGGATAGAGAGCCGGATTATGCAATAGAAGGCTACGAGATCAGAACATGTACTCTCCTCGTGCGGCTAAAGGATATGAGACCCAAGTACCGACTGAGTTACTATGGCATCGCCACCGTTCTTCTCCAGCCTGCATGGTTGTACTACGGAACCTTGAATCTCAAAGCGTTGGCTACTTTCGATCATGAACTCTTGGAACTAAGTGCGCATACAGTGCGTTGGCTGGCTTTTGAGAATATTAGCTGGTTGGATGGGAAGTTCGCCGATGCTGCGTGGGACATGGAGGAGTTGGCGGCGAGGAAGGAGGAGATTGTTTTCGAAGGGGTTCTGGGGTTGGACTCGGACGGTAGATAGGGTAGACGGACATGGTCGTACTCGCAGAACCGCGTGATGAATCGCATCTGGGATTAATGTCAGCGCGATTAGCAGACGCGACTAGAAAGAGGAAAATATAGCGAGGAGGGCAAGATAGGAAGCCACTGTCCTACCACGGTTCACACATTCCACATATAGTTCGTGAGGGCAGCTGCCCAATCACATTTCATACCTCAACTACCATCTGCAAGCCTAGTGGCTTCTTCCTGCTCTTCCTATCATATCTTAATCCACGTTCACTCGAAAGCGCTGTATACAGTCCGTCCGCACCGTCTTTGGGCCTAGCAATCGATGTCGTTCTCCTCCAGAGGCGCCGAAGACGCCCCGTGAGCAGTCATAGAGTAGAGAAAAGATGGAAGTCTTCATTCGGGGGTATCTTCAGATATCTGTTCCTCAAAGGAAATCACGTGGGTATCAATGAGGGTATATCCAAGCTCTTCTGTCCTCATGCAGACTCATAAACCGTTACCGCCCAGATAACCAGCACCTCTTCAAAACCGCAACCAAATTCTATCTTTCAAGACCCTAACTCTTCTAGTCCTTGAAGTCTATCCATCCAGGAGACGAGCATTGCCCAGCGGTGTAAAGCGGGAAGATTCCTTCGCGTCCACCGGAGGAGACGACCTTAGTATGCGCCCACAGCGAAGTACCGAAGCGCATTCGCCGCGAGTACAGGACTTTGCGGGCGTTGGTGTATAGGCCGGTAGCTGTCGTCATTGGTGGATCGATAATTTGGCAGCGGCCTGAGTCGGGTCTTCCGTTCTGTCCGGGTCCGCGCAAAGACGCTCCCTTTGGACTCGGAGCGCACGACAAATGTCCCATATTTCCTTCACCATCATTTCGCTTAGGATCGATCGTCGGGGTTCGTTGTCGTGGAACTTGATGACACCGTGCCGATACCCGACTCTCCACCGAAGCCAAGCCCCCAACCGGGACTCGGCTCAGCCACATCTCCACATCCAAACATTCTCCGCGTGGGCGATGATGTGGCGATGGTCATTGATGATGCCGTCGTCGGACTCTCCTCAAGGCGTAGCAGTGTCCATTCCCTTCAGCACGGTTGGTTCCCTCTCTTCAGCATGGTCATCTGTCTTCCCTTCAGCTTCCCCACACGTACTCTTGTACATGACCAGGCACTGATCCGCACACTCATCGTACTCCTTTGTCAATGTAAACGTCTCCCTATCCACATACTCCTTCCTGCACTCGTCCGCGCAAGGCTCCGCACCAAGAAACAACTCACAGCACACACCCTCTCCAATCTCCTTGGTGCAGAAGTTCGACGATGCGGCTGACGGGAGAGCGTGTTGAAGCGCGGAACCGATGTTCGAAGTCACAGCCGGGAAGTGCGCGACGAGCTGATATAAGATAGCGAGAGTGCCGAGGATGACGAGGAAGACGGTAGCGCGGTTGGCGCTATAGCGTGGTGATGATGGCCTCATAGTTGAAGTTGAGGTTGAGGTAATAGGTAAGGCCGACGGGGTCTTCATTCCTGAATCTGCGTTCCCAACTCTTTCTATGCCAAAGTATCGAGCGAAACGGAAAGGGAAGACGAGATGTCGTGTCCAGCTGAGCTGACTGAGCGGGCGGAAACGCGGGGTTCGCAGCTGTCTCGTCTTATGCCTCCGTCGTCGCGTCCTTTTCAGTTACAAAACCGTCGCAATCGTCCAGAGTTTTGAACTGCGTAGCAGCGAGGCGCAACAAAATCGCTGACCTGGAGAAAGAACAGCTCTGTCCCAAGCCTCCATCTATGTACTCCGCCCACACGCTCCCGGCACGCCTCAGCCGACTCGGCAAGGCAAGGCAGTCATTCTGCACCCCTCACCAAAAACCGTCTGACAACCTTGCATTTCCCACAACCCAGGTCAATCCGCCAACGCGATCCCGCATGCCGTTAGATCCAGTCTACCGCTCGTTAAACCCGCCGTATCACCAATCATCTTCCCTCTCTCTCGTTAGTTCCCGTATTCGGCCTGCGAAAAGTCACCGAAGCACCCGGCTCGACCAATTGTGTTCGTTTGCGAAGGGGCCATTTTACTGTACGGGTGCGCATGGCCCGCATCAGGCGTGAGAGAATGCTCGCGCGTTAGTGCTATTCTGGGCGCGGTTTCATGGCGCGACGATGCGAGGGCGTGAGGTGAGGCCGAGGTGGCTGTGGAAGCGTTTGGCGTGCGGTGCATTCATTTTGACAGGCTTCGGTGTTGCGGAGTGACCATCTTCCAACACCATGCCTGAGCTTGATCAGAAGGACCGTTGTTCTAGTGATCGCTCGATCTTCAGCAGCACAGCAATTGCGCGAATCCGAGAGAGCCGATTTCTGCGCCGAGCAAACACTTCAAAAAGATGACCCGACTGTCCCGGCAGCCCGCCCTAGATTGCCCTTGCGCGCGAAACCGTGAAGGATTAAGATTTAGATCCCAACCATGGTGTTCCTTGCACAGCAGATCGATGACAACCTCGCAGGACTGTCCCAAAAGAGATAATGCGTTCCAAAAGAGAAAATACGCGGATCCAAGGGTACGGGTCGGGTAGTTCACGTGCAGGATGCTGGTCCCAGGGTTTGGATTGCCTTGAAGCAGGGAGCTTCCCGGTATAAGACCTAGGACGAATGTCGCACTGTTGTTATGCGATGAGAGAGTAGCTGAACGGAGAGGAGGTGACGGCACTACGACTCTCGACGCATTGCTATGTTTGCGGGTTGAGCGCTGGCGTAGTAGAAGCTCATCAGCACGATGGATCTGACGCGACTTAGCTTTGCGTCCTACTATCCCTCAAGATGAAATGAACAGCCTTTCAGAAATATGATGGCTCGACTCGAGAGCAACTGCCTCTCAAGGATAATATGCGATACTCTGGTTGTTCCAAGGGAACAGCAGATAGACGTCAGCAGATTGGAAATAACGGCTACATGTAGCGCCTCAACGCCCCGGATTATTGATGGAGGGCATCATAAAAGTCTATGTCTATGACCATAGGGTCATGCCGAGGCCGGTCTATCCGCGCATTATGCAATGTATGCACTGAGACCCTTCGATGAAGCGGTCCGGGCGCTGATACCTCTCTAGGTTGATGATGCGACGGAATGCGACAAACAATAACAAGCCTTCAAGACCATGAGATGCTGATACATGTTAGCAAATTGGAGATTCATATGTGGGTTGTGGTCACTTACGCGAGCATTATACCAGCCCCGGCGAACATAGCTGCGAACTGCGTGAGCGTCTTCCTAAGCTCTTTCCCCTTCTCGGGGCCAGTCTCGAGAAGCTCAGGAATGACCGCCACCGTTCCAACATACAGGAACGTTCCTGCAGTGAACGGTAGCAGCATATCTCCCCATTGAAGGCTAGTGCCGAAAAGCCCAGGTCCTTGAAAATCGGCCGAAGCTGAGTTGCCGCCGAACTCCTGGACAGCAATGCCGATGCATGTACCCAGCAAAGCGCCAAGCGCAGTGATAAATTGCGCACCCATCGCTGCTCTTTTGCTAAAGCCGGATTGGATGAGGAGAGCAAAGTCGCCCACTTCGTGTGGTATCTCGTGGAAAAACACAGCTACTGTCGTGGTCGCGCCGATAGTCGGGGAAGCGTAGAACGATGAGCTCATAGCGAGCCCATCAGTGATATTATGTGTAAAGTCTGCGATCAGGTTGAGATAGCCGCCGAGCTTGACGCTCGCGTTAATCTCCTTCTCTTTCTCTGCAGCTGGGACAGGAGTCGGCGGTGGAGTGATACCGTTCGCGGTGGCCTTGCGCGCTCGGAGCGAGTCTTTGGAACCTGGATGTACTGTCAGGCTAAACCTCAATCCCGGAAGGTGTTGGAAGTGAAGTCTGTACCATTCATCTCAGAGCCCGTGGTCTGCCCAGCGGTCTCAGTCTTCTCATGAGAGTGTCCATGAGAATGGTCGTGTCCACTCTCACCACCGGTTGCAATCCTCAAGCCTTTGTCCATGGCCACGAATGTGACGAATCCCACCATGATGGCCACGCCAAGTAACAAATTTTTGTTCGGTTCCACCATAACGAACTTGACTTTATCATGCTCATCCTCGCCCAGAAAGATCTCTGGAAGTAGATGGAACAGCGTATCACCCAGCAGTCCACCAACTGCGAATGCCACCATGACAGACAAAGACGAGGGGTCGATGTTCGGCGGACATAGCGCGAGTAGGAAGTTCGGCGGACCTGAGATGTAAAGCGTCGCGAGAAGGGCATTGACTGCCGGGCTGCCGGGAAAGAGAAAGGCGAAGACCCTGGAGGTAACGCTCGAAGTAGTGGGGCTAGTAGCCACCTTGTGCTCGCCGAGGGCCCGGACAAGTGGGCATTCCTGTTACGGAATTGTTAGCCTCCTGTGGTGTTGAGCACGCGACATCACGGTGCTCCAATGCCGCCTGTCATGTAATTGGAGCGCCGCCACGCGGAAAGCAAGCAAATTGAGCGCATGAAAACAAGCACATACCTGCAATTGATCCTCGATCTGGGACGCACTCAATTCGCCCACGTTAACACCTGTCTCACCCTTCACGGCGGCCGCCGATGCGTTCCACGCCCACACTGCGAGGAACACTGACAGCGTAATAAGGGTTCTGTTCCGCCGGGACACCATGTTGGACGCGTTAGAGCTTTGGCTCGAAATAGATGAAGGGTGACGACGCCTGCTGTGACGTCTCAGGGGTCGACGCGGAAAGAGGGCCCGAATGTATCGGTAGGGCTGAGCGCTGATAGGCGATAAGCGTTAGCGTGCCAAGAGTTCTGTCGGATCGGAAAATCATGGGAAATTTTGGGCGAACGGACTCTGCAAACAACCTTCGCCGCGACTCCAATACCCCGCGCAGACCTCATAGCAATAGCCTTGCGAACATGGGTCGCGAACTCCAGAAAAAGAAAAGAAAGTCATCTATACCCAAGAAGCGACAAAATCCGCCATCGAAAAAGAAGATCCTCTCGAATCCAATCATTGCGGCGAACTGGTACGCCCACCCTGTCTCACCGTTCGTGAGTCAGAGACTAACATGACGAATGTAGGAATCAAAAGGAGACACTCACCCAAAACTACCGTCGCCTCGGACTCACAGCTCGCCTCAACCACTCAACGGGCGGCACCGAAAAGACGATCAAGTCGCTCGGCCTCAATGACCCCAATTCCTCGCGCGCCGACGCCGCAGCGAACAGCACCGCGAACGCGCTCAATATCGTCAGTCAGAAGCCGCAATTAGCCGGAACGGAAGAAGTCGAGGTCGAGCGAGACCCAGAGACCGGCGCAATCGTACGCATTGTAGGCGAGGAGAAAGAGGAGAAGGTCAAGGACAACCCACTCAATGATCCTCTGAATGAGCTAGAGGAGAGCGATGCGGAGGAATGGAATGCGTTCGCCATGGTGCCGAAAGAGGAGAGCGATAATCCTGTAATAAGACAACTTGAAGAGGTGGCTAGAAATGGAGCTAGGAAAGCGCCGCGAAGCCAGAGCCAGCGAGAAGAAGAATGGCTAGAGAGGTTGGTGCAGCAATACGGCGAGGATTACGGGAGAATGAGCCGAGATATGAAGCTCAATCCGATGCAGCAGACAGCAGCGGATATTCGGTCACGAATCAAGAAGTGGAGCGCTTCGAAAGGGAAGGAGCGGAAAGTCTGGGGTTGAAGTGGTCATGAATCTCTGACAAAGCCGACCCTAGAACTCGCACAGAGAGTCCGGATACGCAGCTGCCGGCAGGTGCGAAGGAATGGGCAAGTTTTGGTATCGGTACGAGAACAGCTTCTTGCGTACCTACCTAGGTACGTGGGTATTACCTCGCTTTCCGGCTGTTCAGAACTAGGGTCGCAAGGTCTTACCCTCCATCTGGGGTTGGCTCCAGAATCCCACATGCGATCCAATAACAAGCCTGCAACGCTGTCAGCTTTCGCTCAATCGAAAACCTGATACACTCTCCTCATACACCTTTTATGAATTCGCAAGATGATCCCGTATGGCCGTCCAATTTTTCACAACGTCTCTGCAGAACCTGCGACGCCATTTTCACATCATCTGGAGATCTTGAGACCGGATTGGCCGCGTCCCACTGTGAAGGTGTTTCCTCGCTCAAGATAGCAGCATATGCCGGCTGCTACATCTGCGTCCGGACATGGAGGCAAGCACTGAATACAACACCTCAGTGTATCCAGTTTATCTCCTGGGCGTCACCCACTGGTTATCCTCACTCGATGAAATGAGATTTGAACTCGCCTTCAATGTTAATGGAATTTATAGCCCATCCGCTTATCGTTTGAGCTGGACAGTAAGCCGCCGTCCCTCCGCAAATCCTCGTTACACGGATCAAATGAGGAATACTCGGGATGATGGTTACTTCCATCAGCCCACCTGGATACCGTTGTCATCGATGTTATATCCCTTTGCAAAGTGTTTGAGGATGAGCTGGGGGGGGTTAATCCGCGTGCGCTAACATATCCACAGCCGCCGCAGAATTTGGCATGCAAGGCATGCAGTCTTCGAGCATACGGTCTAGCTGACTCGGCGCCTCAACTGAGGGAACCCTGCTGTATACCAGCGAGCTTCGATGTATACCACTCCGATTTTCTGCCTAGTTTAACTAGATAACACCGTGCGCGCTCTTCGCGGAAGGCCCATGTCTTCGATGGGATCATGCATGCTTCCTCGCGCTCGCCTGACATCTAGTTACGGAGTCATCACTACAATCACATCCGGATATTCCGCAAGGCGTGCCGGAATAATTTGGCGCCCAACGTATGGTACTATCAGCGGTATTTCGAGGATGAGGACTTTGCGGCGCACGATAATGAGGGCAACCGCGTCATCGTCATCATCACGCCGGCGGCGCATATAATGACTTGGATATTGTCCACACTGTGGACTGTCAATGGTTATTACTAAGGTTCGACTCCGACTGCACCGGATTCTCCTTTGGAGACTCTTCGTGCGAGGTCCATGCCCCTGACCAGACCACAAATTGGCCCTTGCGGACGTTCAAGACTCACTCACAGAGTCAAGACTTATGACAGCGCCCACAGCCTCTCACTTGTCTTGCTCCTATTCGAAGACGGGCATTGCTCATTGCCTCGCTTCTCACAGTCCGACAGTCATGTACTCGTGAGTCTCAGACACATCCTCGTCACCGCGCCAGGTGAGGAGTCATGGTACAGTATAAAAGCTCATTCAGAAGGCACTTTGCTTCCTTTCTTCTTCTACAAAGCGCTGTTGTATCCGCCAGTTGTTTACCACCTTTGATATTGCAAGCATTCCTATTGCGACTCGAAAACCCTTTCTTCGCAGGCACAGCACGCATTTGTTTTCGATCTACTGCTTCACTGGCAACGAGAACAAATCCTCGTTCGGCGATGTCCTCTTCGAATACGAAAGGTTCTTATTACGACCTCTACAGGCGCAACAATACATCGGGTCAATCGCAGAGCAGCCAAACACCTGCCGATACTCAGACCAGTACTCACGACGGGACTGAGCAAGGATATTGGAAGGAGTATGTGGAAGCTCGTCACCAGGTAGAGGAGAACAGACGAGATCAACAGAAGGCAGATCAGCCTTACCCAGACGTTCCACACTCCGACCCCACGGAGTCTGATACTGAGGCGAACAAAGGCGAGGGTAAAAAGAGGCTTCAAGCCAGACTGTATTCAAAGCCCAAAGAGCTCGACCAAAGAGTTAGCGAATTGGGAGATGTTCCACACTTCGAAGACACGGCGTCTGATACTGGGGCGACCATAGGCGAGGGCGAAGAGGACGTTCCAGACATAGCGCACACGAAGCCTAAAGAGCTCCGCCAAAGAGATAGCCAATTGGGAGGTGTTTCTCATACCAAAGGAACGACCCCTCGTGTTGCGACAAAGCGCGGCAAGCTTATAGTGCACCCAAAGCCTAGAAATCCCGACCATTATACCGAAGGAACGACGTCTAGTGTTGCGGCAACGAAGAATGATGACACGGGCTAGATGGTGCTCTGCACGATGCTGCCGTCAGGTACCCTCAAGGACCCCCATCAAATTCCTCATTATCGGGTCCAAATACGGGCAACTCGGGCAGCTGTGAACTGGGGCCTTTGAGAATAGTGTGGGATTGGAAATGATACAGACGGTAATGGTTTCTTTTGGCGTTCGGAGTTATATTCGGGAATCCAGGAGGTGTAATTGGTGGTGCATGGACTTTTGGGCCTCTTCTTCCTCTAGAACACCTCTTTTCCATTTCTCGGCTTGCTGCCTCCTTACACTGAGTAGATAGTAAATACATAGTATGTTTTCCCGCAGCAGTGGTCATGCACGTGCAAGGTCCACTTTCCAGCTCGTGCTCCACCCCGGCTCGGTGGTCTGGCTCGGCGCGGGACGACTTCCGCACTCGGCATGACAGCTGCCAATCGCCGCAAAAGTCAGACGCCATCAACCCACTCGCACATCCAGTCGCGGATCGACGCTCTCGCCACGAGCTGCGGAAGCGCATCGGCAAAAATGTTGCATATACGCCCTGCATATTGTGCGGCATGGGAGCCGTCTGACTGGCACACTCGTGAGTTCGATGTCGCCGCGACGCTCACCTTCACCACATCAAGGCTAGCGAGGCCCGTGCCCAGGCTCTCTCTGCATCCAGCGCGGCGGACTAGCGCGCAAACGTAGTAAACGCGGGCTCTAGACGCTCTCAGTGCTTTCACGGCGGCCTCAGCCGTGCGCAAGCGACGCCATGGCTCTTTCCTCGCGCTTTCGTTGGGGCTTGTGCCTCTGGAGTGAACGAGAGGCGCTCGCCGTGCAAGCCCATATCAACGCTTCACGCAACCCTCGCCCGACGCCGTTCTCCTCCTGTTCCCAGGGTCCCAACGACGGGGATACACGTGTCCCGCAAACCCTACCCTTGTAGACGCCGGCCGCTTGGCTGTTTGCCGCGATAGGCAGACCGTCGATTCCGGCTGCCAGGTATTTACCACGCCCGCGGAAGGAACGGCTCGTCTGGCGGAACACCGCTGTTTACTTCACCCCAGGACTTCGTACCGCACCAACCCGCACGCCAGAGAGGCCCGTTCCGCTGGGTCGCCGTCGAGGAGGCTCCACGAGATCAATCCGTGTTCCTTGTAGAGAGCAAAGTTGTACGCAAGACGACATGTCGGACGAAAAGACCATCGCCGAGGCAAGCGCGAAGAGCAGCAGCGAGAACGCCGTTCACGAATTGGCGCCGCCGCTGAATTATGTCTACAAGCTCGACTTGCGTCTCATCCCCATCCTGGGGGCTACCTATACGATTCTGTTCCTGGATCGCACCAACAGCATGTCTATCACTTTGCTCATTGTGGCATTACGCGCTAACGTCCCGCAGTCGCAAATGCTCGCATCGAAGGCCTCGAAAAGAGCCTCAACATGCCGTCCAACGGCTACAACACCTGTCTCTGGATCTTCTTCATTCCGTTCGTCTTGATTGAAATCCCCAGCAACATGATCATGGGGCTGCCGCGCGTCAAGCCGAATGTCTTCCTCGGCTTGAACATGCTCGTTCTTGGCGTCATTGCGACGTGCCAGGGACTGACGCACACGTACGGTGGGCTTCTTGCGCTCCGGTTCCTGATGGGTATCTTTGAAGCAACGCTTCCGGCTGGTGAGTGTGAAACGTCGGGTAAGTGTGATCAAGCTAATTTGCATAGGTGCGGCGTACCTCATTGGAGAGTACTATACTCGCCGAGAATCTGCGCTTCGCTTTGCCATGTTCTTCACGTTCGGTATCCTCGGTCCATGCATCAGCGGTGTACGTCTTTCCCCTCCCTACGACCAGTCGTGGCTAACGCTATTCCAGCTCCTTGCGTTCGCCATCCGCAACATGGACGGCATCAATGGCAAAGAAGGATGGAGATGGTGAGCATATTCCGGTCCGGCCTCCCTCTCCGACTAACTGGGCAGGATCTTCATTCTCGAGGGCCTCGTAACCATTGCCATATCCTCCCTGGTCTTCCTCATCGTTCCCAACTTCCCTGAAAAGAGCCACTTCCTCTCCCCGGCCGAGAAAACGCATCTCCTCGACAAGCTACGCCGCGACAAAGGCGACCAAAAGCTCTCCCTCAAGCACGTAAACTGGATTAAAGTCCTCTCGGACTACCGGATCTGGTTTCCGTAAGTTTCCCCGTCTCGATCCTAATGTATATAACATTAACATGCTTCAGCACCCTGATGTTCTTCTGCTGCGATATGACCGCCGCTTCCATGTCCTCCTTCATCCCCACCATCCTCACCGAGCTCGGCTGGAAAGCCGCAAAAGCCCAAGTAATGTCCATCCCCATCTGGGCCACTGGAATCGTCTCGCAGCTCTTCGCCTGCTGGGTGTCCGGCCGCATCGGCTGGCGCTTCCCATTCGTGCTACTCGGCATCACCTTCGCCACGATCGGCTGGATCATTCAGAACGTGTACTGCAACGAACGCGGTCTCGCGCCGGGCGTGCGCTACTTCTCGCTGTTCAGCATGAGCATGGGCACATTCATCCAGATGGCGATGCTGACGAGCTGGATGACGAATAACTTGAGGGGCCGTGCGAGTATTGGCGTCGGTACCGCTATCATCCTCGGTCTGGGGAACTGCGCGAACTTCGTTGCTTCGAACGTTTTCATCAAGACGGAGGCGCCGTTCTACCCAACCGGATTCAGGACTGGGCTCGGACTCACCATTGTGGGCGCGGGAATCTGTCTGGTCTACGTCGCGTTACTGTGGTGGCACAACAAGAAGCTTGACCGGAAGAGGAAGCAGGTCGGGGGCGAGGATGATCAGGTCGAGTATAGGTACCAGTACTAGGAAGACCGTGGAGACCGCAGCTCGATGTGGCTAAGATCCTTACGCTACGAGTCATCGGTGCATACCGGTGAAGGTATCGCTATGAATATATATGGGACTCTCATAGCAGAGATACCTGGATTAAATGAATACCAAATATGCAAGGCGCATGGGGATCACAATGACGGACTGTAGGTTGAGCCTCGGTGATGACATCGGGTTGCGCTAACCACTTTTCGTGCCTAGCGCGGAGTGCACCGTGGCTCGGTTCACTGTGTTCTCCTTGCGGTCGCACATCGTCATTCATTCCTGCTCGAAAACCCTGCGCATGACGCGTCCTTCCCTCTTTTCTGCGATGATTGTATCGCGATTCTGCTTAAGGGCGCGATGCAGGGCCGATGAATCGCTTATTAACGCGTCGTATCCGTGACGCGTCGACACGTGCCGAGAACAGCACCTGGCACATGGTCCAACTTTTCTAATTGGCAAGCTCTGTGTTCCGCAAGGTTGAAGATGATATATAACTACGCAGGCTAAAGGTTATAGAGTACAGAGACCTAATCGAACGCCATCATATACTGCTTTGCTCCGTCCTGCGGTTTTCTATGGCAGCAGGTCAGGCGGAGGACTGGGAGGAGCAGTCTGGCAGCAAGCTTCATCCTTCACTAAGCGCCCGGTGTTCTGAATGCCGCTGTCAAGTACGGCGTAACAATGTAGTTCAGCGACTCCTTTGGCTTGCGGAGGTGGTGGGCTGAGCCGCACGCCGTTTCCGTCCTGGTCGGTGAGTGAAAGAGATGCGGCGACTTTTCCTACACCGCTCCTTGTGCACGTCAGGACGACTTCGACGGAGTGAAGGAATACTCATCAAGCAAGTTTACCCGCGGAGAGAACCAGCCCTGCTCCTTCCTCTTCCGCGCGGCTACTTCCGGACCCGGAAGCCTTACAAACCTCTGCGCCTTCCTCTTGTCTCTTTTACCCCACGCCTACCTCAGTTTCGGTTCCTCCACTTCACCACGCTCTGGGCGATCTTGCGCTTGCAGAACTCCAATTGCTCTAGACAACATGAAGCGCAACCTCACCCTACTTGCGGGCGCGGCTCTGGTTGTTTTTAGCTTCGCCGCTCCTGCTAATGTACGGGACCGGTCTGACGGTATGCTGATTGGGTGTTGCTGGTGATTACTTGTGCTCATATAAGTCTAGGGCAAAAGCTTCCTCTCGACGCAACCCTCGACGACGGGTTCCCTAGCACCTCGAATCAACACCCGGATGACGACATGCTCCAAGCTGCTGCTCTTGGCGTCAACACCTCCGCTTCCCTCCTTATGCGTGACGGCAACACCCTCGAAAAACGACTCAACCCAATCACCATGCCGCCCACCGTCAGGGTTGTAATGGGGAACGACCCGGCGGGCAAGTCCCTGAAGGATTTCCGTCAGCATGTCGGTCTTAAGTTCGGCGACGAACTCCGAAAAGACATTAAGACAGGTCTCAGTGCTCTCTGTCCTTGGGGCCAGACGAGCTGTCCCACCGATGGCGTGGATCCGTGGAAGATAGAGCCGATCTACTACACCACCAAGAATCATGAGCTTGCTTCCAACGCTCACCTGAACCTCCGGATCATCAAATCTTCTTTTCCGGAAGGCTATTTCGGGCTGCGCGAAATCCTGATTGATGCCGTCGCCGGAGCCTACGGGGCTATATCCGCCACCGATCAAAACTGCTATGACGCCTGGGCGACTGGCGAGAAGAAGCATATGTGCAATGTAGTCGATTTCGTTGGGGTAGAAATCGCTCACTGGTACGGGCGTGCGGACGAGCTCCAAGATCCAGGCGCCTCGCTGTTTGTTACTCTGACTTCTAGCGGCGCCACCAAGAAGGGGAAGTTTGACTGCATAGGCTCCCAGACGCCAGTACACAACTTTCTCGACAGCGACAAGACCGGCGACAAAATCGCAGATATCCTTGGAGCAGCGAGGACCAGCATGGGGCGGCGTGTCGACTGCCCGCACACTGGAGTCATAGAGAGAGGTATCATTCCCGCGCCCGTCACATCCCTCGAAAAGCGAACCACGAATACGGTTCACCTGGGCATAGGGAACGAAAAGTCGCATATCGGCGTCCTGGTTGGACAGAATCTTGGTGCTGCGATTCGGCACGGTCTCGATATTTTGTGCCCACCGGGCCAGGGAGGATTCGATACCTGTCATAAGGACCCTTATCTGGGCATGACAGATATTGCCCGCATTGGACATGACCATGGTGCAACCGACAACAAGTACAGCGATGACGCTAGTATGAAAATGTGGGTCACGACAAGCTATTGGCCTGCAGATCGCTACGAAGGCATGCGTGAGGCCCTTGTAAGTTTGTCACACCGTAGTACCTTCTGCAACATCACTAACAAAAAGCTTCCAGATTCAAGTCGTTTCCTTAGCCTTCCAAGCCTACACCGACAATGAGAAGAATTGCTACGACGTTACGCTCCACGAGAAAGGAGACGGCATGTATCGGCGATTTCAATTCTGCAACATCGGAGAAATCGTCCTCGCCCATGTCAACGACATAGCGTGGCTCATGGTCAAGATATACTTCAACGGCAAGTCTGATGACGGCTCACTCGACTGCGAAGCCACAAAGGTCGATGTCTTCAATCACCTGGACTATGACCCTGGAGCTAGGAAAAAAATAGCCGGAATTTTGCAGATCCCCATGGAAGAGCTGGGCTCCACCATCTCGTGCGAGACATAGAACTTAGCATGGGGGATGTTGGGCGGTGGGATGTCAATGGCAGTGGCCGGAGCTGGATGAGACTGAGTTCTCGCCGAACGGCCGAAATTTGCAGATTAGATTTGTATTTGGTATAACCAGCCTCTGCACATAATCTCGGAGGTGGGCGGATCTATACTGGCAACAATCTCGAAGGTAATTTAAGTTCTGTGCAATTACCATTCTCCTGCGCTTGGATATCGGATTAGTCATCCCCCAGAGTTCAAGACCACATCAGACCTCTGCAACGCTTTCTAATAGTCACAGACGCGAATACAGTGCCCTGTCAGGCAAGGCGAGACCAATTTCACGACCAAAACTTCCTAACATACTCCTCCACCCCCATAGGCCTCACCTGCGGACACAACTCATTCAGCACCGGCTCCACAACGCCCTCCCCCACCCGTTCCCTCGCCACCATGCGCTCAAGCTGTCCCCAGAACTTATCCGGATAAGCAACCTGCTCCCTCTCCTCCTCCTCGCACACCATCTCATACGGCCGATACACAACCTCCATCTTCCTTCCCCGCACCTCCTCCACAATCCGCACCACCTCATCCAGCCGCACCGTCGCCCCCTCCATGCTGAAATCCTCCCTCCACGTCCCCGCCGGCAACACGCACGCCGCCGCCACAAACCGCCCCACGTCCCCAATCTCCATCATGCTCAGCCGCGGCACGCGGCCCTCGCGCGTCAGCGGGATCCGCGCCCTCATCCCCTCAACGTCCCACACAAAGCGCCAGCTATCGCTCAGCCCGTTTAAGGCGGGCTCTTCGTCTGGCGCACCGTACCCCAGGTAGTTCATAAACAGCCCCAGATGGAAGCCTGCGTACTCGAAGCCCGGATTCTGCGTCGCGGCCGCGCGACACGCGTCCAGCACGGCGCGTTGCGGGCGCAGGAGGTCGATGTGCGGCGCGGCGAGCGGGCCGGGGCCGAATTCTGCGGGCGCGAAGCGCGGGATCCCGCGGCGCAGGGAGGCGCGGAGGAGGGTTAGTTGCGTGGAGGTCCAGGTTCCGTCTTGGGCGAGAAGGGTGGATATGACCTACATACGCACGCGTTTGTTAGTTATTGGACTGGACTAGTCTGAGTGAGCTGTGCTAGGGGAAGGAAAGGAGGGGGGTGGGGAGGTGTACGGTGTGCACGCCCTCGAGGGCGGCGAAGAGCGAGTCTTCGGAGGTGTAGTCTACTTTGCGCACTTCGATGCCCATGTCTTCGAGCCAGCGCGGGGTCGGAGACGTGTGGCGGCTGAGTACTATGCCGCGCAGCTGGGTGGGATACTCGGCGAGGGCTGTGAGGATGGCGCGGCCGAGGCCGCGGGATGTGCTGCCTGCAAGGGCGACGGTGATCATTCTGGGTGAGTAGTAAGGAGTCTATGGTATGTTCCGCGGTGGGGAGAGCGAAGAAGGGATGGAGTGGTGGGTGGTAATTTCTCTGAGCTGGGGTTTTTGTCTCTTTTAATTTGAGATGCTGTGGATAAGGCGTGACCCCGCTCGCGTTGAGTCAAAGAGCCGTAGACGTCGGCCAAGAACGATCAGCGACGCGGTGTCTTCGCGGTGTCAGCTGAGTGGGCGGCGCGGCGGGTTCGCGCTTGCTGTTAGTTTGCCAACCAGGGAGCTCGTATTCATCGCATTCGACACCCCGCGAGGAGAAAAAGCGAGACGCGCCAAAAAAGCGAAGTATTCCAATACCATTTCAACCTACATTGCGCTGCTAAAAATGGGCGGTTCTTCATTTGCTCATCCATCATCTCAAAAAATCGCCTCCAGTCCTCGCAAGAATCTCATCGTAGTATCCCTGGAAGGCTAGCCATCCTTTCTCCGGCGTGCCGACCTGCTTATAGCTCTCTGCGGCCTCTTCGTCCGGGATGATCTGCGGCTTGTGGCCGCGCCCGGCTGCGGCGGCGTCGACGAGCAGTTGCGCCTGGCATGTCTTGTCGAGGGAGAGGAACCAGAAGGCTGCTTCGTCTACGGAGTGGCCTACGGTGAGGATACCGTGGTTTTGTAGGATAGCTGCTTTGCCGTTTCCTACACACGCAATGTTAGCAATTCCCTCCCTCTCTAAAAGCCCGTCGATGAACGAACAGAAAAAAATCCTACCTAGAGCCTCCGCAATCCGCCTCCCCTCCTCACTCGCAAGCACCACACCCCCAAACTGCTGATAAACCCCATGGCTCTTATAGAACCGCAGGCTATCCTGCGTAATCATATCGAGCTCCCTTCCAAACGCGCTAAACGCCTTCCCGTACACGGAGTGCGCGTGGCACGCCGCGTGGACATCCGGCCGCGCTTGGTGGATCGCCGAGTGGATGGCGAAGGCGGCGGCGTTGATGGGCTGGTCGCCTTGGACGACTTCGCCCGCCTCGTTGACGAGGATGAGGTCCGAGACGCGGATTTGCGAGAAGTGCGTGGAGAGCGGGTTTAGCCCTGTACCGGGGTGCGGAGGGTGGTTAGATGATGTGTGTGTGTGTATGTGCTAAATCGTTTTCCTTGCTAGCTAGCTCTTTCGTGCGGAAGGCGGTTGAGACGTACAGAAATGGTCCGTCCACACCGGATCTCTTACGCTGATATGTCCGGCGACACCCTCGTCAAAGCCTCTTTCTGCAAATACTCTATATGCCGCCGCGAGATGCTGTTTCCGATACAACCTTTCATCCTCCAAGCTCTTGAATGCGGGATACTTTCTTATCTTGAGCGCTTTACCAGAGCTGGTGCGGCCCATGGCTGCGACGGTTTGGTTATCGGTGGATTCGGCATGGTCAACGCGGAGCGGCGCGACGGAAGCTTGGTGCGGCTTTGAAGACGTGGTGAGGGGCCGGAGGAGGAAAGGTCGGCGAGTCCATTGTGCGCGTGAGGGACGAGTGGCACGCGAGAAGGTGGATATCCGGGGAAGAAGGCGTGTTGGAGGCATCGTGGGTGCCGAGTTTGAGCTGGGAGAGCAGTGGAATTTCGAGTGGGGGGCTCCGAGGTTGTAAATGGCTGCGGGATGCGATGGTTTCCCCGCAACGATCAGCAGCTACCCCGGATTTATATCCGCGCGGAGTCGGATATAATTCCTACGAGCTCGGTCGGCGTGGAGCGTCAGAATCATTGGAGGGATATCCTTGTCGACTCGACTACCGATAGAGCATCGGATCCCTTCCGGAAGACGTGTTTTGGTCCGTCGTTCTCCAGTATGGAATGCTACTTCAAACTGTTTGACCGTGTACCGAGATCAGTTGAAAGCGGTCAAGCTTGGACGAGCGACTTCGAGAAGTGGCGTGGAGGAAATACTCTGGATCCGGGGTTTCCACGCACCTCATGAACCGATTCCCCTCTCATAATATCATAGATGTATGTTGCTCCCAGGAGGCGGAAGTGCTCATCATCGTTGCGGTGAATGACGCCATGTCCCGTACTTGCATACAAGCCGGTCCCGGCCCGTATGCACCATTATGCAGCTTGACCTTCGTAAACTGCCATTGAAAGGTTTTCTCGGGTAAAGGCTGAATGTGAGTGGAAGAGAAAGGGAAAGTGTCGTCAGATTGGTGGCTGAAAGGAAGGAACGCGCACAGACCACGTGGGTTCCCCTCGTATTACCGCACCAACTTTTTCGGCTCTAATCCCCTCAACGTCCACGCATTCTATCTTTCATTTAGGAGACAAGACGCGCACGAAGAAGCCATGGGCTTCCTTTTGTTCCTTGACGTTCCCTTCACAGTTCGCGAGTAGATCTCCCGACAGCTCCTCATGCCGCCGATTATGGAAGAGGCATTGCAGGGAGGACATGATCCTCTACCCGATTCCGGGCGAAGAGTGCGAAGACCCGAAGAAATGCAAAGAAGCCAGCGAACTCGCCAAAGGTCGTGTTCTTGTGTTGTCACTGACGGCCGCAGGGGCTTGCGGTAAGGTAAGGGGTCGAAAGGCTGCGCAAGGGTATATTGTATGATGCTATCACGCACCCTCTCTTCGTGCGACTGACAACAAATGAATTGCTCCTCAAGCTGACTTGGAGGGACTGGCCTACGCTACCAGCGGTGTCATGAAAAAGAAAAGATTCTGATGATTCCGTGGCGTCTCGAACGCCATTTCGAAGCACGTCGCTATGAAGCTACTCGGCTTCCTCACGCCAGATCGGATCCGTGGACCTGGAACAAGCACAATCTCGCAAATCGCCCAGGCTGGATTCAACTCACTCATCTGTTGCGCATGCCGCTCTCCATGAGATTAGTACAATGCGTTTCGCAGCGATTCAGCCGCCGCACCTATCAACATGCCTCGCTTCGACTCCCATGAGATGGAAGAGCGCTCAAGAAGTTTCTCAGGACGTTTCTTTATGCGTTTGAGCAAACCCTAGCGACAGCACACCTTTCTTAAAAGAACATCGGCGGCGGTAATTCCACCATACAGAATGGTGGGATCTCGGCGTAGTTGGCGTGAGGCTGCTTTCTCTTCACGTTGTGCCTCAGGATGTGCCTGATCACCGACAGGGGCTGGAACCGAGGCGTGAACTATAGCCGCGATGCTAGCGCCACCTTCAACCTTGACTCTACGTCTCCATGGATTTTCGCCCTATTTCGTCCTTTGTTGACCGTTCTAGAGCAAGATTATGTTGTCATCAAACTCGCCGCGTAATACCTCTCTCAAACCTATCTACCCGAGCTCACCGAAGGCCGCGGCTGTCGCGACGCTGCCTGCTAACGAAAATTCCGGGTGCTCCACCCGAAACATCAAAGCACCCTCAGATCTTGGACATCGCGCAATACTAAAACTCACTCTCAGACAGGTGCCAGGGTCTATCCTTTCCCATTTCCCTCAAAGTCTCTCGCGCTCATTCGTCCACTTGACCCAAGCTACACACCCATGCAAAGCTTAGCCCTCTCAGTCCACCAGTTCTAGACTTCGACTGGGTTAGTCCAGGGATATTACCAGGAGTCCAGGAGTGGTGAGGGCGGCTCTGGCTACGCTCACTGGTCTCATGTGTGTGGTCGCGAGAGGAGGGGATGACGATGAGGCGTGGGCTAAGCTTCAGTCAACGCTGTTGGGAGCGGGGATGACGGGAATACGAACGCGATGGTCCTGGTATAAGTATCGCAGCCTCGTCCGCTCTCTCTAGCCTCCATCCAGCAGCAGCCTGAATTTGCCCATTGCAGCCTTTCATTCCTTTCTTGCCTCGGCAGCCTTACATTCTTTCGAGTCTGGTCACTCATTGTTCGATTCTACTACAGTCTTTACATCTTACTATCCCACTAACGCGTATTCTTTAACCGTTTCAATCACCAAAAAATCAACCACCACCAAAATGAAGGCCGCCGTCATCGTCGCTTCCCTCATCACTCTCGCCCTTGGTGCTCCATCCACCCACCCCCACCTCAAGCGCCAGAACAACCTTCAAACCTTCACCGGCGCCCTCGGAGGCATCGAAGCCACTCCCATCGTCGACTCCGGCAATCCCGACCGCCCGTTCCAAGTCAAGGGTGACACCTTTGTGAACATCGGCGCGGCGCTGCAGCGTAGCTGTGACCAGCAGTTCAATGCTTGCGCGAACTCTGCCAACGGCGGTAATGCGCAGTTGAGCGTTTCGGCGTGCTCGCAGCAGAAGGGTAAGTTCTCCTGGATGATTCACTTCAGCAGAACGCAGGACTAATGGAACTTATAGATCAGTGCGATGCCGCCGGCCAGGGCGCTTCCAACCAGGCTACCAGCAATGCGAACGCCAATACGGGCGCGACTGCAACTGCGAATGCCGGTGCTACCGCTTCTGCCGCCAGTGGCGTGAGCTGCACAAAGAAGAGGAGGTCCCTGAAGGCCCGCAAGCCCGCTGTCCGGAAGAACAAGAACTAGGCGACTACGACGTCATCAGCATGGGAGCTGGAGGAAGAGCGACGGTAGAGCTGGCATGCTCGGGGGGTAGGGTGGTGCGAGTTTGTCGAAGTTTGTCGGAGGGAGGTTGGGGTGATTGGACTTCTTACTGTACAAATATATAGCTTCAGGAATGAGAGTTGTTGATATTGGGCGAAGACTGCTTCCGTCCTTCATGATGTGAAGCATGCCTAGATATGACATCGTGCTCCCAGCGCTTCCTCGGTCCCAAGTTTGCTTGTACAAAAATATAAACTTCTGGACGCGTACAATAAGCCATGGATGGCTCCCAATTTGGCGTTGATGTGGTAGGGGTAAAAAAACCACAGCGTCTCGCTTCCCCGCCCAATCGCTTTCATCCCGTCTTCCCCACAACGCACGCACAATGAACGGTACCAAAAGAGAGTCCATCCAATCTGATCTTGGACTACAGATCAAAAGAGCAAAAAGAGAATTGACTCAGCCGAGGTTTGAACTCGGGACCTTCAGTGTGCTAACGAAATGTTAGACTGACGTGATAACCAACTACACCACCGAGCCATTGTTTTATGCTCATTTGAAAAATTATTTAGTATATGTACGACAAAATTCAAGAAGAGAAAGCCGATTAGAGACCATCATTACTTGGGCTTGTGCCTCCCTGGCAAAAGCCCGGGAGAGGACACTGGTTAGGTCGAAAATTTTGCATTGTGGGGGAGGGGCGTCGTTGAGGCAGGGGCGAGCGAAGCGGATAGGCTACCCCGTTTGGAACTAACACGTACTACGGCACTTTCCGTGACACGCGCAGCTTCTAGATTCACGTAAATCTGATAGAGACGGCAAGATATTAATTCTACCTCCCGAACATTGGAACATTCTCTTCAATCACACTGATGGGAATCCTTCTTCATAGCTTCCCTGAGGACAAAACAGTGATGGAACGGGCGCGTTGGAGGCACCAGCCTTAATGGCACGGTGTAAATGCAAGAGGAGCGTCTTCCCGTCTAAACAGGACTCTGTTTGAAGGAAGACGACGGAACTGTCAGCAAAGTTGCCTGGAAAGTCTATGACGGCGACCGTCCAGGGACGGGGCGGGGCGGAATTATTCCGGAGGCGAAAAATCTCAACTTTCATCCTTCACGTCTTCATCGTCCTCCTTCCTCCACCACTACGTGTTCCATCACCACCGTCTGTGCAAGCATTCTTGCGGTATCCGCCTCCGTAAATACGTAAGCGTCCGTGTAGGATCGGTCGCGCCGCGAGCTCCTGGTGCCGAGGTCATAAGCCGTCTCGCATCCTCTCCTCCTCACCGGCGAACAAAATCAGATTGTTGCAGGCTCTGGTATTACACTTCAGTTCTCTACACCGTGGTCCACCGCGTTCTGTCTCTTCAGACGGGGAAGAAGACGAGCGATCCATAAAAAGACACATTGAGGCCTTCGAGTGCCTCGGCTTTGATAATCAAGACATCACGGCTAGGGGCATTGTGTCGATCCATCGATGCCGAAGTAGTGTGGACCTAGGATAATTGATGAGTTCGACGGGAGGTTTCATTGGGCGTTCACGCAAGGCTCGTCACGTTGGTGTCTTGTCCGCATGCTCTGTCGCAACCTCAATTACTCGCGCGTAGGTGTGAAAGAACACTTAACCACCGGCACCATATCCAGATCTCCAAGTTTCTCGCGATCATCGGCGGAGTCGTTGCGAAGTGGGCGCAAGCATGAACGGCCTCTACCGTCATCGTTCTACGCTGTCAGCACTCCTCCAACAATGGGACGAAGACCGTGCGACTTACGGCTCGCCGCTTCCAACCACGAATGATGACCCTGAGTCTGGTCGAGCCCCTATATCGACTGCAACGTTGACTAGACGGGCAGTTATTCCGCTTCTACTGTCCCTATGGTTCACACCAAGTGAGGTACGGATGGGACGCCAGTGCTGGACAGGATAGGCTTTCTGCGAGGGCATACACACCGCCAATGTCAGGATCGTGGCTCTTCTTACTGTTTCCATGCACCTGGGAGCTTGAGCCATCGCACTCCATCGTGAGGCTTGTAGCGTGGACGAAGGGACGTTTCGGAGCCAAGCTAGATATTGAGCTATCGTGGGCTGTCAAGCAGGTATTGATCTCTTCAGGGTGATTTCTTTCCATCAGCATGTTATCGGACTTAGCGTACGAACGAAAGATCCTTGCGGTGGAGAGAGACTGGGAGATGGAAAATGTCCTCAGGGGTAACCCTCTTCATCCAGTGTTGGCTGTGGATGCCTCGGAGACGAGGATACCCGACAACTTATTATAGGAGCTGCACCAGAGTCTCCACGCTCGTCCCGCGATTATGCTTCTTCCCCTTGCTGCAAGCGATCGACTAGTCCGACGAAGTCGAAGTCCGTAGCACCCATGGGGAGGGGCCTTTTGTGGGGTGCCGAGACCGGCGGTGGATCCTGTCCGCGCGAGCACGCTGGCGAGGATTTTCTTCGACTGCTCTTCGAGACTGTCGGGATTCCATTTTTTAAAAGTTGGCGAGAGAAAACGGCACACATAGATGCAACAATGCCGCGAAGGAGCACCGCACCGCCCCCCGACGATCTCTCGGACTGGAAGGGGGGTTGAATGCTCCTTCTCCGCCAAGATGTTGAATGTCTCCTCCTGACAATCAGGAGTGTTCCCGGGCTAGGGAAACGACGCACTGTGCACATGGATTTCTTACTTTTCCATGAGCGGCATTTTGCCGCCCAGCCTGCCCAACAGCAGCCACGATCGTTCCCTTCTCAACATCTGCAATTTCCTCCAGGACTCTGCGTCCGCATACGCGCCGAGGATATCCTCACCTGCCGGAAAGGCTTGAAGCAAGATACTGAGGCGCCGAGACAGGCTTAAGCATGCCTATCGCATCGAGGAGGTATGTCCGCGTCAGCGATGTACCACGCACGTCCGCCACGCGTAGCGATGGTCACAGTCCGAGCGCGAGCTTGATACGCGGCGTGCATCCACTCAGCGGGGCGGGCCAAGAAAGATGCCGTCGCACCTTTGTTGGAGTCCATGTTGGATTTGGGGCGGCCAAGACTTTTGCTCGCCTGCGTGCCTGGAAAAGGCCGAACGTCAAACCCCAACCTCGATTCGCACTCCAACCCCCTCGCCGCACACGCCGCTGAAGCATTTGGCCGCTCTGCTTGGCTAACACGCCGACCGTCTCGCCAGAAGCTTCTACGCGCGAAGCTCAAAGCGCCGAGGGGGTCACCTTGGGCCTTTCCCCCCCAGGATGAAATTGGCCACTTCTGTGGAGAAACGCCGCCAAGTGCCGCTATCTCGCCTGTTCGCGCTTCCGTGCCTGAGGATACCTCTGCAGGCCTGCTATCCGGTCACAGGACGAGTCGAGCCGACTCTGCATCCGTACTCTTCTTGGCACCTCAATCTTCTCGAGGCGGCTCTGGGCTTGGCTAACAAATTCCCGCTTTCATGCATATGCAGTTGTCGCGGCTGCGAGGCTATTCTTGTCGACTGGGAAAGCAGAATGCGGTGGGTACCGCAAGCATCCCGTCAGAAGTAGTTTCTCCACGAACTCGAACGTCGCTCCATAGCAAGCCTAGAATCTAGCGAGGGCTTCAACTGGCTGCTTACCGCTATGATCAGAAACAAACATTCTCACCATCACGGCGCGTCCCCGCTAGCCTCCCGTTCACGGAGCGTACGTGCGACATGATTTGCAGCTCAATTCGGTTTGGCCCCTCGGGTGCGACATGGTACATCCTCTCTTTCACAGGTCCAGGCTTCGGCCGCGGTCCCATGTTAGGCGCATTCCTCCTGCACATCCAGATTCGAGCACCAGGCATATCCTCCTTGGCGCGGCATCACAGAAGTTTCGAGCTAGCTCAAACGGCGGGAGAGCCTTGGCAGACCGCCTACGCGCACTGCTGTGAGAGTTCTGCCATGCTACGCTTGCATGCTCTTGGCCCGGCTTCACAGAAGTTTCAAGCTCGCCTTAAAACAGCGGGACTAGCTTGGCGGGGCTCTCCATGATGATCTTGATACTAGGGCCTCAATTTTGATATAAGATGGAGTAGAATCCACTCTTTCAGTTCTCCAGTCCGGCCACTCACTTCATTTCTCACCGATTGTACTAATCAGCCTCCTCTGTCGCCGGGCGATAGACATTTCTGTCTCTTCAAAGATCACGTCCTCGTTCATTTGAGTTCATTATTTCCAGTACCTCTTCGTCGAATCTTTAGTCGAAAGTCTATAATCCATACTCAGCCAACCGACAAGATGCTTCCTCAGCACGTTCTCCTCGCTCTCGTCGCGGCTGTCGCTGCCGTCCCGCTTAACATCAACTTGGGCGCCTACTCTCCTGCCCTGGTAGTCGGTGATGGTGAAATCTCGCTGGGATCTGCGGGATCGGCCTCGGAATTGATGGCAACTCTCGCCTCGGGCGCGGCCGAGAACGGCAACGGACAACAAGGTCAGCAACAAGAGCAACAGCAAGAGCAGCCGGAAGGCGAAGGCGAACAAGAGCAAGAACAACCCGCTGAGGAAAACGCAGCCAAACGATCACTCATCGAAACCCTCGACCACCTCCGCAAGCGCTCCCCGGAGCCCGCAAACGACCACCTCGCCGCCATGGAGGACGCCGTGGCTTGGATCAAGCGCGACATCGAGGGCTTCCGTGAGGCCTTGGGCTACGCCCGCGAGGCCCAGAAGGACCAGCCTAAGGTCGAACTCGGAACCGGCGAGGAGGGCTCTGGTGTCGGTATCATCGTCAACCCCGGTCTCAACGTCCCTGCCAACTCTGCTGCGAACGGTGCACCTGCTCAGGGCGAGAGGAAAGCGAAGCGTAGCGAGGTTGTTGCTGAGGAGTCTGAGGCACCCAAGATGACTCTCGTTGCCATCACTGAGGTCTGAAGAGCGCTGCGTTGATACCCATTCAAGAGTTCTCGCGCAAGCCGACCCACGCGTGTCTGGGGAGGCTTGGGGGCGAATCGAACAAACGTTTTCCTTTCTTTGTCGGACTTTTGGCTGTACTATGACAATATTACGGAACGCAACACGGGAGTAACTTCTACTTTATGCGAGGCGCGATTCACGGCGACTGGAGCTGGTGGTAGAAAATATAGAATTCAATGGACGTCTACGTGATCAAAACCTTTCTTCCCTCTTCCCCATCCCACATACTCTCCACTATCCTTTTCCGCCCATCCCCATTGCTTCTCTCCATTCCCTTCGCAGATTTCAAATCCTGACACATTCCGCACCTTCGCTCTACGCAACCCGCCCCACAAGACATAGTCCAGACCCACGAGTTGACGTTGCCTCTGTCCGCGCAAGCTCGAGTCAAGCTCCCGCCAAGTGTGCGCGGCGGTCTCAGCACCGTCTTATCCCTTTTGCGGCCTTGGCGGAGCCTGCGCACGTGCATCTGCCAAGCGCGGAGGGTGAAACGGAAACTTGCATAATGGGATTTCTCGGCGGAGAATGTTTCGGGAAGTGATCGACGAGGTTTGGGGGTAGATGCGCGATTTTTGGAGGGAAGGTAAGGCCCGGGAAGGTTGAAGCGTAGTTGGCATGTGAGCCCGTGTATGTGGAGGGAGAGTGCTCATGTCCTTTCAACGTCGCCTCCCAAGACAATCGATGTACAGTACAAACAAGCGTTACGGTCGCTCCCGCCGCATGGTCCCAGGTCATATTTGTCACAATGCTTAGTATGTCGGCACTTGCGTGCGTTATCACAATCGGAATCCTCAGGGGGTATGGCATTTCGCAGGATCCCGTTGGCCGGTGCGATGACACGAAGAGTGTCTGGCACGGTATCGAAACATTATGGCGTAGTCGCCTGCTGCTGGGAATTAATATGGATGAATTGGGAAGGAGCGCACGCGACCAACTTCCCCACAACACACAGAGAGAGAGAGAGAGAGAGAGTAAGTGTCTTGTGGGGAGGAGAGCCAGGAACTTAGAGACACTGCCCGGGGAATTCGACGTCCTTTGAAGGTTCAAGAGCAGTCCACGGAGGAAGAATAAGGCGTATGGTAAGGATAGTATGTATTTATTTCGCTAGGCCGGACCATAGCTCGGCGCCCGTTACTTTCGAACCGAAAGTCCCTCTCGACGGCTCGTCGCGCGATCATCAAAACCGGACTCCCGTGCTCTCAAGAACTTCGGCTGTAGACTGCAAACGTGTGAAAGGCGAGCAGTCGGATAATTCATGGTGATGCGGGGAGTCCGGAGTGGCAGCCAAGAGAGCATCAGTGCATAGGCAACGGGGGAGTAGGCTGGAAGCAGGATTCAAAAGCCCATCAGTCCTGACAAGGAGCTCTTGGCCTCATGCTGGATGAAGAGTGACTTCCAAAGGTCCTGGCTTTCGTCGTTCATCACCCAGAGGAATTCAGCCACCGCGCTCTTCTTCGCAGGGCCGGATCGAGTCCCCGCTTAGGAACGTACACAGTAGAGGGGAGCCTCAACATGCCCGCTCTTGCGACTTTTGCCGAACCTTACATTCTTACCCCATTGCCTGTGTTGTCCTTTTGGGCGGTCTCAAGGTCTGTCGGCATGCGGTCGCGCTCGTTCCGAATGCGACGCGTCCCCAGGAGACACTTCACTGCCTTGCTTCGTTCAAGGATCGAACACGCCATAAAGAGCCGTCGTAACATTTCTGTCTACAGATAGGATAGATGCTGGTTCAGACCGGCCTCTTCATCTGGCTTCGCTGTGCCCTTGTTGGGGTCCTTGACCGCATCGCGCGTTAAGACAGCATGAGAACCTAGTGAGGCCCAATCGATGCTTATACGTGGTTAATCGCGCGAAGCTATACGTATATGAAAGCCTTTTGATGTCGACGACCGATTTGAAGAAGACAGAAGAAAGCAGTGGGCGTGGTGGTGGGGAATTTTAGCCGAGGCTTAGTCAGGGGCTCGCTAGATCATCTACCCTCAAGCTCAAGCATCTGTCCTCCACGTCACCACAGTATTAGCGTTTGTAATCGATGAAGTACTCTTCTGTGCTTTTCCGCTGATGGATCCTATCTCACGCTTGTTTCTCAGTGGAGCCGTCCGGGACCCGAATCTCCACCTTCCCCGCATCTCCAATTCCAGATGACCGTGGAGGAACGACCGTGGAAACCCACCATGCATGCAAGCTTCCCCGCTTCGACGCTCTCCATCTACTCAGAAGCGCCCTTCTCCGCCCTCGAGCATCTCCACCGTCTTGCTCAACGCAGCGTGCTTCCCCGCATCACCAACAAAAATCCGGGATCGTCGGCAGCTGGTCCCCCTGGGGAATGAAAGCTCATGTGCACCGGAGATGGATGCCCGGCTTCGCCCAGCCAACTAGCATGAAAGCCCAAATGGCCCATAGACTGGAGGCGTGAGCTGGAGCTTGAGTCATCGCTTACTACTCCTTGACACTGATTCTTGGCCACTTAGGCACCACACTGCGCATAACCATATTATACATTCTCCCCCTTCAACATGTCCTCGAAACGGCTCAGCGGCAAGGTCTGCATCATCACCGGCGCTGGCAGCGGCTTTGGCGAGACGTTCGCGAAGCGCTTCGTCCAAGAAGGCGCCAAAGTCGTCATCGCGGAAATCAACCAGACCGCTGGTAAACGCGTCGAGGAAGAAATCGCGTCCTCCCACGCCGACCAAGTCCTCTTTGTCCACGCCGATGTCACAAGCAAACAATCATGGGAGGAGCTGCTGCAGAAGGTGCTGGATAAGTTTGGCACACTGGATGTTGTGTTCAACAATGCTGGAACAACATACAGGAAGAAACCGTCGCATGAAGTGACAGAAAAGGAGTGGCAGATGTTGATTGATGTCAACATGAAGAGCATATACTTGAGCACTGCGGTAGTCGTGCCATATTTCATGAATACGAAGGCTGGCATCATGCTAAATACTTCGTCCATCGGTGGGTACCATACCAAGGAAGAGTTAGTCTATTACGGCGCGAGCAAGACCTTTGTCAATATGATCACCGAGGGTCTCGCGTCCGAATATGGACCGCATGGAATCCGCGTCAACTCCATATGCCCGCTCCTCGGCTATACAGGGTTGTGAGTTGCGCTTTCCTAAAGCCCAGCAACAAGTGCTAAACTCTTTTGCAGAACCGAGGCCTTCATCGGCGCAAAGAATGATGCGGGCTTCCGTGCCCAATTCGAGGCTACAGTGCCACTTAGAAGGGGTCTGGACAACAACGATCTTGCGAATGCTGCGATCTACCTCTGCTCTGACGAAGCATCGTTTGTCACTGGCGTCAACTTGAAGATTGATGGTGGTAGTACATGTGTCTGACCGTTCTAAGGACGCCACCCTCAAATATATCATTATCATCAGTGGTTCATCAAAACTAAATTTACAGCTTAGCCTCTCGTTTCGACATCGAGCTCCAGTCCTCCTTGATCATATCGGCGCACTTCTCCCCTATGGCGTATGCAACCGCTTGAGGATGACCGTTGTTCAGCTTCGGCATGATACTGCAATCCGCAATTCTCAGGCTACTCACTCCCTTCACCCTTAGCCGCGCATCGACAACGGCTCCAGGGTCCGTATCCGGGCCCATCTTGCATGTGCCGCTCGGATGGAAGCACGTCGTCGCGTTGTCCCTCACGTACTTTTCCCACTGCCCCACCGTCGTGAAATCCGTATGTTTGTCTCCCGGTGGCCATGGGCCCCGTATGAGATCCTTTGTGCCGCTTCCTTCGAGCATTATCTCAGCACCGAGCTTACAAGCTTCGGCATATACCAAGACGTCGAGGGGATCCGATAACCAGTTATGGTGGATGATGGCATTCTCCTCTGGGTCCTTACTCGCAAGCCTGACGTATCCTCTTGATCGCGGCGAGAAACATTCGATTATATTGGCAAACGCGCTCTTTCCTGCCGGCGGCGGATTCGCGTAATGCTTCGGAGCCGCATAACGCTCGGTCGTAAAGTACTCCACATGCGGCTGATTCGGCAAGAGACCCATCGGATCTCTTCCCGTGGCCTTCAAGGACTTCCTCAGCTCCTCATTCCAAAGCCTGTGTGTCTCCAAGCGCTCATCAAGTCGCGTGAACGCAAAGGCGCCGAAATGTGAGCGAGAGAGCGTGCCAGTCCGCGACGTCCGCCACTCTTCTCGCGCTTTGTCGAACATGGGTCCTTGGAAGAGGTGGTCGGTTGTGCCTTGCTTGGCTTCGTAGAAGACGAAGACCGTGAGGTGGTCTTCGAGGTTTCTGCCTACGCCAGGACGGTCAACGCGCGGTTGCACGCCGACTTCGTATAGATCTTCTTTGGGACCGATGCCGGATAGCAGAAGCGCTTTTGGCGAGCCGTAGCTTCCCAAACTCAAAATAACTTCTTTTCGACATCGGAACGTCTTCTTCTCTTTAGCGGGTTCGTCCAGTGTCTCTACGCCTACCGCGCGTAGGTCATCGTTGAAGAGTACACGGACCACCGCGTGCTCGAAGACCACCTTCAAATTGGCATGTTTCCACTTCTTCTCAGGATCGAATCGGTCGCGCAGATACTCGCTTCCCGTCATTCGCTCGCCTTGCCACACGCTGCGCGTACAGTGTCCGCATCCATTCACAGTGGTCCCGCTCGCGAACATGTCTTCCACCAACGGCAATCCTTTATGTACAAAGCTTCGCATAACCGCATCGGTAATCGGCGCGTTCGGATGCACGCTCGTATGTATCGGTCCGCTCGTCCCATGGCTACTCCAGTCCGTATTGAATCCGGGTTCTGGGTGGAAGGTCTCGGATTTGTTGAAGTAATGCCACATGGCCTCAGCATTCCAACCTGGATTACCCATGGCCTCCCAGTCCTCGTAGTCCTGTCGCATACCGCGCACCATTAGTGTGCCGTTGACTGCTGAGGAGCCGCCCAGGAACTTGCCGCGACTAAGCTTTTGGATGCGCGACTCGGTCGAAGCATGTGGTGCGCTGAGAAGGTTCCAGTCATGAGGCCCGTCGAAGTTGAGCCACCAGCCGCCCACCATCTGGGTGTTTTCGAGGTCTACATTGTCTTTTCCGGCTTCGATCAGGAGGATGCTAAGGGACGGGTCTTCAGCAAGGCGCGCTGCGACCGCCGGGCCTGCAGTTCCTCCACCGCATATTATGAAGTCGTATTCTTCTGCTGCGACCATTGTTTCCTTCTCATCTACGGTCATGGAGTTTTCTAGGATCATTTGCGAGATGATACGAGCGTAACATCTTCTGCGGAGAAGAGCGAAACACGCGTCGGACATTTCCTCGTCCCCGCATCTCCGCCTTTTGATCATCTCCAAACTTTCCTGTCAGCATTGGAGAAGTTAGATGCTAAGATGTGAAAGTTGAAGATCTGCGTTGGAGAGGACTTCGCTCTTACGCCCGGTAGTCTATTTCCGGAGGATCGACACTCGTCGCTGCAGGGCGAACCCTCATGACACGTGCTGCAGCAGGTTAGTGCATGACGATGCTTCCGTAATATGCTACATGCGGGATGAACCAAGCTGCGATCATCTCCGGAAGTAACGGCGAGTGTGGAGAATTGCGGGGAAGTGGTCAACGCCGTACATTCCCCAGGATTGAGACTTGGACGAAATGTAAGAACCGGGAACGGCGGGATATTGATAAAGACAATAACGACTTAGATCGGGTACGGAAGGTCTTTTCCTATCCGTTGTTTTCGCACCATCATCGTTGAAGCTGAAAGGGAGTCATCATGGTCAAGCGAAATCGATATGCGACGGGCGTGTCGCTCTTTGCGGCTCTGGGTTCCATCACGGTACATATTCCGCCACCAGAAACATGAACATCATGACGCTGATAGGTGCTCAGTATGGCTATGGAGCGTCCATCATCGCGCAAACTATCGGCCAACCGCAATGGTATGAATACTTCAACCTCGCGCAAGAGGGACCGGGCCTCGCACATACGAACGTCATTACGGGCTTGATGAATGGCCTCTTTTCTACAGGCGGTGCTTTAGGAGCGCTCTTCACGGCTTGGACGACGCATGCTTTTGGAAGGCTACGAACAATTCAGTTTGCATGCGCGGTTTGCATTGTCGGCGGAAGCCTGATGACGGGCGCAGCCAACATTGCCATGTTTCAAGCGAGCAGGTTTATCATGGGATGGGGGATAGGCATGATGGTGTGCGGTGGTAAGTCATAGAGTTTACGACAATGACTGGAGAGTGAGGTGCTGACGGATTGTAGTCCCATTATATCAGTCTGAACTTGCGACGCCTACGCATCGAGGAAGACACATTGGATTTCATGGCATGGCGCTTGCGACCGGGTATGCGCTGACAGGCTTCATCGGCTTCGGCTGCTACTATGATTCTAACTCGAGCTTCCAATGGCGCTTCCCCTTCGCAGTCCAACTCATCCCTGTCCTCATTCTTCTCGCAGGAAGCGCAAAGCTACCCGAGAGCCCGCGATGGCGTGAGTCCTCTCTACCCTCTATCATTCTTCACCCCATCTTATAATCCCATCTAGTCCTCTCAAATGGCCGCAAAGAGCACGCCTGGCGCAACCTGCAACGTCTCCACGCTAACCCCGACGACCCTGACGATACTTTCGCCCGCAAGGAGTTCTACCAAATGACGCAGCAATTTCTGCTTGAGCAGCAGCGCCGTGAGCAGCTCCACATCGTCCACTGGTGGGATTTCTTCCGCCGCAAGTCCTTCCTTCACCGCGTCGCTATCGGCATGGGCTCCCAGCTCATCAACGTCGGTACCGGGAACCTTGTCGTAAATAACTACCAAGTCTCTCTATATCAACGCTTGGGCGTGAAGGGCGCGATTCCCATTCTGCTCATCGCCTTTTGGAACTGTGTTGGTATGTGGGGAAATACGACGTCCGCCTTCTTCATCATGGATAAGTACGGGCGGAAGCCCTTCTACATGCTAGGGATCGCCGGCTGCGGTGTGAGTCTTATCTTCGAAGCCGCGCTCACAAAGTACTACGTGCAGACCGGCTCCGATAATAAGGTGGGGCTGGGGTTTGGCGTGTTCTTCATTTTCCTCTATGTGGCGTTCTATAGGTAAGTCTCAGCCCAGGTGCCTGCAATTGTTGCTCGAGATACCAGGGTAGTGGTCTTTCGGGGCCTTCGCAGCAAAGCCCGATCGAGACAAAGAGCCTCCGACACAATTTGAAGAGATATACTAACTAGGAAAACAGCTCGTGCATGGACAATCAGCAATACGTCATATGTAGTGAAGTTTTCCCGATGGAGACGAGGGGTTTAGGCGTGGCGTTGAGTCTGTTTGGGCAGTTTGCAGGGACAGCGTTGTTTGTGGGGGTGGCACCCACGAGTAAGTCCATCGATTCTTACTTCGACAATATGCTAATGCAGTCTAGGTTTTGCTGCCATTGGATGGAAGTTCTATATGGTGTTTGTGTGCCTTTGCATCGTTAACGTCATTATCGTATGGCGGTTCTACCCCGAGGTAAGTAACACTCGCCTCTCCTTTCGGACTGTTGCACTCCGCCCAAGTGCGCGCGACTGACATGAAACAGACCAAAGGCCTGTCACTTGAAGAGATCGATGAGCTCTTCGGCGACCCAGTCGCTGTGCATCTCACAGATGCGAATAAGGACCAGATGGAGGAGCTTGAGCGCCAGGTCCGCGAGTTTTCGATGCCGAACGGGAGTGGTAGTGTCGAGATGCCGGACAGCGAGAGTAAGGGCATGGAAGAAGAGAACGAGCATGTTGAGAGGACTAGTTTCCAGGGGAAGAAGTAGGCAGCAGGCACTGTAGTGGGAAATAGGTGAAGGAACCCCCACAAGCACTTATTCGAAAACTTTCCTCCCACTCTACCTTTTCACCTGCTGTCCCCCGTTAGTCTACCTTGCACATTGGAATCTGCGACACGCTGCGTGCGGCAAGTAGGGCCAGGAACGCCAGGCGTATGCCTCAGTCCGGGAGGCCTACTACAAGCACTGATAATTGCGACCAAAACCGCAGTACCCTATAGCAGTGTTTTCCGGCTTGCTTACGTCTTAAATGATATTGCTGCGTGAGGCAAGAAGCGGCACAGTTGCCGAGCTAGTTCCCTATAGGCCGTTTTCTCGAACGGTCTCCATAGTGTCCTTGATGTCGACAGGGAGAGCATATCGCTCGGTAACAGACCGTTGTGGGTTTCTATCGCTGGAAAGTCCAACGCATGATATCGACTCTCATAACCGAAGAACGACGTAGTGCTCATTGGCGAAATATCACTTCAGCTTCTCCACCTTAACAAGCAAAAACATCGGCCTCTCCTTCTCGCCCCTCCACTCCGGATACATACTGACATCCTTCTTCGTCGCCATCCATTCCACAAAATCCCTTAACTCAAAACCCGCGCCAAGCAAGCCCCTCATGTACGTCGTCATCGTCCGATGATATTTTCTCACGCCGCCCAGCCAGTTCGTTTCCCTCAGCCCCTCGTCCGCGTACCAGTTCAACGGCCACACTTCGCTCCCGTCCGGCAATTTCTGGAGCGCCGGATTTGAAGGCGCGGTGTATATGGGATGCTCGGCTGAGAAGACGAAGCGGCCGCCTGGCTTAAGGGAGTCGTGGATTTGGGCGAGGAGGCGCGTGAAGGAGGCGTTAGGGAGATAATGCAGCGCTAGACTGGAATATACCAAGTCATACGTATTGCTTTCCAACTCGATATCGTTGAGATCTGCCACGCGATACTGGATCCTGTCCTGCAGCTCTTGCGCAGTTAGCTCCTCTGCTTTTGCGATCATCTTGGTTGAGATATCTGCGGCTTGGACTGAGGTTGCGCCGCTTTCGATCGCGTAGCGCGCGAACCATCCTAGCCCGCATGCAAGATCTAGGACTTTTTGATTGCGGACTTCGCCGACCATTTCGCGGAGCGTGGGCCATTCTGGGGCGCCGTCGTGGCCGAATTGCTGCCGTGGGAGTCCGAGGTAGTTGGCGAAGAAGTCGGGACGGTCGTAGAGCGGTATGCTTTGCGCCATAGTACCAATATTAATCTATAGGAAGTCGGGGCCCGCGTAGAGAATTGCGGTTTAGGTTGTGGGTGGGCGGAGATGTGATGATAAGATGCAGGCTGGGTGAGAAAACTAGAGGCGGGGAAGTTCGCATCACGCTAAACTGTATGCGGGTATGGGGTTCGCATGGGCGGAACACCATATATATGGCGAAGCCTTTGATCAGAGAGGATAAATTCGGGTCTCTGTTCTCACAAACTGATAACAGCTCCAATGTCCACCTACAACGTCCCCAACGGATACACACTCGCGACATTTCCCGCATCCGGCCGCACTATCGGCACTTCCTCATACGCGCCCACCTCCACACTCTCCATCGCCCACACCGGTGGCCTCCTCACATGCGTCAACATCTCAATCTGATACCCGATCCCTAGCAGCTTCTCCTCGCTCCACGGCCGCCCCAAAATCTCCATCCCAATCGGGACGCCAACGGGCGCCTCCTCGCTCGGCTCGCTAAAACCCGCTGGAACAGTGACTACGGGACTACCTGTAAGCGCCGCGAGAATCCCATTCCGACCAGATTGCGACGGCGATCCGATTTTCACGACGAGGTTCTTTTGCTCGGGGTAGATGAGTGCGTCAAGGTTGTTGGAGATGAATGTGGATTGGAGTGCGAGGGTGAGGTTGCGGATCCCGGTCATGCGGTCGTTGTATGTTGCGTTTGCTGTTGAGGAGACTAGAGCAGTGTTTACGTATTCGTACTGCGCTGGTATGACAAGGAACTCTCCTTCTGAACCGTTCCCTGCTTTTAGACTATACAGTTCGTTCAGCGTGTGTGGATGTTCGCCGGACAACGAAGGGCGCTGCAGGTACTGGTCCATGAGCTCGCGGTACTCGAACCGCTGGACATCGTAGGCCGCTTGGATGGCGGTCGCGTTGTAGATACTTTCGTTGATAGGGACCAGAGTTGCGCCTGCGGACTCTAGCTTCTGCATGAAAGAGTCCATGGCGTCGCTGACGGGGGTGACTTCTGGAGAAGCGGTTCGGTTGAAGAAACCGTTTAGCACACCTAATCGGGCGCCTTTGAGCGTGCTAGTAGATAGGGAGGCGGCGTAGTCGACGTTACGGTTTGCGGAGGGAACAAGTGCCGTTGCGTTATCAGCAACGTCGTAGCCAGTAGTTGCCATGACAGTCAGAGCAACGGCTACGTCCTTAATAGAACGAGCGATGGGGCCAATAACGTCGTGCGTGTAAGAGATGGGAATAATGCCGGTCCTCGTGATCAAACCGCGTGTAGGCCGAATGCTAAACAGTGAGTTTGCGGACGCCGGACTCCTCAACGAATTCACAGTATCCGTCCCGGTTCCGAAAACACAGAACGAAGACGCTACTGCTGCGCCAGTTCCTCCTGAGCTTCCACCCGGCGTACGAGTAGCATCATACGGGTTAATCGTCTGCCCACCCAAAGAAGACACACTGAGTCCCTCCAATGCCAGCTCGTGCAAATTCGCCTTCCCCAGGATAATTGCGCCAGCATTCTTGAATGCAACGACGCTCGGCGCGTCCTCCGTCGGCCTGGAGTCGTTCAAAGCTAGATTTCCACCCGTGGTTGGCATATCCGCAGTGTCATAATTATCCTTGAGCAGGATGGGGACACAGAACAATGGCCCTGTAGCGTTTCCAGCAGCAAGAGATTCGTCCAGGGAATCCGCTATTGCGAGAGCGTTGGGATTGAGCGTGATGACAGCATTGGTGCGGCTGTTGAACGCCTCGATGCGTGCGATGAAGGAGGAGGCAACTTCTCGGCACGTTGAAAGGCCAGAATAAACAGCATGGTGAACGGAATCTATCGTAGCTTCGCGAGCGTCGAAGGGCATAGTCTGCCCCGTAACACTCCGACTGAGGAGTAGCCCTGCGGTCAGCGCAACCGAAAAGACGTGTACCATCCTGAAGACCTTCGGTTAACAAACAGCTAAAAAGGAAACGAGCATGCTGCCATTACCACTGCGCTCGGGAGCTGTCTTATACTTAATCCGACCCGCGGAAGTGTCTGCCATCCTTAACGAGCCGCTGCTGACATGGCGATAACCTTTGATTCCGAAGGCTTCTTGGTCAGCTCTGTTGATAATGATCATGGTGTTGTTGGAGCTTATCACGGATCATGGCGTGCCATTTATGCCGATTATCGGCATGACGTTCAGCGCCAAGACTGTTTAGCACCTGCCTGTTATGACTTAGATCGATTTAATCTGACTAACATTCGGGAGCTAGTGCTAGTTCCGAGATGCCAACTACCGATGAGCCGATGCACGGTGAATTCCACAGGTAAACGAGTACCCATGTATGATAGTGTCCCTCCCGGCAGATGTCGCGATGACGAGGTTAATCACCAGCTCTTCGGACCGAACGTCTCACCCTCTTTTACGCTTTTACGTATCGCAGTATTCAAGTAATCCTATACAGTTAGTGTCCTCTTCCCTACTTCTAAATGGATTCAGGTGGCTTACCGTAGTCTCAAAAGGTTTGATATTTCCCCACCACTGCGGTACCGGATACTCTTTGAACGTAACCGCGAAGAAAATCACGATAGTCGACAAAATCAATCCGGAGTCGAGGCCAGCCGCCGTGATATAGTTGTACTTGTGCCACCAGCCATGCCATTTGCGCATGATCCAGTAGTTGAAGACTAAGCCAAAGATGGCCCACGAAGAGAAGCTCAATGGCGTCGCAGGCGGTAGCCAGGCCATTGCGCCGAGCATGACGGGTGCGTTCAAGTATCGGAGTGGAGACTTGGGCGCAGCTCGGATGAGGAAGAAGAAGATAACTGGGAGGGCAGCGCCGATAAGCCCTGAGATGGTAGTACTATTAGCAGAGCCCTCGTTTGCCTTTATCCACCGAGGCACGCTAGGCTGCATGATGTGTTGGATTGACTTACAATACCAGTGTATCGTCCAATAGATAGATCCCGGCCCAAACATGCGCTGAGGCCCAATAACACCCCATGTAATGCTGCTTGAGAAGAACGCACGTCCGTTAGGGCACGTAAACCTTCCCGGTTGAAGACGATCACAGACGCCGTCGATATTACCTAAAGTCCAATTCATTACCGCAATCTGCACAAAGCTCGCCCATAAGGTAGCGACGACTTGTGCTGAAAACGCCGTCTTGGGCGGAACTTTCATGTAGTGGGCCAGTTTCAAGTCCCCGGAGAAGAGCTGTGCCTGCCCAAGTGTAATGGTGCTGTAGACCTTGAAGATCATGACGCCGATGGGCTTTCCGGGGATCATGTAGCCAGCTAGGAACGGGGAGATGACGTTGAGTGAGAGCATGATGTTTGTAATTCCATAGATCATGCAGGTCGGAATGGTGAAGACCAAGGCAACGATCAAAGAGACGAAGTATGCCCACCACGGTAGCTGCGATTCGTATGATAGAATAGTCGCGAGCCCGAAGATGACTGATACGAGCAACAGGATACCGTACCACCAGTCCGGACAGGGGGCGTACTTGGCCATCAACTTCATGTGGATATCGGGCTCCTGGTTGCGCGCTGCCTTGAATCGGTACCAAATCTCCTTGCGATGGAAGACGATGGCGTGGACTATTGCGGCTGTTAGGGCTGCAAAGCTGAGCCCATAGTTCAGCGCGAATGTTGGGGCCAAGAACATCGGGGAATAAGTTTTGTATTTGGCGAGATCGAACGAAAAATTAGGGCCAAGGATTCGCGAGACGTTGTATGCACTTTGAGTATTATCGAAAGTTTGGGAGGTATTGATCGGGAGGTAGTCGGAATACCAGGAACCTGTGAAGGACACGCCGATGGTGGTAATGATCACGAAGATGATCAAGCCGATGAGCGTATTAAAGTGCGCATGCGCTGGTGCAAGCAGAGGGTCCTGTAAGTAGCTTGAGACGTAGGTCCAGTCGAAGGTCAGCGGGATTAGGGACAGGCCGGTGTAGCCGCCGAAAAGCTGGTTCAATACAATATTGTTGGGCTTAATCCTAGCGCAGAATCAGAACTTCTGCACGGCTGGGTTGGAGCGTAACCTCACTCACCAAGTGATGAACGCGAAAACGCTCAAGCCTTGCCATAGGACGCCGGGCAACCAATAGTAGAGGAACATCCCTCCCATGACGTAACAGAAGAAGCGTGTCCGCGATACACGCCATCCGTTTACGCTTGGCTCAGTTTGGCTGTTGTCATGCAAGGCGGTCAAGAGTGCAGCATTCGAAAACTGATTAGGCCAGAGAAGAGCAGCAGGCCATACCTAGCAACTGAATCAGCGATGAAATTTTGCACACGTGATATTATATCCTCCTACTAAGAAGCGGCGAAAGAGCCCGGCAATTGCAATTCCAATCACTTGGCTGCTTAAAGTAAAGAGCAACTGGAAACCCCACGACATGGGCAGGTTGTAAAAGGGCCTTCCAAGCAGAGCCAGAAGGGCATCTGTGGAATAGGCGTAGTTGATGGATATGCCGGCCATGATCTATCACGTTCAGTACCAGGCTGCAGGGCCAAGAAAGAAACCTACAGTGATGACCGCATGTTCCTTGATATTGAATGGACCAGTGTTGAAGGTCCAGCTTAGACCAAACGTCCTGAACCGTCTCGTTGGCATTACTTTGGCCCAGACCACACCGCACGGGTAGACTAGACTGACGGGTTCAGCAGCAATCTATAATCGAACCCAGGTCGACCTACAGAAGGACCACAATGTTCGGAAAGTTGATCGCCGGACTCCGCATTGACAAAAACATGTTAACACCGGAAGCGAGGGTCACGAAGAGCATGCCGAGAACCCATGCTCGCACAGTGTTGGCGGGCTCTCCACCATCGGTGTTCTTGACCGCGGCTCGGACCTCCTGATAAGGCGAGTCTTCAACGAAATCTGCCTGCGCTTTTCTGACGGCTTCTGGATCTCCGTCGCGTGTGGCGGCGAGCAATTCATCAACTTTCTCTTGGGGCAAGTTCGGGTCCCACTGGTGCGTCTTTTCGGTGAGGACTCCAGGGCTGGTCTCAATTGACGTGCTGTACGTCCCCTTCTCACCTAAAGGATCGCTCATGTTGGCGCCGTGTTGGTGATCGTATTCGAGGGGGGTTTCCTGTGGCGAATCTGGTGCGACTTCTTCGGTGGAGGGAGGCGCTTGAGCAGCGGCCTCTGGTTTCTCGCGATATTCGGTCACCGCGCCACTATTGCGCTGGAATCTCAATTGCGAACGCAGAATCGAGTTGATGAGGTCGGGTGTTCAGGCTCGGCAATAAATGAGCCGTGATAACCAACGTTAATCCACCGGCAGAGGTGCGCTTAGCCGAAAGAGGGAGGAAGTACTCAATGTAACCACACGCCAGGGTTCGTGTGATGATCCCAGCCTCGCGATAACACCAGGCCCCGCGCTTGTGCCTCCATTCGTATGATAAAGGACCTACCCCGCCCAACAACGGCATCATTCCCGGCGGAGATATTGCCCGCTCCAGCACCGACGATAGAGCCATGGAGAGCCCGACGCATCGCCTCGGGCTATCGCTCCAGCAGAGGAGGGGAGTGGGATAAAGCGTGTGTCGAAGCTGGCAAGATAATGAAGCAGATAAGGAAGTATAGAACGTGGTAGAAAGAAGTTGGTGATACGAGCATAGCATTCAGGGTAGGATACTTATCTAGACACTAACACTTACAGAGCACTGCGCCGCAGACAAGCAGCAGCCGCCGACCGCTGAGCTGCCTCGCCACTCAGTGTATGGAAATATCTGTAAAAATCGTGCCACGCGTTGCGCCATCGCATATCACCTATCTGCTTATCATCGACTCGCGATCGAGCTGAAAAGTACTGTCCTGCAGTGAAGCGACGGAAAGTCGCCGTCCGGCGTTCACACCCGCTCCTAGGACGAGGCATGCGCGCTGGGGGCCGACGCAGCTTCGGGAGACCAAAGACATGTACTTTATACGGCGCTTTTCGGCGAAAGAACATCGATTATCCTGTGGTCAACTCGAGGAGGCGGCAGGGGAGAGGACACGCATCGATAAAGCAACAGGGAGCCGAACGTAGACTGCTTCGGTTAGCGAGATGGTTCGTGGAGAAGAGGTCTTCTTACCACACGAACGATATGAGCACTTGCAACAGTCCGAAGGCTTACAACGGCCGCAGACATGTCTTCGTCTTCGTGTACTGGAGTTGTCGACGTCGTCATTCAGCCGCAGGGCGCTCCTCAGACTACCGCCCGCCCAGCGTGCACGGACCGCCACTTATGTAATCGTCGAATATGACCTCAACCTCGACCGTCCTGCCCCGACCGCTCCGCAACCGCCATTGCCACGCCGCATTGATCAGTCTCAGGCCGTCTGCCACATTCCGCACCGGAAGACGACCCTACCGAGCGCAGAAACACCCCGGATCTACCTCGGCGCGACTCAATCGCGCATGAAACTCACGATGCGACACGAATCGAGACTGGACGTCCCGAAGAGGAAAGAACGAAACTCCAGCGAGAACCAATGCTAACCCGGAACTGCTTCGCGATGCCGAAACAGCCGACTCAGCTTGGATCCCTCGGCTCGCATTTGCTTCATTGTGTCAAAACCGCCAGCCAAACCTTGTTTCCTGGGGACGTTCAGAGCCCGACCTGGCATGGTCGAAATTCTGTCCCCAGCCACAGGGCACAGTTCCGGAGCACGCCCACCTCACACTAGAGAAACAGCTAGGTGGTGTTCGCAATATACTCGCCATCAACCATCTTCTCATCACGCGAAATGGGACTTAGCAGCCAAGTTATCAAATGGACCTAGTCCATGGCTTACTCATTCTAGCCTTTCCTTCCGCCATCACATTTTCGAATTATTTTCAGAGTCTCTGTTTTCTTCTCTCCTTCGCTGTTTCACCAGCCACATACGCATGATTTGAGTTGACCGCCAAGCTTCCCCGATCTGCGGGCAGTTGAAGCTTAGGCATCTCCCATATCAGATGGACCTGCTATGGAGGTAGCCCCGCATTTCCTCAGTAAAACACTTCTCCCATCTATCTTTAGTTTCATTCCGTCTCGGCTATCCATTCCTTGGCTGCTCTTCTACTCTCACAGTTTCATCGCAGGTGCCATTCGAGTCACATGGCCCGTCACCGTCGGCAAACACGGTCCCTCCATGCTTGAGATGTGTCAACACACCGTGCGAAACAGTTAAACGCATGTTTCCGCCTTCTATTCTTGCCTCAATCATGTTTCGTCGCGCACCGAGGAGGTTTAAAACATGCTGCCAAGCCCACTGCTCTGACCATCTACGAGACCTGGAAGCCTGATCAGGAAATTTTTCATCTCTTGGCCAAAACGGAGTCCAGTCACCAATTCGGAATCCGGTCGGCCGTGCATGAACAACGAATCGCTGCATGCTTGAAGGCTTCCGGTCCTCGGTTTTCAGAAGATGTCGACATGTATAAATGATGGGACGGATACCCAGGAATGAAGGCCATCAGCACTCAAGGTTCCCATCCAGCCTCTACAGTAATCACTACTTCCCTTCATTCTAATACTTGTCTATTCATTTAATTTTTACTCTGACCGGTTCAGAAATGTACTTCTCTAAGTCCACCATCGTTTCTTTCGGCCTTTTGGCCACCAGCCAGCTTGTGGCAGGCCACAGCGCTATCACCGGAGCCACAGGTGATATGGGCGGTGCCGGATCCGCTATTGGAGGTAAGTCTTGCCAACTCCGATCCTGATATCCTCGGGTGGATCTTGGACTTGTTCCTTCCATAGAGACACACTCTGCTCATTTTCTCCAACACAATATGCTCACAATCAACAGTTGACCCCAACACACCCCGTGATGGCACGAGGCGCAACCCCTTCCAGCAGGACGCCACCCGCTTCCGAGGTGACGCTGCGGACACCTGCGGCGAGACCCTTGGCGGAGGCACCAACGATGTCGAGGCCGGCACCGCACAGGTCATGCAGCTCAACGGCCAGACGCTCCCTCAGGTCTCTGCGGGCGGCCAGCTCATGATGACGCTCCACCAGGTCAACGGTGACGGCGCTGGCCCATACACCTGCATGATGGATGCGTCCGGCACTGGCCAGAGCTTCGACACCATGCTTCAGGTCACCCAGAACGTTGACGGCAATGCTCGTGGCCGCAACAACGACCAACAGATGCAGGACCTGCCTCTGAACGTCGCTATCCCGGCTGACGCCGCTTGCACCGGTACGGTTGCGGGCCAGAGTAACGTCTGCATGGTCAAGTGCATGAACCCCGCTCGTGCTGGTCCCTTCGGTGGATGTGTCCCCGTCCAGATGGCGGGTGCGGGTAACGCCACCGCCGCAGCTGGTTAGTTTTTTCTTGCCCCACGATCATGTCCACGCTCACACATCATAGGTGCTGGTGCCGCAGGCGCTGCTCAGCCTGCTGCCGCACAACCTGCTGCCGGTTAGTGAGATACTTACCTTCACTCTGAAACTTGGCTAACATGATCTTAGCTGGTGCCGCAGGCGCTGCTGCCCCTGCCGCTGCCGGAACGGCTGGAACTGCTGGAACGGCTGGAACGGCTGGAACTGCTGGAACTGCTGGAACTGCTCCTGCTGGTTAGTGAATACTCAACTTCATCCAAGATTCTGCTAACCTCACCCTAGCTGGTACTGCCGGAACTGCGGGCACTGTTGGAACTGCTGGTACTGCTGGTACTGCTGGTACTGCTGGTACTGCTGGTACTGCTGGTACTGCTGGTACTGCTGGTACTGCTGGTAC